ACACCATCAACGAGATGACTACAATGGTGGCCGCAAAGTTGGTCTGAGAGCTCGCGGCGAAAATTGCCAATTGAAGCCCCACCCACTATTAGCTTTTGCTACGGTCTTTACTATCCCGAGGCAAGTTTTTACCCATGAGTGAGAGAAAGAGAAAGAGGGAGAGAGAGAGCGAGAGAGAGAGAGAGAGAGAGAGAGAGAGAGAGAGAGAGAGAGAGAGAGAGAGAGAGAGAGAGAGAGAGAAGGAGAGATAAAATCCATATGTCCTAGGGACTTATCCCTAATTAACCATAGTTTGAGAGGTTTTGATATTCGAGAGATATTCTTATATCAATGAGAGGATGTGTCGTCAACTAATATCCTTAAAGGCTCCCCCTTCTTCTAGTCATCAGCTTGAGTAGAACCCTACGATGGCTACAGCTTTGGGGTGAGAGGAGAGCATGTGGGAGTTGTTTGAACGAAAGGAGCAATCTCCTCATTAGTACTTGGATAGTACTAGAATCATGTGTTTGGCCTCTGTTGTGCTTTGTGGGGATGCCTCCACCTTTATGAGAGTTCCACGAGAATTGAACCAAACTGGTTTTGGTTCAAACATGTACTAGGGTTGTAGTGTAAATATCATACTAAAAAAAGCATCTTATCTTTCTTGTTAGAGATTCGGGTCTTATTTCTCAACATGGAATAAAGACTGAAGGTTTAATCTAATTGTTGCTAAATCTCTATTGTCTTAAGATGTCTCTATCGAAAGATGCTCCAATCCACACAAAGAAGATGACTAGTTGGTGTATTCTTCTTATTTACTTCAAATATCTTTACTTCTTGACCATCACAATTAGTTTTCTTCTTAGTCATTGAGCATCATTTTCTGATGTTGTGACATGAATGGCTAGTTGGTCCATTTTTCTTCCTTAATCTTGTGCATTTGAGGTGAGGAATAGCTTGGAGATATTAACTAAAAAGTAAATCATTTAGAATTGATTCAATCAATTATATTTGAAAACTATCATGAGTTTGTATTGATTTAAATATGTTTGAGACAACTTCTGTCCCTAGATTCACTTATTTCCAAATATTTGAGTGAACCCAATCATATAGGGAGTTGCAAGCCATCAAACATTCATGTAGATTAGATGAATTTTTTTTCTTAATTTGGTCTTAGTTGATTATAACCATACTAAAAGGGAGATGACAAATCAGTCATCTCCTCAGCACATGGCATAGACTAGAGATCCTCACTTGGAGATATGGGATAAGGAGTATTCTAAAATCATGATGTGGTTATGGAGTCTTATGATACTAAAAATCAATAATGATCATCTGTTCTTAATGAGAACCAATGAAATCTGGTTAATGTCTATCAAACTTATTCAAGAGCTTGTGACACAACATAAGCATATGACCCAATATTGTTGAAGTCTCAACATGATACCTAAAGTATTTAGCTTTCATTATGATGTGTAAGTTGAGAAAATCCTTAGAGGGGCTCATGCAATCACTTCAGACTTGATTTGAGGTTTACAAAAACTATGACCGCAATATATTACAAACAAAGTTAATATCACACATTATTTTTTAAACATTCATCTTCAAGGAAACTTATAGGTATGATTATTATATATTGATTATATAATTAATATTTTTTTTCAAGGGAAATAATTTAAATTCAAATATTATAAAGCTTGAAATATTTTCTTGGAATCAAAGTAGTTCACTCAATAAAGCATATTTTCTTAATCAAAAAATATATTACATAACTTTTTAAGGAAATGGGCAAAACCATGTGTAGATAGGAAGATGTATCAATAATTGGTTAGAAGATAAATTATTTATCTTATCATAACAAGATATAAGATATGCAATAAGTAATGTTAGTATGTTTAAATACAATTCTAAGTACACGTGCATATAACTTGTTGAGTGCTACATTATCCTAAAGGTATTTCATTAGAGAGGAATCTATGATTAATACTTGGTATATTTATTGATGGTAATTAGGAGGAATACATAATAAATAGGAGTTTTACTTCATTATATTACATCTTTCCTTATTGAAAACCTTATATCATGGCAAAGAAAGAAGCATAAAAGTACATGTAAATTTTTCTTTGATTTAGTGAAGAGAGAATAATGAGAGTTGTTGATAGCAGCACTTACCATCTTAATCAACAACATGTAGCATTAAGAAGGATTATAAATCATTTTATCTCATTATTTAAATTCAGTGAAGAGAGGAGAACTGTTGGCAATAATAATTATCATATTTTTAAGTGACATGTTGAGAAATAGGTTTGTCTACAATGTTAGTTGGTGATATAAACCTACAATAATAATAATAATTTTTTTTGGAAATGACATCTTATTTCTTTATCAATGACATATTGAGCAGTAGATTTATTGGAAATATTAGGTGTTACGACTTTTTTGCTTCTTTCCCTAAATTTGGTAAATAAATAATAATGTGTGACCTATTGATAGTGACACTTACTATTTGTGTCAACAACATGTTCACCAATAGGTTTGTTAACATAATGTTTAAGTCCATTGAAAACATTTTCATCTCCATTTAGATCTTTGGTCTAGATGATGCAATATCTAGTTCTATTGCCAACAATTTTGAAAGAGAGAATAAATTTCTAAATATCGACCTTCATCACCAATGTGTATGTTGATTTTATTTTCTCTACTATCTAAGATGAACTTTTCTAATGTTTATCTTAAGGGGAGTATTGAATTTTTAAATTGTGATTTTATTTTGGGGGGTAATATATACAAACTTGAGAATATATTGAAAAATTCTATGTAGGGTTCACATCATATATAATGGGTGATAAATAGTAATGATAAGTGATGTGGTTTCTTGCTCCTCCTATCAGTCCTCTAAGAGAAAGGAAAATTCCTTCTTCCTCTCTTTGGTGTTTATTTTAGATAGTGAAATACTCTATTAATTGCATGTAAGTACACATATTTTTTAGTGTGTATGAATTAACTAATTACACTCACTAGATATGTTATATCTAGCTACATATTACATATTAGATAGATAAGTTAGTCTTTTGACCAAATGTTGATACATCTCCTTGTGAATAGTAATATCTTCATATGTGCCATATGTTTGGAGTTTGTATCTATTTCAATACTTGTTGTTTTTTTTACAATATTGTCTATATCTTTGAGAAGATCAATAATATATTTAATGTGAGATAAGGATACATTTCATTGAGTGGGCTACTTTGATTCCAAGTATTGCAACATTCTCAATATTTTATGTCAATTTTTTTTATAGTAAATCATTCCAGCTCAGCCCAAGAAAGCGCTAGCAACAACAGAAAGGAAGGGGTGCAACGTTTTCCTAGAAGTACTTGAGAAGGACCACCTTATACCATCCTTAAATCCAGCAAACCTCAGAAACAAGAAGTCCTTCACTCTAAATCTGGGGCCAAAGGGCACTGGGTATTATATGGGAGAATGGGATGATAAAGACTAAAAGGAATGTCTTTTCCCTATTGTCGATTAGACCAGGTGATATAGATCGCTTAATTTTTTTTTTTAATGTACAATATACTTAAATAGTCTCTTTCTCATCATCTCCAATCAAATATTACATCATAAAACATACTAATAATGTTCTAACTCTCCCTTTGTGTGAATAAGTAATACATAGTGCATGGTTCTTTGAGTTTGCATGAATATCATCGTCTTGCCAAATTGTGTTGTCAGTGATTTGAGAAAATCAACTTTGGAGAAAATATTTAAATAACATAAGATGTAGGATTAGAAAAAAAATCAATACTTAACTATGTTCTTGTTAATGATTTAACTATCTATACATAAGTGTAACAATCCATCTTTCTTCTTAGTTAATGATGAATGAAATAAATATAGACTAATGACTTAATGTGGTATTTTTCTTGGGTAGTGTTGTTGTTGCTTGAAGAGGCTTCATCAAGTTTAGTACTGCCCTTATTTGGGATAGCTTTTAATTCAACTAAGGAGCTCTTCTACACCATTTTAACGGGAGTTTTAACAAAGAACCTACCATAGATTGTCCACTCTATGATGATTAATGGCTTAATCAATATGAACTTTTTTGAAGTTTATCTTGATGAAGAGTGTTAAAAGGTTGAGGGTTATATTAATAAAGTCTATGGACATTTGTGAAAAGTGCCTCTAGAGTTTGTCCCTATTTAAGGGAATTAGAAGGTGAGAGAAAAGTTGAGGTTGTTGTCCACCATTCTCTCTTTTATCTGAAGTAATAGAGGTTATCCATCCTTTGTCTATGTTTTCCAATGTAAAGTATATTTGGTATACTTTATCTCTTGAAATTTACGACAATTGAATCATTAAGACATTTCACTTGAACAAGTGATATTTTTACTTGAATCTATTTTTTGATGTGTTTAAGTATAATCATCATAAAAAGGAAGAGATGACTAACTTTGATAATCTTTACAATTTTGATGATGAAAAAATAAATTAATAGATAAAATGATGATTTTATAGTATCATATGTATATTGACTGGAAAATTATTAGGAGAATATTTTTTAAACCCATTGAATAGTCTCATATGATTTTGGGACAAATTTTACGACCTAAATGCATTCTATTTTTGGAAGGAAATCAACTCAAGTTAGAAGAGTATTACATAGTTAAAAAGACACTAACTAGCATTAATATGGTAGTTTCAAATATGAAAAATTCCTTATTGGGCTTAAAAAATTTACATCTAAAATATACAAATAATTGGTTTAAAGACTTTGATCTTGAAAAATAATCATAGAAACATAACAATAAAACTTTCTCATAAATATATTATTATTGTACTGATGTTCACATAAAAATATATTATTAGGTATAATTCCATTTTTGTATTAGATTTTTCAAGTGCAATATAGTGAAAAAACAATATCATGAAATATTCAAATCTTAAGACAAAGAAAAAAAGATCTTTAAGATATCTAAGACATTGCATATCTTAGGACAATATCATGTGATAGAAGATCTTTGACAATTGATCGATCATGTATCTTGACAAGTTAGAATACTAAAAACAAAAATCAAAACCATTTCACAATGACACATGCATAAAGTGACCAAATCAAAAGCTAGACAAACTTAAATATCTTGACTCACATGTACACTCACATGTTTACTCAAAAAAGTATTGACTAATAAAATATCTTGGAGATTTAAACTTTAATAAATAAGATTTCTGACTCTATAGAAAGCTTGAAAAAGCTTTGAAAGAACACTTCAACAAGAGATTCTATTCATTCTATTTCTTCCATAGTCTCTCATCCAAACTCTATTCCAAATTCTCATTACAATCTTTTTAAGTACCCAAGCATCAACAAAATAGTGGAAACTCATATACTTAGCTTGGATATCATATTCAAGCCATTTAATATAATTTATTGTAAACATATTTTAGATAGTAGTTCTGACAAAAGAAAAAATATAAGCTATTGCCTTTGTGTCTAAAGTACAAAATAAATTTATGAAATCTATTGTATTTAGATTCACTTATACTATGAATTTTATGATAGTTCTCTAAAAGAGAATGCTGAAAACCAAAGATAACGGCCCTTAAAAGTTGGATGTAGGCCAAAAAGGGTAAACCACTATAAATATGAATATATCTGTTTTATGCTTTGTGGGTCCAGCTAGTTTTGACCTAGCAAAACTTGTGCTAACCCAACCTGACTTGTTGACCTATTAACATATGTGTCGACCCACTAAATATAAGATTAAGAAAATAATAGAAAAAATAGAAAATTATAGATATATATAAACTCCTCTCTTAAGTATTCTTTCTAGCCTTACTTGGGACATAATAAAAATTCTTATAGGAAGAGTAAGTACCAAAATTAGAGAAGATGTAATCAAATGTTAAATGATATTTTACATTAAAAATGTTAGAGCATCTTCATGACCCTTTAAAAAGTTTGATAACATATAAAAGAAAATAATATAATTTTTATAATTGTTAGATATCATTTTTTCCTAATATTTATATTTTTTATATTAGAAAGAGAGCTGACTCAAGAGAGAGAAGTCGATTAAGAGCTCTAAAACTATATACTAAACTCTAAACTGGCCATTGGAGCACACCTTAGCTACTAGGTCATCATGTTCTCATTGTTCTTTATCATTAATAAATATCTCTCAAAAAATTAACTACATCTACATATTAAGTTGCTTTTGCAAGTCTAAGACAAAATTTTCACACCACCAGAAGCAAGTGTTGAATCTATAAGGGTTTTGATTTGTTCTTGGTATGTTTTAGAGCATTTGTACTACTTGAGCCAGCACAAAGCCATGCATTTTGAAGAGATTAGCTGGGTTCTAATCTAGCTGACCTCTTAGAGGTGTATATTTACATGGATTATCAAGTTGCTAATTTGGTTGGACCCTTTCATCTATGAGTACAATAATTGTTACCAGAAAATGCTTGTGTTATATTTGTGAAGTATATAAGTTAAATGAAGCTTTTAAATTCAAGAATTGTTTCACTAAGAGGTTTGATAGAGTGAAGTAGGTCAAGTAGGCTTGAGTAGAATAAATATAAGTTCCATATTTGAATAAAATATCATAAATCTAGGGTTGATCTAAAAAAGAAAAAACCTAAGTCACCCTTACTCGGTTTTTCTTGAAACTTTCTTAAAACCAACAAAAGAGTCAATACTTTTCTATGCTTTATCTCAACTGCCGTGTTCTATGATTAATTTGCTCCCTGGGTGGTGACACACGGTCTAAGAGTAATAGAGTAAGAAATATATTTTTTTCTTGAGTTAATCCAGATCTCTTAAGTGCCTACCCCCTTTGTAGATGAAGTTTTATTTTGCATGTACCAGTTGTTCATGCAGGTGTTAACACTTTGGTGCTTAGGACCTTTTTTAGTAAGTTTTTCCTAATAGAGTCAAACATTTTCTTTTAAGGGTGCCACATGTCTTCTATGTTAGAAATGGCAAAAGAAGTTTCCATCCGAACAAAACACACTACTTGTCATCCATGCATGTATTGTGTGATTTCTTCTAGATCAGTTGAATAAATTAGTATTTGACCTAGAAGACCGCACTAACTTATTCATAAAGCTTACATCTGCTGAAGACCTTTAGATGTTTTGAATAATGGGCATTTTTTTTTTCATATCATGGCCTTGAGAAGTGGGAGCCCTTTACTTGAATCAGTAAAAGAACTCTCCAACCAGTAAACGCAAATCCAAGCGCGTAGATGACACAAGGAAACTCATCTCCGCTCCTCTCTCTCTACATCCCCTCTCTTCTATTCACCAGAGAGCCGTCTCCGGAAAGAAACCAGGTACAAAATCCTCTTGTACTTCTCACAACTACTTAAATAAAAGACCCTGACAGGGCCAAAAAGTCAACTCTAATATCACAATTCACAACACCAACAAAATTGGGTAACAAGACCAAAATTTCTTGGCGCCCTTCATGAGCATCTGATTATCCATACATCGATTCTATAAATAAACAATATGAGCTCAATCCTCGCCGACCACTGTAGCCTGCCGATCAGCTGTAGAAGATGGGAGTGGGAGTCGTGACGCTCTCTGATGAAGCTATCCTTCATGATACCTGTTAAATAGAAAATTGGTAGACGAATCAATAGCAACTTTCGTGGGCTTTTGACTCCTACAACATCGAGGTTGAAGCACGTTATTGATGCATTGGGCCCCTTCAAAGATTTAACTTGCCTTGAGAATAGAAGGGCTCCAAAACTGGCTAATCCTTTTGACAAGGTTCTTCCTTTTGCTGAACTAGAGAAAGTGGCATTTCTTAGAGGTACTGCTGAAGGCTTTCCCCACTGAGAGATTCCAACTCCCTGAGAATTCCCTGAGCTAGTGACTTGATTGGGAACTCCACATCCTCAAGCAGCTCGCTGAGGAAGGGAATGGTCTCTGGCAAGCAGACGAGATACTCCTCCTTCAGATGTTCCACAAGGTACTTGATAACTCTCAGGCCCAAAATCCGTGCTCTAACTTTCTCACATCTTGTCTGCATTAACACCTAAAATAACATAGTAAAGAGATATCCTTAGCATTGGTTAGAGCACCCCGAACTATAATCCACATAATAACGTCGAAAGGGCCTTGCAGAGGGGAAAGAAAACATATTCAATGGCCTACAGTTCTCAGTAGGAGGAATGGTTTGAGAAGATCTTTCACAGTTTGAGCAGAAGCAAATAGTTTCATTAAATAACCGTCCATTTTTATAAAATATTGAATACGGACACCTAAGATTAATCGTTCATTTTTAACTCGGATGCACAAACTTGAGAATACTATACGCAAAGGATACACACCTCATGGTTCAATTGCTTCCATATGTCATCTGAACCAACTGTCACAGCCATTTGGCCCAGGCAGCAAACCAATGATTCATCCACTTCATCAACAGCAGGCAAATTCTGATACTGCTCCGAAGAGACTGGTGGGTCCACAAGAAGCTGTGAAACAATGGGCTTCAAAAGAGCCTGCAAGGATTGACAATCAAAATTGAAAATCCGGTAATCATTTTCTATGCTACTTCTAATATCATGGATATAAAAATTTCGTTGACCCATTTGCATAGATAGCAGATAGTGGCAGGTTGGGCATTCCAGATTACAAGGAATATAGAACGCTACCTGGAAATTTGATGACTCAAGGAACTTCAAGTTCCCTGTGTCATACAAGAAGCATTTATACAATGACGAAAGAATCAGAGATCTCAGATGCCACAGCTCAGGAGAGATCGTTCTTCTCATGTCACCGCACACTTCCCAGACCTTTGCCTTCTTCCGCTTTTTCGTAAATGAAGCTTCTTGTACAGCTTGACCATCAGTAAGATAACGAACGCATCCATCAATCAAGTACTTGAAAAAGGGAACAAACAAGGATCTGCATGCATAAACCAATATCCCATATAAACAGGTTAAGGCAGTCAAAATTCTGTCAAAAAATACATTTATGAAAGTAGTTACTGAAGGTAATTGAAATACATTTAAACGCCCAAATTAACAGAAGAAATTTTCCAGCGGAACAATTAAAGACAAATAATGAGTTTAATGCTACGTGAGGGCAGCACAACAAAAATTGCAGAGTGATTTCGGTTCCACGTGTCTAGAGTAAAATGATTTCGTTCTTCAACTTTTCTTCAAGCCATTGTTATCAACACAGCTAATGAGACATTGAACTAAACGATGGATGGATATAATAGCATCAGCTAATCTAAACTAAGGACTGAAGACGAGAAAAAATGTACTAGAAAGATGCAAATAAATGATGAGTTCCAGAACAGGCACAACATCTGAAGCTGTCAAAGAAATTTCTGCAAAAAAATTAAGCATTAAACCAAGATGCAGAGAAACGATCCTGGAATGAGCCAGAGAGACAACCAATGATAAGATTGGCACTTTTAAATTTGGTATCCAGCAGAGTCTATATCCATATACATGGAAGAAAGGCTTCTACATTAGTGAAAAGCGGGCAATTTATACGATTTAATCATCGCTTATGATCTGGACATATAATTATATATATATACAAACAAGAAACAGAATGACAAGAAATAAAGAAAAGCTAATTGACGCACCGATGCTGCTCTGTAAGTTTATTGACCAATTTGTAGAACGAAATTTTTCGGCATAGAACCCCATTAGTTGAGTCACTAGCTTCAATGTCAGACTCAGCCCAGTCAATGCTATGAATGAAAAGAGGCCTAAACATGGATTCAGTAAGTTTCACTGTCAAAGCAGTTATGGCATGGATAACATTGTCTTCAACTAAATCCACATTCTTTATTGTGTCTGGATGTTGCCGACGAAGATCAAGTGCAAGAAAGCACTGTTCAAATATCTTTGCATGATAAGATCCTACTGAAGATTTGTCCATTGATGCAACCATGTTTGCTAGAATTTCAAAGGCCAAAGCGATGCTTATTTCTCCGCAATTAAGAGTTTCCTTATATACTTTCATCAAAGGTGTCAGTAAAAGGCGTGCCTGCAAAAATAAGAGGAAACATGAGAACAAGAGTACCAGCAAAAGGAAGAGAAAAAACCATCATAAATCAATTTGGAATCATACCGGAATCTTCTCTGCAATAAGTTTCCTTAGCAGGGCAGCTTTTGCTTTCACTTTATGATCTGACTCTGAAGCATATTCTGGGTGAAGCACCATTAGTTCTAAGATGCCTTCAAGATATGGATTTAGAAAGCCACCAAGATTTTCAACAACAACTTCCAGAACTCCAAGAATAGGCAAAAATATAGATGTTCGCTCACTAGAAACCGCATCACGGGCTCTTTCAAATACATGCTTCATACAAAAGGGAAGAACTGATAACATTTTTGAACCAAGAACACTGATGAGTGCACCGGTGCTTTGAAGACAGGTAGAAGAGAGAGTCAAGTTATCTGAAGTGATGTGCTTTGCAACTACAACAAGGCATGACGTTGAAATGTAATCACTAGTTGGAAATGCTTTAGCCAACACTTCCAGAGACGAAACAGCAGCTAGCCTTACAGGACCAGGGGAATTATCATTAGGTTCATCCACCAGTTGTACTATCTTTGAACAAAGTTCACAGAAGGACTCTGTACTACTTTCATCGATAAAAATATAGGGTTTGATGAAACTTTTTTTTGCTTCTTTTGGAACTCTGTGTTTCTCTGATACCAAGCTGCGATTCTTGATAGTTTGACATAGTAACCTGAGAGCCTGTTGCAAATATCACGTCAGTCAAATGATACATGAGCATAGGAGTCTTCAACTATCGTAAATCACAACAATATACTACGAATCACTTGTAAATTAAATGTATCAAATACCTTCTTTTTCACACTTGAATTGTCATCACCCACTAATTGTCCAATCGCACTGAAGAACTGAGAAGGTGCAATAATTTCACTTATGCACTTTACGATACTACGGATTGATTCCTTCAGCTGCTTTCTCACATTTTTATGAATGCCTAACTTCCTGCCTTTGCTATCAATAACTTTCAGGTGCAGGATAACCTGCTCCATAAGCACCCGAAGTGTACTCTGGCACAAAAATCAAAAACTCTTCTCAAATTCACGGTAGAAAAAAATTCCTGAGGTGAAGTGTAGGAAACGTGAATGAACCATGATTTTATTAACTCAAAGAATAACTTGAAAGAACATCATAAAACTCATTTAGAAGAAACTCAAGATTAACAACTCAACAAATAGAAACTATGGAACTTTTCATCAAGATACTGGACTCTTAGTATGAGTATCAAAATACGAGTTCCAGATACACCACGCAAGCACCCATATTAGCAGTAAAAATAAATACATCGAGATATAGTGACATCCAGATACCATTCACGGAAACAAGCTTCGAATGCAGAGAAATCCAAGAAATCTTACATCCCAATACTTTTTCATTAGACCGCGGTGTTCAAACACATACCATTCTAAAATAGCACAGTAAAACGATCCATGCCCTTAATTTAGATCTCAGTACTTCAATTCAAATGTTACAATTTGATTCTTATGATTTATGAACACGCATAATACTATCTGCATTTAACACTACGCTCAATGTTTCCTCCCTATTATGTCGTCCTGATAGCTGAAATGGGAAACAAATGATCTTATTTATGTACGTCTAACAATGTCAGCATGTTAATGTCGTACTCTTATGTTCCAATATATTCATAAACATCGAAAAGATAAGCATAATTTCTGTGTCCACAAGTCTACATTTCAAAAAAACTTTCTTCCTTCAATGTTCCAAGCATTGAATCCATCTCTAGGTAGCCAATTTTGACTAGAAACTGTGGTGAATTTGAATATCGAGCAATATGCAATAGATGAGAAGAATGTACCTGAACATAATCAGATTCTCCTTCGGATTCAACTGTAAAAATGAATCCAGTGTCTTGCAGCTTTTGTAGAATAAAGTGAAATGCAAGGTGCAATTCCGAAAATGATTCATGTTCACTCTCAGTACCCATTTCTTGGAGAAGTACAACCAGAGATGGAAGCCATATTCGGCATGAGTACTGATCAAAAATTTTCACCGCAAAACTGTACTCCCACTCTTTCTGTATGGAGGAGGCAGGTGATAACACATCTATGCCATGTGGAAAAGATTTACTTTTCCTTGCAGCAAGCAAATGGAAAAGAAGAGCAACAATGACACCCAAGCTAGACTTTTCACCCAGTGTCCTGTCATGAAATAGTTGTGTTACGAGCATATTCATGAGCTCGGACGAAAAATTAGAGTCATTTGGATGTACCTCAAAAGATGCACCGTCAATGCCAATCTTCGGTCCTCTATGATTTCAGGCAGAACATTAACAAATACCTAAAATAAAATTGAAGTTTCGTAAGATCACAACACTATGATGACAGGGTAATATGTTTGATATTCGTATCTGACTTGAATTTTACTCCAGCCTAGTTAGCTTTAGTATTTTTAACTTAGATTAATACCAGTGATAGAATTATCCCTAAGAACCTCTATTCGTTCGTTTAGTCTCTCCATACATAAGACTATACATATACTCACTGACTTTAGCTTTAATGAAACGGAATGAATAGATCTCAATTTTCTTTCTGTTTTATAAGGCAGCCAAACTCCCATTTACCGGCTCAATGCAAACAGACATTTATGTTATAAATGTTGCATAAAAAGATGAGGGATCCTTAATCATATATTTACTACAATAAATAATTGGATTTGAATCATATATAGGATCAATCTATATTAAATGACTGCTTCCATTATGTTGTTGCTAGCACATACCCCTATTTTAAGTGTTGGATTTACTAATACTTAATAGTGGTAAATTCCATACCTGAAGCAAATTCTTTATGTTGTTGGAAGTCGACAGCCAGCATGGAACAAGAGCAGAAATTAATTCTTCTGTAACATGTCGTGAATGACTATCATTCTGACAAACAGCAAACATAAGATTTTTAATATTAGAGAAACCCATTTGAAAAGATAGTCTAATATGGATCTTTCTACATTCTTAAGCAACAGATTCTAAAAACCCCAGGACAAGTAGGAAGAAGTCAAGAAATTTTATAACCGAAGCGACTATTTATATAAAGAAGAGTCCAGTGCCAACAGTAATAAAACTCGTTGAACAATTTCATGGGGTGACCAATGCATCTGAGAGATCTTGTCAAGAGCACGAAAACTCATTAAACGTTTCTCCATTTTTGGATCAACACCTTTGACAGATTCTCTTCCTGCACTCTTGGGATTCTAAATCTCTTACATATTTATTTTCTGGGGAATATATACCTTCATGTAGGAGTGCTTTGCTGATTTCCTTCGATAAGACATTTCGACAAATAAAAACCTTTTGGAAGGATGACTACCAAACTACATAAATGTAAACTTGGCGTATGTTGCCAATGAAAACGAAAAATGTCATTTGATTGGAACGTCAACTTGGAACATTTCGTTCCACATTGTACAGAATCCCTGACGACACTGTTTACATTAACAAGGTAACAATTTACAAAAAACATTGAAAGAATTACACATAACCTGCATAGGAGATATACCAACTGATGAAGATGAAGACAATAAATGCCTCTAAGATTGCTTTTGGATGGTGTTACCAACCTGTCGTGCTGCTGAATACCCAATTATACTGAATAACTCAAAGATATGCTCTGAAACCCATTGGGAGGAAATTTTTGCAGCAGAAGAAAGTAATGAAAAAATAAGATTAAGAGTGACCGTATCTTTCGTACTCTGGGCATATGCAACCAGCAACCTTATGTTAAACTTACAAACAAATTCATCCTGCAAAAGAATTATATAGTATTAAAAAACAATTCAGAAAAAAATAGTTGGCATTCGTGAAAAATGGTAATGATGTACCCTTAGATGATGACCGGACAATACTGAATCCGTAATATCCTGAAGAATAACAAGTATAGCTTGCTGAATATATGATACTGCTTCAGATACAGTTTCGGGAACATCAGACAATACGTCACTAAGTTTTTCCTCATTATTTAGAAGCCCCTGGTCCCAGTCATTATGCATGAGCTGCCTTAGAAGCTTGAACAACGGATCTACAAGTGTTTCTCTATATATATTGAAAAGTCATTTAATTATTATATATAAATTTAATAAGGAAACAAGCAAATAAACTTGATGTGATGAACCAAACCTTTTTTTCATGTCTTTCTTCAGTAACAATATATCCAGGATAGAACTGAGAAGTAGTATTTTTCCTCTACTTGTGCTATCCCTGCCACCTAAGAATGTTTGTAACACACTCTGTTTCTTTCGCTTTATTTTACTTGAGGCAGTCTGATGACCTTGTGATTGAACAACTTGGAGAAACTTGGCTATAGTAGAGCAGCTAACCTGTCAAATTCAAGAGAAAACACAACAGTATCAATTGTATGACAGGACAGAGAAATGATAAGAACAAGACTGCTATGGTAGCAGTAGAGCATTTCATTTCACTGTATGCATGAATGCCCATTAACTCATCACATAAATAAGGTAAACTTCATATGATGGGAAATGAACCTGATGTTGACCTTACATTAAAACCCAAGCAAGGAGATTGTCAACAAAATATCTTTGGCAATTTAACATTCAGTTTGCCACCCACCATAGTTATAAGCAACAGAGATACTTAGGTCGCTTTCTTAAACAAACAATGAACAAAATATTTCTAATAAAGTGGACTAAAGCAGGATAACAAAAGCTTTTCATGTCAAATTATATAACTATTTCTGTTCTTCTGTATTTACACAGATAGGCTTTAGCATTGTCTTGTATAATCTGACCTCTGGGATGCATGACGGCTTGTTGATTATCTTCGCCAATTTTTTATCTATCAAAATATTCCATTTTTCCACCAAAAATCTTAGTATTACCATTCCATCTGTCTAAATTGCAGAGTAAACACGGCAGTAGATGAGGTATTTCGCCAGTAATCCTTTCAGGGACCTGATTTTTCCTTATTTGCATTTCATTCTTTCAGATGCGAAAAATAAAAATAAAGCAAGATGAGGTTCATAATTTTTTTGTGGAGAAAATCACATAAGCCAAGTCTACTTCATCCAAAATTGGGATCAATGCGCAACTGAGCTAAATGAAGATTTCTATGAAATTTTTGAGATACAAATACGTGGAGGAAGAAGAGAAAAGGAGGTTTCCAGTAAGGCCACTGGTAAAATCTTTTGATGATGAACGCTGACAAGTTTAGAGAGATTTAATATAGTAGATGATACTTCCAACCAGGGTGCTGATATCTCATTGGGAAGGAACACTGAAGATGTTCCCGACCTCTGGCATGGTCAGAAATGCTAAGCATCATAAACGGGATAGATATCTCTTCTGTGAAGTAAAGGGAATTAATAAACCAGATTTTTGTGAACCGGACCCCATCCTGGGTGCTGCTACTGAGATATCCACAAATATTCAAAAAGGAATCCAAATGTGAAATTGAGGGTCAGATGGATGGTAAGCGCCAATCAAGGAGAGATAGAAACTTATTCTCAGATGTTCGCATGATTTTGGATCATCTGCGGAGAGAAGAAGATTACTTCTGGAATGCTTTTCAAAGCTCTTTGATAAGTTTATCTCATAGAAGTGGAACTACTTTAGGGAAGATGATTCAACTCTTACGGAAAGAGTGTCGACCAAATCAAATTAAAGAACACTGAACGACAGTAATTCTAGTTTAAATTTACAGTTAACGAGAATCCTAGACAATAGCAAGATATTATCAAGTTGAAAGCTTGATATGAAACATTTACAGCCCAAGTTTAATCAAGATGCAAGGAAAAATATTGTTAATGAGGTCTTTTCGCCAAAAAGGAAAATGTTTCGAAATACCAAAACCTAATGTAATGTATTTGAGTAAAAGAATAAGAGAAACGAACATTTATTTCAGTGAGTGCTTCTTTAGTCGCATTTCTTATATCATCATCATCACTTCGGTATAGAAAGACGAGGTTTCCAAAGAGCTCTTCCTGATAAAGAAAGGAAATAGTATCAGTAAATGGATAGAACAAAACAAAACTATGAAATCAACGAAGATGTCAAACGGAAGGTTTTAACCAAAAAAATCAGAACTGTGGTATGCCTGTATACAAGTCTTGCATCTTAGATGCCCTTACAGAACAAAGATGGACATAGTAAAGAGATGAAAGGGCGAGAAAACCCACTGCAAACTATCATGCAACGTGCTACAGTGAAAAATCTACGATAATACGCTCATAGGGGAGAAAATTCGATCTGATAGTAGGCCAAATGATAAACAAGACTGTCATATCTATTCTTCAGCATAGTGTATCAATTTTCAAGGGTGGAAAGCCTTTTATTCGCTACTGACATCAGAAAAATCTAACTTTTAGCCTTCAACTTCTCGAGACTCAGAAAAACGCTATGCCAATTTAATCCAGATCAAACATTACATACAAAACAGAATAACGTAGGAAGGGAGAGACATCCAAATAGATCCTAGAAATAGTCTTCGTCCATGGATAAAAACTTGATCCATCAAATCATAAAGAATTTACAGAAAATATTCTGTAATATGTTCCTTCCAAAAACCACCTGACAATCACAATATGATAAGTTTATCAAGTAGCCTAGCCACAGAAAATGACCATGCACAGTTGTAACAGAAAAATACAAATATCACGAATAATGTTAAACCAGTGGGACCATAGGGCATGAATCAATATACAAGGCGTGGGACAAATGGTAAGTGAATCCAATACACATGTTAGAGAAAGCAGATCTGAAGGATGATAGCAAAACAATAAACAGACACTTCCTTGAAGGATTTTTTGTACAATCTTAGAGTAACACTAACTTGTCTGATCATAGTGGGGAATGATCCGAAAAATTGGGGAGACGAACAGAAGATAAGATAAGAAGGGTTATCTCTAGCTCTACAAATCGCGAACTGAGAAATCAGTGCGAAAAATGCCACACAAGGATCAAGGAGAAAGAAAGAAATATAATAATTGCTGATACTCACAAAAACTCTCCATAGTACCCGAAGTTAAAGGCCAAGGCCCTAGAAGTAAAAACACAGAATATTGTAGCATGTGCTAGATATATTATACATAATATAATTGTGTGAACTAAATCTATTATAAAAAGGACAGTTGAATTCTGCAGTATAAGATAAATGAATAAGCTTAGTAAAATATCCATGGTAAAGATATACAGTAACACTATTACCAGGTTGAAAGAAAATCACACAATTAAATGCGCACGTACTGAGAAAAACAGATGTACATTATAAAGAATATCAGACTATCCAGACAGAGGAAATTATTATGTTCAATCTAAACAACCATAGAGAAGAGCTCAGTAAAACACAAAAGACATTTCACTAAATCATTTGTAGAAATATGACCTGCATCTCAGTACTCAAACTGCCATAGAAGGAAGAGGTCAAACTCCGCAAGATTGCAATGCATGGTTGTTTAATACCTGGTTCTTCAAGGGATTTTCCATCAACCTAGGCAGAATTTGAAAAAATTGTTTTAAAGGGAAATGCATACATAAATATCGATAGAAACAGATCACTTGTACTTATACAAAGCGGAAATAATCTGCAGCACACCTTTAGAGCTTCAATCAAACAATCTATTGAGTCAAAACTGGGACCTCCAGATCTTGGTACCATAAGAGAAATCTAGACAAAAAAACACCGGTACACACTTAAGATTTACTTCAGCAAGAAGTTGAAAAACGAAACAAAAGGAAACAAGATGAAAATACAAACTCCACCACAAAATAGGAATTATTGATTATTTACCTCCAACAGTAGGCACAAAATTTGAATCTCAGTCTCCGACAATTTATCACAAGATCTTGGATCTCTGCCGAAGTAATACTGTTTCCGCTTATTAAGAAGTTCATCAAGTAACACTTTGACCTCTTTCACTTTTAGCATAGAATTTCCCAAACGCTTGAACAATGCTAAAACCCTAATCTGTGAAAGAAGAAAAAATGAATATGGCTTCATTAATACCGAGATAAGCAGAAAAAGGAACATGCATACGTGCAATAACATAATGAAGCTCTCGAGCATAATGCACAATGGTTATCATCCAACATGAAGTAATATGCCCACCTTGCCATATGAAGATAGTTTGAGTCCTGACGCCAAAACAAAGGTCAAAAATGTCTCTTTCACCTGTTGATCAAACCTGAGAAGTATACAAAACTTAATAGTATCAATTTTCCTTTAATAGAGCAGGAATTATTTCTATGAAAAATGAAGCTAATTTAGAGAGCAAATAAAAAGATAAGCATCACCGCAAAGGTTGATTAAAATGTCCCAATGGATGGATGCTTATAAATGCAAAAAGAAAATAACGATGAAATATGTTGGATGTAAGGTACAATGACGGTGGACATGGCTAGATGGAATGGTCACAGTCAAAGACGCATCATGGACTGAATTATAAAGTTGCCACCTGACGTGAGATAACACATGACATCCTGATTCTTTAGATTGATCATTTCAAACACAACGCACTACTCTAATTAAATAAATCAGGGAAACCAAAAAATACAACACAATAGAACATCACAATGAAAGCTTTATCAAAGCATGACAAGAAAAAGTAAAATATGAAAGGTAAATGCACTGAATCATAAATTACAAGAAATACTTTGCTCATATTTTGACCAGAGCTGCTCATACAGTCAAGTTAGGCATTGAGGACATAATTCTAGCATATACAACTGCAACACATTTGAACATCAAAGCTGATCTACAAAAAAAAAAAGACGAACAAACTGTACTTAAAGTGTGAATTCTTCAACGAAATATGGGGAAACTATGAAAAAAACAACGCAAAGAGACCATGGTCAAACTAAAAATCGGGAAAGGTTCTTGAAGTACATGATAGTAGCCACAGAAATGAAAGAACTAAAACTGACTCAGAAGAAAAAAAGCGAATTAAAAATTAAGTTAAAAAGTACAGCTGAACTGGTTAAAATTTAATGAGATGTAAAATAATAGCAATTGCCATAATCGATGAATACTAGAGACATGTACAGCTTGAATTTCTCCATTTTAAAACATCAAACACTAGGCATATTCCCTTTTAATGGGTCTATTTCTCTTTAACCAAATATCCCAAAAGGCTGTATACAGAATAACCAGCCAAATCATGTGATCCAGCTTCCTGGTACACTACCAATTCGAATTTGAAACCAAAGCTTATCAGCATAATATGGGTATACCACTGCAAGCATGGTTCATATAGTAGTTGCCAGGTATCCAAAAAAACAGATCAAGCAGCAAGGACTCCATAAATTTTCCCCCCGCTCACCATAAAGACTAAAATGGGATGAATTGAACACATAGAAGCAGTTAATGGCTCGTAAGCAGGTCAAACTGATCAAATGCAATTGGAGACTAGAGTATACAGTAGGACTAGCTTATTATCCAGAGTAACATCATTTTTAAGGATGAGAAGCAACAGTAAGCCTCACAATCACGTCCAGTATACAAGAGAAAAATAGGGTGAAAGCTAGTTGATTGATCACAACCTAGTTAGACCGTCATATGAAATTAGAGACTAAAGCATATCCTTGGAAGAGTTTATTATCTACAGCAACGCTATCTTAAAGATGGGCGGTGAGATGAGGCCTCATAACTTATTCCCAAATATACAATAGCCAAACATGAAAAAAGCTTATTAGATAAACAAGAAAGTATGGAAAGATAGTAGATGTTTCTAATATGAAGGAGATGCCTGTCGACATTAGACAAGATCCACATATCAAGACCAATATTATATGATTTTCAATTTGTCAAATACGACATGGCTGGCATCAAAAGTAGAGCTACTGAAAGTTCCATTAATACACATATTATATGGTGAACCATACAGGAGTGGACAAAATAAAGTAGGAAAAGGAATTTTTTTCAAAAGCTTTCTCAAAAAGCAGAAATAAATAAATAAAAGAACTAAAATTAGCTCGTACACTTAGACTGCTCTTTGGAGGCAATAATATGGGGATCACTCGTGAACTCAGGCTGACACAAATTTTCAAAGCACGATAACGCCATAACCAGATGAAAGAGATCTTAGCATTTTCAGCCTTATTCATGAAACAGGTTATAGTAGGTGAAGGATATAGCCATCAAAGACAGTATTCCGCATAGAGGTTATTCAACACTAAAGCGAAGTAAGACTCACCAGTGAAATCACTGGTGAAATAATGTAGCAGTAGGAAAGAAATAAAGTCCATTAGTGACAACAACTCGCTTTTAATGGAGGACAATTACGAAATTGTCTTTAAAGAAAAACTCTGAGAAACTACTAATTCACAATTCAGAGTCCAATGAAAGTGCATTTAAATAGAGATGAACATGCATATCAACAGTTCAAAGGATCATTATCTAACAGGCCACGATCTACAGTAATGATAGAACATATTTTCCATTCCCTAGAAAACCTTCTACGATTGTAAACGGTTCCTCAACTGGTCTCAACATAAAAAAGATTTCCTAACTCTTAAATCTAAGACCAGGAGTTGCAAACTGTCTTGATGTAGTTCAATAATGTAAAGATAATAAAAGCACTTGCACCGAACCGTTCTGAGCTAATGAACTACACATTGACAGAGTAATACTTTTGGAAAATAAAAGGAAATGATAATCGGAAACAACAGCAAGTGTGCAAATGACAACACCTCTTGTCAATATCTTGTGAGATCATGAGTCTTTGAGATTGTACAAAAACAGATGCCAAAAATGACGAAAGAAAATTCGCATCTGATAAAATGAGTATCTTTTGACTGATGATCAATCCCAAAAACTCGTCAAAACAAGATGTTGATATGTAGTCATTTCCTGCAAATTCAACACAGTCAATGACAATTAACTAAAGTAAATGAAGGTTCTGAACGATGATCTTGGGAAAGTGATAGACCATTTTTCACGATGGAAGCATCAAAATGCTGCAGAAGTTTATAAAGCTCTTCCATGCACTCCATTGCAGCAATCCTCATATCCTAGAGGAAAGGGCAATATATATCAGCCAAACACACCGAAAATTGGAGCACGACTATCAGTTTCGAAGACGTTAACAGAGAAAAAAAATATTGCCCATTCAACTAGAAACCAATAATACGTCTACAGTATAGTTCACAAGTAATGGCAAAAGATTAAAGAAAACCTTGTTTTCATCTGAAAGTCGTATGAGAAGAGAAGGAAAACAAATTAAGAACTGCAATTTATCATTGGCGTCCACGTTGCTCTGTGTTGAAGATATGGAACAAATTGTTGAAAGAGATTGTAGACTTTGGACTTGGACAATAGTAGGAAAGCCTAGATAGAAAAAAAAAAAAAAAAAAAACTAGTCAGATGCAGACGCTGCTATTTTTAAAAAGATACTTGAGCATCAGCATAAATATAATCCATAGAAAGACAAGTCATTAAAAGAAAATAAAAAAATCAACTAATTATACTTTCACATAGAGAATACACTCATGTATGATGAAGAATCGTGATGAATGCAGACCTTCTGTGGTAAAGAGTCCAGAAAGGAATTGAGGAGGTGAAGGGCAGCACTTCTTGACAAGAAACAGAATATGTTCCTTGAAAGCATGCTTAGCCGATGATGTCACAAAGAAGACAAAGAGATCTTCAAGTATGGAGAGCCACTCGCCAGAACCAGCCTAGGATGAGAGGCAGGACATAACATAAGTAAATAGAATGTTGAATTATCACTGTTACCAGGAGAGAAGTACAGCAGGAGATAAAAATGACAAACCGCAAGAACCCTTTGAGGTGATCCAGAAAATGCTTTTAGCAAACTCCAGTATATACATATGAAAATATCTCCATTTGGCACTTCAGAAATCGAGACAACTCTTCCCTTAGTGAACTCATTGCTAATTCTGTTGAGTTTCTCAATAGAGAACTGCAATTGAAGACAATGATATTTTACGACATAAAATAAAAAGGAATACACCAATAAGCGAATGGAAAGATGTTTATCGGCTTTGACCAACTAACCTCCTTCAAGGGGAGATTACAGTCTTGTGCAATCAAATTCTGCCACTCCTGCTTCAGTGCCAGATGACAGACTCGAAATAACTTCAAGAGGCTCTGAGAATCTAATACAAAAGAAACAAAAGATAATTGCAAGAGAATTACAAAGAAAAATAAGTAGTCCATATACGGATGAGAAACATTTAACTAAAAAACTCGTAACGATTTCATATTTCATGCACAGTTTATAACAATTCTTGTCGTACAAAGTCTAAAACAATTCAGCAATGGTCTACCACCTTACGCAAGGAAACTAGACACCAACTAGTTTTTAATTATATTTGAGCATAAAATAAATATATAAACGTACAAAACTACAAGAAGCTGTATTCATAATAGTATAACATAGGAATACAGAACAAGTAAAAAATAAGGCGAAGTAAGCATCCTAAATATCTATAAACTATAATGAAAAATACTACCCCTTATTAGCATAAGTATTAAACTATACTTCACTGTGTTTGGCTGAACACAGATAGCATTCATTTGCCACACATCTGTTTGCGTTCAGGAAGGCATCTGAATGTGAGCCCCTTTACGAATTCAATAATGCATTCACATTAGTGAATGGATCACTTTTAAGTGAATCTTGGATGACTTGTAATCCGGTGCTATCATCCATAAAGTCCATAAGAATGCCAACTATAAATGACAAATCTTCAAGTCACATGAGGCATGGAACAAGTGGATTTCTAACAGACAAACACTCAAACCAACTAGTATCTGACGGAAACCACATTACAAAGTATATCATTGATGAAGGAAAATGTCCAGTTTTCTTGCCATATAATTATGCATACTATCATACGAAGTGAATATAAGACCAGTACAAAAAAAATCTTTACACTATCATTATGCATACTGTCATACAAAGAATGACTGAAGATTAACTCCATAAATGCCAGAGTTCATTTTAAAGTAATCATTGTATGGATAACCCTGAATTCTAAAGACTGAATTCTGAAAATTCTCAGTAGAATATTGCTTATAAATATATTTAAAAATAATATATGGGGTTGTAATCTTGGAAATATCCAAACACAAGCTGAAGGAGTTCCGAGCTTGTAGATAACAGCTCAGAAGTTTGTCTTCCATGCAGCTAAGGCTTTCAAAATATTCAATTACACAAAAGTCCTCAAAAATTTTAACCTAATCGTTAGCAGCTATCATTTGGTCACTAGATGCATCTGAAAAAAACCCCAAAAACACTCCGCAGTTTGAATTGCAGGTCGGCAAATAAGAAGACAAGTTTCTGTTTTCATTGATTCCTGAGACCTTGAGGCCTGCCTTTCTACTGCCACACATTGATGTCCTCGCTGATGACACCGCTGGAAGATGTAGTTACAATTACAGGACAGTCCGTCCAACTATAAATGTCAAGATACAAAGGCAATCCGTCCTAGTCTAAAAGTCACACTGATACTCCAAAAGAAACTACTTTCAGTGGAACAAGAAAAATGATCCTGACCCCTTATCTTGTAGGTGAGGTCGATCCACAAAACAGGTTAAGCATATTTGGTAATAATCAAGCTCCAGGGGTAACCAAACAAACAACGAGTTGCATGCAAACTCCGGTTGTCAATTGCAGAAAAATCTGCATCTCACGGTAGAATTATGGGTCCCGTTATGCTGGTTCACAATCATCGGTTGCATCTCATCACCAAACAAAATCATCAGCTCTGGCTAGTGATATATCGTCCTACTGATCCCATGCATAAAATCTGGAAGTCTTCCAATTGAATGTTTGTTTGAAGCAGTTGGGAGTGCTGGCAAATCTAGAACCCCAACTAAGTGAGCTATCTCTCTCCACTGGCCGCTAAAACTCCTCATTAGTAATGAACAAAGCCATGAAGAGCACTGCATCTTGTAAACCAACTAAGCCTCCTTCTGTTTCCATGCGTAAAATCTGTACTTCCTAAGTGTGACAAATAGTGAACAAAATATTGCATGCAAAGAAGAAATGAGAAGACAGGACGGGGTATTGCCTAATTACAGACGACTAGCATCCTTGTCCCTCTTTATCTGTGATACATCAAACTACCGAAGGATGTAGCCGGTACTGATGTAGTACCCACTAAATCAGTAGGAGTCTGCTAAAGGGAGGAGGATTTAAAAAGACCATACAGCTGCCAGTTCATGTATACACTAAATTACATGTTTTATTAAAAAGGATATTGTTCTTCACTTAGTCTTCTGTTTTAGACGAGATAACAGAACCCTGTAACATATTCTCATAATGTTTTGTTTCTCTGAAATCACGGTCATTCCTGAGCAATAGACCCAAAAACACAGTACGAACGTGTCAGCCAACTTTTCAGTCTTCTTAGGAATTTTACCAGGAAAAATCTTACCACAACTAATTGCATGTAAAGAAACAACTGAACCTTTGGCACGTTGATTTGAAGAAACTAGGCTCTTGTTCTTTTGCTTCAATGAATAAAAGCATTTTTCGTGGAAACTCCCAACCTTCTCCAATAGAGAGAAACAACGAGAATAAATGAATGCCATAATTAGGAAAGAAAAAGAGATCAAAGCTTATCTACCATTTAGTTTCCCCCCAATGGCATCCGTTGAAAATTGTTCCTATGACAGCCTTAGGATATTGAGCCTTTTCTTCTGTATGTTGATAATGAGTCGAACATTACCATGTGGCACAGATCAAACCGCCCAAGTTTTCAATAATCTTAAGTAGAGAATCATTACACTCCAGAAACGAAGACTCACACGATATGTAATAATGCAAAAATGGGTAGAGTATCAAGATCCACCAAAAGCCGTAAGCAACTAGGCAAGCATAACATGAAGATAGATGAGCACACAAGCTCATGATTTTCATCAGAAGATCGCAATGGTAAATAAATCATTAATAATGGTAAAATATTTATCATGAACACATTTGGAAAAGAAACATTTTGCCTTTAATCTTCCCTCTTCTAAATTGACCCGCTAGAGTCTCAAACTTCACCCTCAATAGTATGAAGAAGCATTATCCAAAGTACTAGTCATCAGATTGAAATAAATTAAATCTCCATTTCACTAACACTTGAATTGAAATAAGGCGATTTCATAGCGTCTCAATACACAAGTAAATTAATCCAAAAAAGCAAAAACATCAACAAAAGATTAGACTCCAGAAAAATCTTTATTTACGACATGCAGAAAGATGTATATTCTTTCTAGATTGATCAACTGCACAAAGTGAAGAAACAAATTACAGGAGGAACTATCAATGTCAATCACATCACCAAGGTCACTTTTTACGACCATATAGATGTAATGAGCATCATGAAATAATGATATAGCAATTATACGTAATGAAGTAAAAATAGTATAAGAGAAATCATCATCGGCAATCATTCGACCATTAAGGTCAACTTTTTGAGATAAAAATCATGCAATAAGTGTTTTAAAATCGAGGATTTCAAACCCAGTCACTTTTCTTGTTCAGTTTTTCTAGGTTCATTTTCAAACATGGATCTACAGAAACCAGAAGGAGCTTCCATTGGTCAACTTTCAGTCTGCTTTCGAAAACATTGCAAGTGATACATACAGCTACATCTTGAAAAGTAGAGAAATATGTTAAACATATACAAATGGGAAATGATGCAAAAAATGTATATACCTTTGTGGATCAATATCGCCTGCAACAAAAGAGACATGAACAAATTTGATGATTCCTGAAAGTTGCTGCAGCATTCAGTCAGCCATTTGATGTGCAGTTCAGGATTTTTCAGAAATGTCGTAGCCATGACCCCAACAGTCTTTCGGTTGATTGAAATAATGTCAGAAGGCTCTAATTCCTGCATTGTTAAGCACTTTCAAGACCAAGGATAAGGAAAAGCAACAGCTAGTGTGATGGGGTGTGTTCAAAGATGCATTTTTGGCCTTGTAAAATAAGAGATGCATAGGAAGAGAGATTGAAATTAGTCTGAGAGATGGTTAAACAGATATGCATGTCCAGGTCTGATTATACTGATCCTCTCACTGTGCGTCGTTTAGTGTTTCACAGAGAAATAAAATATCTGGCATCATAAATTTGTCCATCAAGTATACTAAAGATGTGTATGCAATGAACCAAAAGTATCATTAGACGGTGCCCCCAGACGTAATAAATATTCAAAAAAATGGGACGTATAAATACATTCCGGTATGCTCTCAGGAAAACTCATGCTGAAAACATCTCCATGCTTGATACCAGTATAGTAAAAACCATACTATGATACTAACTCCCAAAAAGATGGTCCAGTCCCTCAATAGAAACAATTAGTGTGTGCTCCTAGTCTACATATTTTAGTAACTACCCTCTTTGCCAAGCAACTACCTTATAAAAAAATCCGATTTTCTGTAAAAACACGGACTACCAAAATATACAAATGACCGATCTGAAAAAATATAATATGAGCTAATTTTCAATAAAAATAAGATTAATAATTTAAAATAATCAAAAAATAAAAATGAGTTGATAGCTATTGTATTATAAGGAAAACAATTGATATGAATTAAACATGCAATATATAATATTTTTAACATGCGAATTTTCCTACATTTATTCATTCGCAGTCACCTAGACAACCAAGATAGTTCTAGCCTGCTATACTGTTATGACATCCCCTAGGGAACATCTTTAAAACACAAATGATGCGGTTAGAATTTCTGCTTCTTATTAAAATGTCACTGATATTTGTATCAATACTTCGTTATTAACTGGATATGTCCGACATTCCAAATAAGTTTATCCTAATATAAACATAATTGTTGACAGGATTCGTGGACAACCCCAATCCTTGGTGAAGCTGGTCTAGCTCAACTCTTTTTTTTCTGATATTGGCAATAAAAATGTACCACCACAGGACATAGAAGAAGTCAGACAACAATTTCCCATTCTGAACCCAGCTATACAGCAATTATGGTAGCTAATTACCCCTGCGTATGAAACAGAAAATTGCCTGAACTATGTTCTTCCCTTGAATAACCCAAATTTTGACAAACAAACTGAGAATTTCAATAAAGAAGAAAAATACCTGCATTTCCCCTTGGAATGGAAGACTATAGGAAACAAAACTATCTGAATAGAATGGCCATTTGAGATCCTTCGCCAACTCTAATGCCTTTAAATTTATCTTCCAAGTCTGTCAGTAGAAAGTGTAAATACCAGAATTTGAAAGATAATAGTTAAAAATAAAGATATAGAGACAGAATAGCACCTTTGGCAGAACAAGAAGAAAAGGGAAAATCATGGTGGCGACTTCCCTGGAACAGGAAGACTCGGGCAAATAAAAGTTCGAAACCATAAACTCCAGACAAGACACTGTAACTTCAGAAGCCTTGCAGATCATATCTGAAGTACCTAGATAAGAAAGAAGAAATGAAAGCATCATAAAGCATTATCCACAGAGTTGAGACCAAAATCCCCAAGAATAAGACAAAAATCAACTGATTATAAGGTACGCATGTACAGATACAGCCAACCAGGCATATCGTATACTTAAAGAATTTAGAAACGCTAACATCAAAGTCACTGCACTTTTTCAGATCAGTCTTATGCAACGGTTGACAAAACATATAGGAGAAAATTTGATGAGGTTCGCACAAATTTAAACAAAAGAGGATGATTGCAGAAAGATAGACATATCGTCCTTCTATAATAGAGCTGGCACTCTAAAATTGATACGTGTGAAATGTGGTTTTTGAAGAAAAGATAAATGCACAGCAAATTAGCACCATAGGCAAAAAAGATGCAGGAAAATACATCATAGGCCACTACCCATCTCCCACATGGTTATTGTAATTAGCTTCTAAGAAGTCAATTTTTTCTACCTGGGTCCAGTTACACACTTCTTTACGGCTGTTACAATTTTTTCCTTCCATTGACCTTGTTTTAAACGATTTTCCTCGTTATCTCCTGACTAAGTTATATATATATATATATATATATATATATATATATTCCCCGATTTTCCGTATTTTTTGTAAATTTATCAGTGAATAATGTAGAAACTCTTTCCCTCGCTTGTGAAGAATATTTGGTGTTGTTTCTCCAGAAATTCCGTGTTTTAACTTGTATTACATACGTGTGGAAGATAGTTACTCCCCCACTCCTGTTTATCTATATGCGGGATCATAAATTACTTATTTGGGCACAGTTTCACGTACTCAGGTACATTATTATTGATTTATATAAAAAATTAGTAACCACATGTATTTTATGTTTCAATTTATCCAGTCAACGGATAACATGACAGCACCTAATCTGGCACCAACTGGATCACCAAAGTATTGGCAGAGAACGACAGCAGTCCACCATATCATTGCTTACAAGGCAGAAACTAAAGGAAACTATATAATATACAGACGCCATGAATCTGCCAAGTTTCAAACCAAAATAACCTTTATATTATGAGCATTATGCTGTATCATCAAATGTCAATTGCTACACGAATATGGAAAAAATGGAAATGATTACACAAACCGCTGATTTTTGGCATCAACGACCATCAAGCAAAAATATGTTCCAAAATGAAGGGCTGGTATAGTGAAAGGAGTTGACTGGAGAAACTATCCCAATCTTTCAGTGACAGATTAGTGGAAAAATGCTATACTATCATGATGGCAATCGCAGAGACAAGAAATAAGAAAGAAATGAATGTAAAAGAAACTTCAGAGAATACCAGTCTTAAATAACGCAAAACATCTGATAAGTAAATCCCGAAAGGCCTTCAGCAACAGAGGAAGGCTGATTATTCCAGCCAAACCATCTATTGACAAAGCAGCTTGCACAACACTGAGATCGTCATCTTGAAGACAACGTAGGATTGCATCCCGAACATTGATAAGTTTCTGGGGACATCACAACAAAATAGGAAAGTTAGGTCAGAAGATAAAACTCAAAAGGATATACAATGATAGTACATATTTCGCAAGATCAACAAGAAAATATATTTATTAAACACAGTAGACAATAGAGAACTCATAATCTGGAACACAGGTGAAACTAGTAGTGCTGGATGGTACCCGTGCATCAGTGTCTTTTTTTTCCAGTATGCGTGATGCAGATAATCCAGATAGAGCAGCTCGGCGAACCACCGACTGCAATAAAATAAATATTGAGAAGAAAGAAATCTGAGTCAAATGTCGGTAACTAGAGTAAAGATATGAGTGCAAAGGACAGATCATAACTATAATAAAAATAAAGAAACCTAGATATACAGCACTTAGAGTCCCAAGGAGCAACCTAGTCGTAAACAATCCCAAATAGGGATATCTACAAATGAGAAGCAAATGAATAAATAAAAATTTAGTAGCACGCTACCTTCGGATGTTCAAGAGCAAACCAAATCTTTGAATCAGAGATCTCGAGTGGCATGTCTAAACTTCCATCAATGATCAAGGATAGAGTCTTAGTAACGTCATCCTCTTCCTTGATGAATATTTTTGAGTTCTGTTAAAAAATTAAAAAAAGGAGTAAATAAATAGAAAAATGAGATGACTAGACTAGATAAGGTAGCAAAATGACCTCAAGGAATTTCCTAAGAGTTCCACGCCATTCAGATGGGTATGTCCTATCAATAGCAATCAAAATTTGTTTCACCCAACTCCCTTGAAAACAAAACAAAAAAAACCAAACTATGAGACATCTGCTTGATGCCAAAACTAAGAGAACCAAGAACTGAACAAAATCAAGCCATTAAAGTATGATATCACAACAATATAATATAAACTGAAAGACTGGAATGATCCGTAACCGAAAATATCCGAAATGAGTACGGTGCTGAATGGACAGAGAACAGACAACTCCACCTAAGAAAAGTAAAGATGAAAAGGCATAATTTGAACCGGTACCTGCTTCAGGTAGGTCATTAATGTTAACACTACGTGCCCATCTCACACTAAAAGAGAGCACCTTAGATGCCACAGTGTCAATAAAACCTTCCATCGGGACAGTTTCTATGATGGTAGATAACATGCGACAGCAAGAAACATCTGATGGGCTGCAGACAAAAAGACTAATTTTCAGACAATATAGAAAAAAAAAAATTGAGATAAATCACTTTACCTGTAATCAATCAATGCTTCTAAAAAGAATAACAAGAACTTCGTGATGTTGAACTCTTGTGATAAACTTTTAACCACCACAGCAAAATCCCTTCGAGAATAACAGAGAAAAACGTTCCTCAGAAGAAGTGACTAAAAAAATCGCCAAATAGAATTTTACTGGATGGAACACAAGCAACAGACGCCACTGTAACATACCTAATTTCAATCAAACACTTCAAAGCCTTTTTTGGAAAAACTGAGAGAGACTGCGTCTACACAGAAAAAGCAGAAATCAGCTCAGAGAGTGACTAAAAATAAGACTATTTTGTTTTAATTTAGATGATGTCAGTAAAAAATTACCTTAAACAGTTGTTAACATGATACGTCAATAAAATACAGAATAAAAAAAATGTTTCATACAGTTATGGGCACGAAGATCACTCATTGGGATCTAAATCTTTTACAGTAAAGACATTTCAATACACTGAATAACAATCAGGGGAAGAGTCTGTATATTTCTAAGAAAAGTCATTATTGCAACTTGTAAAGTGAAATAATGACTTTATGAGCAAGAGACTAAAACCTGATAACTCAAAGATCACATCCCACCAGCAGCTCAAAATGCGAAAGTGCACAAGAAATGTTTCAATTAAAACAATAAGGCATACCTGTACAATATTAACAATAGTCATCAAAGCCATATGAAGCCATGGCACACCAGACAACTCTTTTGCATCTTGTTGTACCATCCTTCCAATAACGTAAAGCAAATTATTTGAAAGCTTTGGAGAAAGTGTGGCTCTACTAGCCACTAAACCCACAACCATTAATGCACCTGCCTGAAATAAATAAAGCACTACGATTTCGTCAGATAACCAATCAAGCACAGAGATAAAAAAAAAAACTATCAAATCTACAATCAATAAAGCAATTAGGTTTATCAATATTTCCTGAAAAGAGTATTATTAGAAACTTATAAGTAAAAGGGACATCCTAGAAGATTCTTGTAAGAAATATTAATGCTAAAATTGTGCATTTTTATGCAATCACATGAGACATAAAGAGGAACTTAAGAGTCTTGAGATGCTTCTATCTCAATTTAATCAGGAGGCATATTGATCACATTTCTTTTCTTCCAAATTCAGATAAGAATGTTTCATTCTTCACCACTGATAGCCTGCCACCTTAGATCTACATATTTATGCAATAGTTAGACTAACGTATTTCATTTTAAAAGTCAGGGATGATGCTTGATTACTCTGTGCTTATCTTCCATTTTGATTTCAAGATTTCTGGGACATTTCTTTTTCCCCATCAACATGTCAACTCACTACTTGAGAGGTTAATTATACTGTTCCTTCTTTGGCCATTATAGACCTAGTTGTTTTCCTTATGGATAATGATAAGCAAAATTAGATTCTATTATAGATGCCATCAGGTACTGATTAATTGCACTCTATATTTTGGCCTACTTATACTTGTCATAATAATATTGAAACAGAGGATTTATTTGATAAAATTGTTTCACATATAAAACATTATATTCATGCTCAAGTTTCTTTCACTGCACTTTTCATGATCTTCCCAGGCAAAAGGGATATTGAAAAAGGTTTGATGCAGTTCATGAATGAGATGTATGAGAGAAAGACTATTCGAGGGATGCCAGCAAAACTTTGTTAGCAGAAGATAGTAAGACTTGACATAAATTGTGGAGAAATTAAAGGTAGAATGGACGATTTAGAAAGGAAAATTTATTTCCTATAGAAGGGACTTAACTTGCAAAATTTTAGAATATTAGAATATCTGCAAGATAGCATTTCAGCATAGAGACTTACTGTAGCATAGTTTGTCACGACATTAGTCAGAAAATAATATGAAGACAAAGAAAATGGATAATGGATATCATCAGCATTAAATTTCAACATAGAGTTTTCACTAAATGGCTAAGAAAATTGAGAACCAAGGATGGCGATCCATGGCTAAAAGTTAACAAAGAAAGTATATCAAGAGGCAAGAGTATTATGTTATTTGGGCATGGCGCATGGTAAATTAACTACTGTTTCCATGGCATAACTCAGGTATGTCAAAACGACGTCATTGAGACAACAGTGCTTGATGATCTAACTCGATATATTATTCAATTATCCATGTGTTCCCAATAAACGTACACATCATACATATGTTCAGTCTTTATCTGAATTATAGATAAATCTTTAAATTATAACCCATAATTCCACAGCATCAAGTCAATTCTTCATACACCTTTAATCATATCCAGTGAATACAATGCAATGCAATAAGATAGCCAACGCTGCAAAAATCAGATGCTAACAGAAATTTACAAAAGAAACTGCTTTCTTTCTGAATAATTTTTTCAGATGAAGTTTGTGATATATTTATCAAATATACATCTTAAAGAAATGTTGATTAAAAATAAGATAAACAGATAGAAAACAGACATAATTCTTCAATTGAACTACATTGGGACCTTGCTGTCTTGACCTCCATCCACCTCTGGATTAAGTCCAGAAAATATAAAAGGTATGACCCTCTTGACAGTATCATCGTCCAGCTGCTGAGTGGCACCTAACGCCTCAACAATGACTGCGGTACAGAAGCAGACGACCACCTTTGAATGACAGAACACTTTTGTCGGCAATGCCTGAAATAAGATGCTCAGGCTTATCAGACAGACATTCAGCACAATTGATTGAGAAAAAGATTACGACAAGGGCAATTAGAATCATGATACCCACATAGTTGCATAACGCCTCAAGAACTCCTTTATCACGTATACACTGCTGCACTATAACTTTCCTTGGAGGTGGCGCTCCGGATGACTTAACAGCCTCCAGAAATCCCCATTTGTTATTTCTACACCGACAACAAATGTGGTCATGAGAACTGAACTAGATGGAGAAAAAACAGAAGAAAACACGCCACATTCTATCTCACCCGAACTCCAATAGCTGAACGATCCTCACAAAAGCGTGGGTATCATGGTGAGGCAATGCGCACAGAATCAGGTCCTCAGCATTGAATACGTGCACCCTGAACAACGATAGAGCCATGTAAATTCGAGCACAATCATTACGCGACTAAAACAATGAATTTGACAGGGCGGCGCAATTAAGATATAAATTCCAGGTGGAATGGGATTAAAAAGCAAGCGTACCGAAATCTCCTTATCAGATATTCAAGTGTCTTGAGAGCAGCTGGCAGCTGCATGTATCCAGAGAGCAGTCTCAGATATGAAGAAACAGACTTGTTGAGCTTCAACTCATCCTTGGGTTCCATCTTCTCCCTGTCCAAATCGAGACTCGTGTGGCTGAAGAGCGTGCTCCTGTAGCTCCCGAACCGGGCATCCTGAACGACCAGAACATCCAGACCTGCACGTTCCTCAACGGGAAAGATCAATCACGAGTCCCCCCCCCAACCGACCCAACACATGCAAAATAAACGGACACCTGCGGTCGAAAAAAGTTAGGCGACCCGGGTTGAGACTCACCGGAGATGGCAATGGGGAGAATAGTCCGAAGGTCGATGTCCGCCGCCTCCCTGGGGTCGAACAGCACGGAAGGTCGCGTGACGGGTCTCCTGCTAAGGTCCTCGCGGCCCCTAAGGCTGGCCCTGATGGCCTGCAGCTGAGCCTCTATCGACGTCGCCATGGCGGATGCGAAGGATACAGAGCTCAGCGCATATGGCGGCGATTCGTCGTGTTGGGTTGCAGAAAAACCCCGAGGTTCCTAAGGGGCCTCCAGCAAACCCTGACGTCGACCCAAACACCGGCAGGGCGGGAGGCGGCGGCTATACTTATTCAATCCGACTTCACCGGTTCGGGGAGGTAGGGTTTATACGGTGCAAATGCCTCCGGAAGGGAGGGCCTATTTAAAAAATCCATAAACCAATTGCCATCCGAAACGTGGCACGTCATGAGCCCACGTCAACCCAAGAGATCAAAAAATAAGTGGGCTCACGCCAAAAACCACTTGTGCACATCAGAGAGAGTGAGAGAGGAAGAGAGAGAGGACAGCTTGCCCTTCATTCTACACACGAGAGAGAAAGAGAAGGCAAGGAAGAGAAACCCACGGAAAACATGGCACAAACAAGCAGCACATCAGGCTGTCTGTCATTGATCCGAATGAGGGTACATACGAAGAACAGGAGGGACAGTTCGGGGGGGCAAACTCGTTGCTTGCAACTGGAAATGCCCATCCTTAAGAAGGGAGGAACAGGCTGGGAAAACAGCTACAATTGCAATTCTGGCAAATAAATAAATAAATAAATAAAGTCAACAATAATGAGTTACACGTGTCTCTTTTCAAGGGAGGGTGGCTTGACTGGAAAGTAGCCCTGATCAAAACAATTGCCAGGCCAGCTGTGTCATATCGGGTTGACTTATTACCAGGCCACTGACCCATCCGGAAGAGTCAGCGTTCTTCACCATCAGTGCTTTTCACTTGCTTGTTGTATATAAAGACTGGAGAAGAAAAATCCTTGCCCAAAAGGGCATCATGATCATTATTATTATTACTATTATCGACATTGTACCATAAATTGGATACGAGAACCTAGTTTCTTGGAGGAACAGCAATCTTGAGCATTGAGACATTGGAATAATGCGAGCCCAGAAAGCCTCCCAGACACACCAGACCTGGGGATCAACCCACAGGCCAGTGCAGATAAATCAAACCGGTCGGGAGAAGACAAAAGCCCCTCTAACGAGGTCCCCCAGATAAATGAGCCGAAAGCATATAACTTGGAACATATTCCATGATGAAGAACAATGAAGAAGGGCGCATGATCAATGAGAGTGGATCGCAGACACAGTGGAGACCATGGAGTCGATCCCGCACACATTGCGACCCCTGCAGATCCTGTAGTAGCCTTTCTCTCCCCAGCTTTCTCCCCAGGAGTTCTTCACAATCCAGAACGGTTTCTCCTTCAAACGTATGGGTGAGTAGCCAGCTGAACCATACCCAACGAGCAGCACGCCGTGGTCCAAGTGTTTTCCGCATACGTAAGGGCACGAGACGCCACCAATGTACGTCTGCATAAAGATTGCATTGATACCAACTGCACCCATGAAAAAAAAAAAGAGGAAAATGACTGTAGGTCAGTCTATAAGCAGACGAAAATGATCAATCTTGGCTGTCTAATTGCTGTGCGAACAGAATAAAATTGAGACAGAAATTGATGCTGAATGGGGATGTCCCTAGACATGGAAACTGGCCACACGGGGCCTGTGTGGATCTATCAGAAGGTTAAGCTTGTTGATTAATGCTTTCCTATTTCAACATAAAGATGCAGTTAGGTAGTGTTATTTTTATATTGATTTATTTTTTTTGACAGATGAATACTCAAAACATAAAGCATGTAAGAGTCATCAACACTAGAATGGTGGGTGGGTCTTCAGAGTTTTGGTCCTTCTAGCCACCCATGTGAACATTAGCATCGGTCATGCCTCTGTCTCAGCCGCATGATGGCATTCTACTGGGTACGGGTACGTTAGATGGTGGTGATGGCACAAAAAAATTGTGGCTTCTACTAAAACAGCATCTCAATTCAGCTCGAACTAAGAAAACTATGATTCAAAGGGTAAGAAAAGATGTTGGCAAGATTTCTTTTCTGAAACTCTGCCCTTTACCCGCAAGAGGTCCATGTTTCACAAGGTTGGCCGCTATTTGTTCTTCATCCACAGATACAACACTGAAATTCGATACAGCGGCAGCAATCTTGCTCTTGTCGAATTTGCAGGTGCCACGGTCTGTTCCCGTGTAAGGATAATCTATCTCTCGCTGTAGCCCACCAGCTTTTATTAAATACTCAAAAGCCGTTGTCATGAGTCCACCATTGCAACCAGAGTCACAGGCGCGGGGTTCCGTTGGATCACACTGCAAAGAAGAAGAAGAAAAATCGATGAAAGGACCTGATCATATATGTTCTAAATATTATTTAATGGATACTAGCTCAACGGAAGATGTACATATATTTCGTCTCCATCGGTATACACTCATAAAGCTTCCTGCATCCATGGATTCGGCAATAATTACCTGACGCCTGTCGGCTTATAATAATTCTTTGAGCTTCCTGAACTCCGAAATGCCAAAAGAACATCGAGGAAGCATCCGAAAATCTTAAAGGTGACACAAGTAAGAAGCGCATAAACATAGTACTAATTGTACCTCGTGGTCACAATCAACTAGCTGTTGTTCGCTGAGGCTCTCGAGGTTGCCGGTGGCCACGAAATTGGCCCCTTCCAGGGCTCCCGCCGCGCTAAAGGACCAGCACGATCCACAGATACCCTACGATAGGCGTAGTAACACGGCTATAAGTAGCTGTAAGGAACACGTTTCTAATGTAGAGTAGAAGAAAGGATGGATTAGCTCATCGGGAATAGATCATCCAGCACCAACCTGGTTCTTGACGGGAGTTACGGCCCCGCGCTGCCTCCAGTCGAACTCCTCAGGGAGGTCGATCGTGGGGAGGATAGGAGCCTCGTGCGCGTTCCCGGATGCCGCCACAGAGAACAGTGCAGGGCGGCGCCGGTGGAGACCAAGATACCCCTTTTCAAACTCCTCCTGCGTGAGGTCGGAGAACGGGGTGACCCCGTGGAGGGCAGAGGGGTCCAGCAGCTGGTGCCGCCGCGCCCGGCGAAGGTTGTCGCTGAAGACGGAGAAGCGGTAGCTGTGCTCCTCCGGCGTGGCGTACGCCTTGGCGTACGTCTTCAGGAAGGCGGCGAAATGCCCCTCAGCGTTCAGCAGGGCCTCATCCGCTACCGGAGCGCCACCGGATTCGGAAACCACCTCCCTGATCACTGGACCTTCCTCTGCGGCGCACTGCTGAAGACAGAAGAAACAAACCAGAATGGAGGACAGGAGGAGGGAGAGGCGATCCATGGCGATCTCGGGCACGAGGGATTGAAATGGAAGAAGCAGGGGAAGATGGAGCGATCCTCCAGCTTCTCGCTCCTGCGTTCTCCCCTCCTCCCTGCAACTGCCGTCCATATATAGGAGAGAGAGAGAGAGTATAGCGTGCTCCAATTGGATTTAGACACGTGTCGATACTGTTTTAAAAACTACCTCCTGGCGCTCTTCCCGTGTCGGATCATTACCCGTTATCCTTACCGAATGACCAAATCCGCATCGTGAGGATCAAGGATCCGAGATCGTCAGCATCACTTACCGTCCGTCCGCTGGATGGCGCATTCCGTGCCGTTGGATCTGGATCGAGGACCCGTAGCCGTCGGTAGGACGACAAAGACGCGGCCGAACGGAAGGATCGCGTGAACCCGAACGAGGCATATGGGACTAAACACGTTGCGCCAGGAGATCCGTGAAAGGGGATGGACGGTTCGGATCCTTCTCGGAGGGTGAGCCATTGCTATCCAGAAAGGGAGATATTTCCCTCATTTTAAAAATTTAATGAAAAACATATTTATGCTTCCATTAACGCCTTTTCTTTGAAAGGCGAGCACCCGAATATAATATCTCAGGGGCCTTATTCTTCACTTCATAGACGTTAATGTAAATGAACCCGAATATTTATGCCCTTATTCATATCATAATCCCTATGTTACCAAAAATATACTTTTTATATAGTTAACCTTCACTAAGTTCTCCACATGAAGATTGCTCAGAAATATATCATCTTTGCTTATAACCTAAGGTCTCACGTCACAAGCTAATTATTATAATTAAGATCATTTTTCATAAACAGCATGTTTATTTTGTGAATCTTATTTTACTCAAAAAGGAAGTCTTATTTTGTGATCAATAATATCAATGGGCTGAGGGAGACTAAAGTACAGCTTGATCTATCTTGAAGTCAATTTCATGCGACAAAGATTGTGCCAAACTTCAGAAGATCACATGATAACTGTGTGACACTAAGATTGGGCCTATGATTCCGCACCTTTTCCACCTCGTGTATGCAAGAAAACCCCCCCTCTTGTTTTTAGTTGACTAAGGTGTTTTCATATTAATGCAATGTAGCCAAATTTTCATGAAATATGAAATGTAGGTGCTACAATTAATGTTATTTAGTTTTCTTCTTGGTATATATATATGAAAGGAGAATTTTCTACAATGAGCCAAATTCAAACATGAATCTTATAACTAAAGAGGTGTTTTTGAGATCCTCCTAATCATTTGGAGAATAAAGAATGAAGAAAAATATAACCTTACATGTTTTAATAGACATCTTATATCTATTCATTTAACTATTAGCATGATTTCTCTTCAATTTCAAACATGATATGTGAAAATGGTCATTTAATATTTATCCAAAGTTTTATAAGACTTCAAATTCTGATCAACTTCATAAATGTGCCTTGGTTTCAACCAAAAGTACATAAAAAGTTATTAAAATTTTGTAGTAGATTGAGAACTTACTTGGGAATTATTTTGTTGATTGCATTTAATTATAAGCATTGGATTTAGCATACACCATATGGTTGAATTTGGTTATGGAAGTTGGTATATATATATGTGTACCAGAAGGTGATGGATATTAATTAAATGTGGATATGTTATCTGATGAGGACATTGAAGATGGAGACATCCCAAATATGGGATGGGGTATCTTTGTACTTGATTCTGAAAATCATAATTTTAAAACATTTAAAGCATCAACTAAGATTAGAAAAACATGTGATCTAATGAAAAATATATGTGACAATACATTATGATGGAGATTTTATGAATGTCACAATGATAGTATGAACCACTTAGAAATAACAAAAATGTAATGTTATCATCTGCCATGATGTGCTAGAATCTGAAGTGAAAATGATAGGATATAAAACAAGGTTAGAGAGTTTAATATTTAGGATTTAAGTGAGATGGGGATGGAATATGAGGGAGATTAAAAAGTAATAATATAGATGTACATTGAAATATGTTAAGAGCATAATCATTTATATCTTTGGAACATGTGAACACAACATGTTTATGATTAGATTCAAGTTGATGTTTGATGAAAGACAGAGACCTAGAGATGTAAATGTTTTAGTCTTTATCTCATTTAAATTTATCTTACCCAAAAGTTGAAGAGTTTAAGTTTTCATGGGGTTGAGTTTGTTTGAAAGCTCATTCTATGTTCATGTTTTGGCCAGCAAAATGATTTGAAAGATTTCTCTTGGCCTAATGGCATTCGCGTTGGAGTTGTAGAGATTGATCTCTTATTTGGCCATATTAGGCTTTATTGGGCTCTTGAACTAGTACATGGATCCAGTTCTATGGCCCCATTTGTTTTATTTTCATGTTTTCGCCAGCAAAATCACCGCGAAAGATTTCTTTAGGCCTAGTGAGGTTCATGTTGGAGTTGAAGAGATTGGTCTCCTATCGGGACATGTGAGGTTTCATTGGGCTCTTCAATAAGTACTTGAGAAATTTTTTTTAATTTTTGGGGAATATTTGTCCTCTATCTCCATGAAACTTTACCATGGTCTTGTATTTAAGAGGAAGGTCCTCAACCATCTCATGTAACCAAGGTGTGAAATGTGTTTTGGCACCAAATGGCTATAAAGGTCAATTTTTAGAAGGAACCTTAATCTATTTATGACCATGGACATAAGAGTTTCTTCCAACCATGTAAGTCTAGTGTCTACCTTGTTCTCTCTCTCTCTCTCTCTCTCTCTCTCTCTCTCTCTCTCTCGCTTTCTATTGTGTTTCATCTTGCATCAAACCCACTATGCAAGAAGGGAAAATAAGAATGCTCTAAACCCGAACACAATTCATTAGGAGCAAATGCACTTCTAATACACATACCCCCACCTTTTACCCTTTGATGCACTTGTTATCACTAGGCATAAAATTTGTTATCATTTGCATGTCTTATTAGACATTCTTTTCTAGGCTTTAGCCTCATAGGAACACACTTATTGACTTATTTTTTAAGCTTTTCTCATCTTACAAGAAATTGAATCTAAATTATATTCATAATAATGTTAGATTTAAAGTCACACTTCAACTAAAAATGGGGACTTGGATTGATCTTATCCTAGTTTAACTTTAATCAATCATTCTAATTTTCTTGATATTGTTACTTTGATTATAAATTGTTTTGAATTTTGAGATCTAAAGTGGGAATACTCAAATATTTTTATAGTGATTTGGCTCAAATATATGTACACTTTTTAAAAATATCATATTCTTGGGTTCAACTAAATCAAACCTTTAGCCAACAACTACAAATCATCAAGCTCAGTTTGCACATAATTTATCCCAAAAATTCTCATCTACATTCACATCTCTAAGTGGGACAAAGTTGATTATAGGTATCAAGTCCTTTTATGTGATTAAGCCTAGACTTAAACATCAATATATCTCACATATTATAAATAAAATATTAATTATTGTGATTTTTTTTCAAAATTTGATGGATACTTGAAACATGTATAAAAATTTAATGGAGGTCTATTTAATTATACTTGATTTTCTTTTTCCTCTTCACATTGAGAAGTTATCTAATTTCTGAAGAAATTGGCACTATAATATTGTTGAGGAAGATCACCATTGGATCAGAATTTTTTTTCAACTCAGTATCTTTTAGCTGTTGGACCAAGCTTCAATAATGACTCATATTGAATGTAATTATTTTTTTAATTAAGAAAATAGTAATTTAATAGTTTGGAAAGATCAATGATCATTGTTCAAGAGAGGTTAGCCATTGGACAAAGGCTGAATTTATAGAGACATTAGAGATGCAACATTTTCTTATATTATGCCATTGTTGGATGTTAAAAACAATTAAAAATTTGGGTGGTTGGAAAATAATATAATACATCATTTAAGGTTGAAATAGTAATTTTAGCCATTACTCGTTAATTTGCATACCATAATTTTTTGGTTCTGAAGTATTTGATAAAAATCTACTAATAGTAAAATGAAATTGTAAATACATCAGTAAATCAATTCATAATTTTATAACTAAATTATATATAAATAGTCTCAAATAAAACGTGAATATGAATAATTCTCAAATGACATTAAATAAAATTAAGAAAATTCTGAATGGCTATTTGAATAGTGCATTAGTTGTTAAATTATTTCTCGTATAAAATGATCACAAATAATAATTTAAATTTTATATATCTAGTTTACATCTTGTATACTAACTAAACTTTCATATTAATATTTTAGTTCTAGTATTTTGTAAAATATAATGTCAAATCATTATGATTAGTGCATGACATTTCACGAGAATTGTTGAAATAAAATATTTGTACAAGTTTTTGTCTAATATACTAAATTTTTATTACTAGAAAATCATTTCTTACAATCATTCTTGATTGAGAAATGATTGGTTAAATCCATCCTATTTAAATGGACACTCAAGGTTTTTTAAAATTGTACTAATATTAGTTAAAAAATAATTTTGAATTATCATAGGTCACCAAAGTAATGACGATTAATTATAAAATAATTATACTATGTCAAGTAGCACAACAAAAAACCTTAGTACAAGACCTTATCTGCCACCATAATAGGACCTTATCCATTCTACATCAAGTATGAGAAGACTCTGTCATGGATTTTTTTTTAAGGTTTATCATGATCTAATTGCTTCAATGGTATTTTAGTTGTGGTTGATATGCTAAAAAAATATTATCATTTTATTCCATTGAAACACCCATTCACATCACAATACATAGCATAATATTTTGCAAAGGAGATTGTTTGCCTATATGGTCGTTGCCTATGTCTATTATATCTGACCACAACAAGAGCTTCATGAGAGCTCTTTATCATGTGTTATTGAAGTTGCAAGGGATTCGGCTTCAAATGACCTCTTCTTATCATCCCAAATACAATGAATAGACATAGGTTGTGAATAGATTATTGGAAACTTACTTGTGATGCTTCATTTTAAATTGATTGAAGGACTAGAGCTCCTTGTTACATTTGGCATAGCTATCTTATAGCACCACTTGCACTTCATTTATTGATAGACTCCATTCAAAATGATTTATGGGTATGATCTTCCCATAATCATCAAATAAGGACTCTTCCCTTATCCCCCATCAATTGTGGATCAACAATTACTAGAATGTGATCATATCCTCTGCCCACTCAAATCACATCTATAGAATTTTTAGAACTAGATGAAATGCAAGGTTTATTGTCACCATCGCCTAATTGAATTCCAAGTAAATGATAACATATATTTAAGATTGGACCCTTACAAAATGAAGTCTCTCACTTGCAACACAAATGTAAAACTTCCCCAATATTTTTTGGCCCATTCAAAATCTCTCATGTGGGTCCATGAATATACAAGCTGGCCTTACCTCTAGTATTCTATTATAAGTTAGCTTGATCAATACAATTTGATTCCCACTCAATTTGCCCTTCACACTTTATTATACAAAACTGAAATTAATTTCAAATTCAAAATAATTAATTTACTAAGATGTGTATTATCAATTTTATTCTAATGATAATGAATTCTTCTTAAATAGATTTGAAGTATTAACTTTTGGAGATGTATATGATAATACTTGATGGATAACATAATGATATTCGATCCTTAAATGGGATGTCATATTCATTTGAAATTGTTCGAACTTATATCTAATTTTAACATTAAGAAATGAAAGAAAACTAGAGGAAGCTTTCGAATCAAAATTCTCTAAAACAATTAGCCTTTCTCTAATATATAATCAATTTTAGATGATTATCTATGAACTCTCTACTACTCAAGTTTGTTTCTATGAATTTTTTACACAATTTTATATGCAAAATGAATGGCCTTTGCAGCTTGGTCAAATAATAAGAAGAGATCGAGTTGATGATCAGAAATCTATCAAAATATTTGAGTATTATATATTTATATTTGGGAAGTTTAAAATGATTTAAAATCATATATAGAAGATAAAAAAAGTAGAACAGTTGATTAAAAGTTTAAATTAGGATTTTATCAATTCAATACTTCTTAATCTAAGTAGTGCATTCAACATGTATAGGATTTGATCAATTCAATGCTCCCTTCTTGACTTAGGATTTTGTTTTCAAAGATCAGTGTTAAAAAAATGAAGGAGGTTAATGTTTAAAAGATATTCCTACATTCAAAAAATAATTACTTATATGATTTTATGTGTTACCCTTTTGAAAAAATAGTTAGGGATAAATGATTAGTTAGTGTGATGTAAGTATGGGTGATAAGAATTTTTAGAGAAATTTATACATAAATTTTTGAAATTGGTTATGAAAATGGTATGTTGTATTGAAATTAACTCTTGGTAATTAAAGTAAAACTTCATTTATTCCGAAAATATTGAATGTAGTTCATTCTTTACATTTTTTTTAATAATTTAGCAATGATATATCAAGTGACATGATAAATACTACCTTTAAATCCAATAAGAAATGTTCCATTTGATATGTATGAATGATCACAAGACTTGATCAGAAATTTAGAATAAATTATGCATCATGTGGTGACACAATGAAGTCTTAAGTACCTCTAGGAGTATTGTTAAAGCTTTTTGTTTGATTTGAAAATGATAACTTTTTGAGAGATGGCTGAAATCTTAAGTACCTCTAGGAGTATTGGTTGAAATCATTTCATGATGATTTGCCTTGTACTATTTCTTGAGTATTTTATTCTTCATCAGATGTAATTTTTATGACAATTTCTGAATCACAATTTTTCAAAGGAGATGGATGTTCATAAGACTTGTTAGTGTCTCTTAAAGGTATACTTATAAATCAGTTTGAGTTAAAATATCTGATAATTGATTTATGATTTAGAAAGATAATAATGATATATAATTTAAGAAATCAGAAGTTGATGTCTCTTAAGATCCAAACAAAAATTGAGGAATGACAAAAGCTTGATTTTAAAAGATTATTCCATTTTCAAAAGATTTCAAAATTTACCAAGAGATGACAATTTTCAAGGCTTGATTCACATTATAGGTAGGTATAAGTATACATAATAGAGAATCTATGATTCAAATTTAATATTTTGAGTTTTAATTCTAAATAAACATGGTCAGTGATGAATGGGATATGAATTGATGATGTGAATCAACTTTTATTCATACACATGTAGATGAATGAAATTTGACAATGTGTTAAGTCAAGTTTTGTGTGATAGTTCCATGTATTGACAAGCTCTTCTGTAGAATAAAATTATAGAAATTTGGCTGACAACATAGAAATGATTTGGTGTGGTCAAGGAATTGGTTCCCCTTATAATTGATCATTGGCCTATTTTCTTCAAAGAGTAAAATTGAGTCTCTATTTTCATATGTATCTTCTCTTCTCATAAGGCATATACTTGCCAAACAAAAAAAATAAAATCTACTTATATCCTCATTTATTAATCAATATAATCATATAAGACATTTACTACTCTACTCAAAACACAATTCATAAAAAAAATGAATTCATGTCTACTAAAAAATATTCACACATGAACACAACCATTAAATTAAAAAGAATCTGAATTAATATTAACTATTAAATATTAAAAAATATTTTTATAACTTTAATAACTAGTTTGAAATTGAATTACATATCCCTCTTTTGATACACATTCCAATTACACATTTTAGAAAAATGGTTCTTTACTTAAAATTTTAGTTGACATATTTTTCCATTGATTCTCACTCACTATAAATAAATTTAAAGCATGACCAATGTTTAGTATCAGTATGTTTTATTTAGAGTAAATTATTAGTTTTTCAGTTGAATTAATTATACATGTATTATTACACATAATTGAGATTTTATGTATTCTAACAACTATATACACTACTTCAACCATGAACAAAGCTACTATTACTTATTTCTTAGGCGCCCAAGAAATGTAACATTAAAACTGATTCATATAATTATATTGTTTACCAAAGTTTTAGTGAAATCAAAATCATAGTATGCAACTAGATTCATTTCACACTAATTAGGAGATAAAATTTCTAAATCAATTGTATGAGCTATATGTTTTAAAAGAAATACTTATTTTCATATGTAATTTTTTTATGATAACTTTAAAATATTACACATAAATAGACATGAAATATTATCTATTGGTTTCTTGAAATGAAATAAAAAAAGATTATGACTCCTCTATATATTTTCTAATAAAGATAATTATCAATTTTTATTTTTGTATTTATTTGTGTTTTATTTTCTTTCTTTCTTAGTAGATCACATCTCTCTAATAGCCCCTTATAGTATTTTAGTTTAGAGAAAAAAAATTTATCATTATTATAAATGTTTTAGTGATGTAAAATAATGCTTAATTTTCAAAATTATCCATATTACAATTGGTTTAATCAAGATTTCAATGAAAAACATATTATAGCTGTGCTTGCATCTATATGAGAAGCAATCCCTCCTTCAAATTGAAACTTCAAATTCCAATATCTCAAACACTTGATTTATTCATATGTACCTCTTAAGACAATTTTTGTTTTTAGGATTTACTAGAAGTGCTAATGTCTTTAGCAAAGTCAATGACCAATCTAGGTGAACTTCAATTTACTTCCTACACCAATATATGATAAAATTCATTATTTTACAATCAAAATATACTCATAAACTGGTTAAGTAATTTGACATAATTGAGATCAAAGACCACAAATTTTAGTTACAAATTAATTTTGATGAAAATTTAAAACTAATTTATCAAAAAAGCATAAATAAATGGTTAAATCCTTTTTTCTTGGTTATGATGAGATATATTACCTTATGTATTGTTTTCCTTTGCTCTATATTTTCATGAAAAATGATTTGAATTATATTTCACAATCAATTTTATTTTATTTTTTTTGTAGAGTAGTGAAATTTAAATTAGTTAGATTTTGTGACTTTAATTTTTAAAAAAATAGACAATAGAAAGGGATAAGTATCTTTGGTATACTTCTTGAAAGATGCTTAATATCGCAATGTGTAAATAGTGTCAAACTATTGCATTATCTAATAGTAGGGTCAATTATGTAGTTGATAATTTTCATTGTGTATAAATCATAAAAATTATATCTCAAGTATAATATTAGGCTATAAGATGAATAGCATCCTCATTATTATTTTGATTGCAATCTCAATTAGCACAAGTTATAAATCTTGTAAATAACCAATTAATACAAGTTAGAAATCTTGTAAATAACCAATTAGTACAAGTCAGTTGCCTTTAAGAGAATTTCACTTTATCACATTTTAAAACTTCATATTCCTCTTCTTTTAGAGTTAGAGTATTAATTAATATTTTTTTATTCTGATAAGTATACACGATGCCAATTAATAGATAGAATTATGATACTCACTCTTTATGCATGATATATGATTGAATACTTTTTTTCTATATTTACATGAATTTAATTGAATGTAAAATTTAAGAAGGATTTAGACTAATAATGTTAAATATCCAAATTAGAATTAAATGAATACATTTGAATCTCATAATGTTGAATTCTAGAATTTAGATTATGTTACTATTTGAAATTATTACTTCCTATATTTTTGTGAGAATTTTTAAGATTTAGAAAGCTATAAGTAATAGAATGTAATGAATTTCATACTTAAATTAAATTAAAATACAAGTATGAAACTTTATTCAGACTACTAGATGCTTGTAATGAGAAATCATTATTTCAAATATTATTGACATCCAATTAATATGTTGAATTTGAAGTACTTATTCAATTATTTGGGGAATTTATAATAATAAAAAGGATTAATTTTTAAAATGCTCTATATCACCAAAATTTATTAAAGTGCATATTGGGATCATGATCCAATGTCTTGTTTTAACCATACTGAATCATTATTGGGCTTACTTGAACTATTAAATTTTGGGTATAGTTGTGATCATTTAAGGTCTACACTTATTAATTTATCTTAAAAGATATCTAACTCTTACATGCCATATTAGTTTCAGACATATTAAAAATTTAATTCTTTAAATTTCATATTGAGAGATGATAGAAAATAATAGAAGTTTTAAAATATAAATTATCCATAAATTTAGTACATCTCTAACTAATTAATTATGAACAATCATTGATGACCCCTCTCTTAGGTTATGTGTGGCAAAGTGAGGTACTAAAGGAGGGTTAATTGATTTCCTACATTTTCTACTTGTGTGTAAATGTGTTAACACAAATTATAATATAGTCTATGAAATCTATCTTTGACTCAATTTAATGTTTTTATCTTCATTCTGTGGTTACTTTTGATTTTTTTCTCTCTCACTCCTAATGATGGTGGATATAAAGACTTTATATTGGTTCACCATTCCTTGGGTTACATTTATTATTAAAGGATCTTCTTTTTGAATTTTCATTATTTCTAGTAGAAATATAGTTAACTTCTTGAGCTCAACTCTCTCAACACAACAATTTAATCTCTGCAAAAATATCACCCCTCAAGGGCAGATTTTGACTCATAGCACCGCATGAATAAGTTAAGATACACTTCTCATTAAAGGATAACACCCTCCACGAGTGGATTCTAACTCTCAACACCACGTGCTTTAGGCTTACCCTTTCTCCACTCACCACCTAGATTATCCTAGGGTCTAATAGAGAGAGACAACCTTCAATGTAGTTATTTAATGAATAGTATGACATAGATGATCAATTAGGATGATGCTTTTATTCTTTCTTTAAAGTCTGTACTCATTTTGTTGTAGAATGTTGAATGAATCCTTTTTTTTAGCTCATGTAAGTGTTATGGATGATCATATAATTTTAATATTTTTATCTCACTCTACTTATGCTACAAAAGATCTATGTCACTTTAGTATTGAAAATAATCATATAAGTTTTAGTACTTTCCCATTGTTCCATCAATACTCTAGTGACCTTCAATTACTTTTTACTTCTAAGATTTCAACTTCGGTGATAGACGTTCATAATATTTTGTCTAAAGATTCATACTTGATTGATGAATATTTCTTCTTTAAGAAATATCAAGTATTCTAGAATACATATATGTACATGCTTCAGCTTTAGAATCATATATGTATTCTACTCAAAGAAGATTGTTTGACTTATCTTTAGTCCACATTTTTTTCTGACGATTTATCATCTAGAATACATGCTTTTGACCTTCAGTCATACTTCAGCTCATATCTTTTTTTTTGTAGGTATGATGTCCTTAATGTACATACTTACCTTTATGGTCAAGCTAGGATATTATTGTTAAGCCTATTATTTAGTCCACATACATTAATGATGTGTTATCATCTAGAGTGTGAGAGGTTAACTTTAAGTCTTCATTCACTTCAAAACATATAGGTCTCTCACAAATAGTCTTTGAAACTTTTATATAGAGATATGTGTAACTTCAATAATTAATTTTATTTTTGATATTAGGCTAAAGCTTGGTCGTTTCCACTTTATCATTTTATCTATGTAGAAATTTGACAAGTCACCATGTAAGTTATGTGGTAATAATTTATTTGCCTCTTTCTTCACTTAATTCAAACGCTCCAACTCAGATGTCATATTAGTCATGAATTTGAGTCTTACTTTACTCATTAATCGTTTATTTTTATTTTGAATATTCTCACCATCTTTCATGTGTCATTACAATGCTCTAAATTCAAATTTTCCCTATGCTTTGATTTGAATGATGTGGCTATCATTTTTCTACTTTCATGCAGTTTACTTTTTGAGTTCGAATCCCATGTCTATCATAATATTTTTTTGATATATTAGACATGTTTACCTTGATGCTTCATTTTTCACATTGATCATGTGTTACATTTGAATATCATTAGTGACTTTGGTTTTTCAAACTATACATGTCTTTGTCACACATCTTGGCACTTGTTATGTTGTACTTATATTCAATAAAATATTTTGTTATACTACAATACAAAATAATATCTAAATGACATGACTACTTGAATTTCTTATTAACCATAGAATTATGCATAACATCATCAATGTAAAAGATTTGAATGTTTGTGATTGAATTTGTCTCGTGATAGAAAGAATCATGATGCATATAGATGAATTAAGTTTTGTCTCATTTAAGAATAATTAATAAATAAAATTTTCATATTATATGTTAAAACACTATGCGTGTGTCAACACCAAATGCATCCACACACTAACATCTCAAGATTTTTGTAACATTTTTCTGAAAAGAAATTAAAAGAACTTGAGTGGTCTTAGAAGCTCAAGTTACTGTTGATAAATCAACAAGTTGAGAAACAAGAGCCAATTGGAACAATCATTCTCAACTTTATTGAAATGTCAATGTCTTCAACATTTAGTTAGTTTAGGGTTTATGTAAAGAGTAGAATAATAGTCAAAAATAACTTTACTTCATTTTCATTGAAATTTTAAGTGCACTCTAAATTAATATCAACATTTGAAAATAATAATTCTTAGTGTAATTCATCTTTATTTTTATAGGAAACCTTGTGATTAGATATGAATATAATCATTTAGGGAGTTTATTGCATAGTGTGATTTATAGAGCCATAAATCTATTAAAGAATTATGAAAGAAATTTTATGTGAGCTGAGTTCATTAATTAGTAGTTATTATGACTAAATATTTAGTTTAGTGAAACCCAAGAACAAGGTGTTCTTGAAGATGAAAAGTAAGCATGGGGTTGAATCACTATAAAAAAAATTAAATAGAGATTTAAGAAGCCATTTGATTCAAGATCAAAGAAAATAAATCAAGCAATGTAAAAGAGTTGACAAAAGTTAAAACTAAGATCCAATCAATTTAACATCTCACTTTTAATCTGTGTGGCCTAAAATCCAATATCTAGAGCTTAACATGGTTAGAAAATAATTTTCAATACTTTCCTCCTACTATTTCAGTTACCGTGTGAAAAGTGTATGAGGACTAATTTTTTAGTGTTATACGACTTTATCTCCTATGTATTTTATTTAGCCTCAATGTTTACTAAGATTAAGTCTTGTTTACACAATGTGAGTCAATGTATGAGTCAACTTGCTTCTTACAAAAAGTGATGGCACAATCAATCCTTTGTATAAGTGATTTCTTTTTCGTCATTACAAACTGAACTAAATTGCTCCAAATGAATTTGGTTCATCCTTTGTATAAGTGAGTTGGAATAAATATCAATGCTAATATTTCTTTGAGAATGAGAAAAAGAATATTTAGGGCTTTGACTATTCTTCTTCTGTCTTGTTTTTCCATTGTCATTGTTGTTGGAGATAGATTGGAGATTTTCGGATCTTGATAACTATCAGAACTAAGTGTGATCACTAGGTATCAGAACTCTAAGTATGATCATTCCTTTGGTTTATTCTATTTACATTGAATCTCATCTCTACGGCCATCAAGCCTTTGCGAGCATCTATAGTTCTTTGGTGTCATGAACAATTGATTCATCCATCTTCTGCTATCATGAATTACTTGTTCATGTATTTTCTACACTAGTTTCTGTAGTTTTTGGTATGATTAAGAGTTGGTTCATGTTCTATTTTTTCTATTCTCTAGTTTGTTTGATCTGTTTATATTGAGTGACTTCAAGATTTTAGAGAACACCGCAGCTTCAGGACATCAATGAACTTTAGTTTGATCAAAATCATATGGAACGAGAAATTGGAGAGTACTCTGATCTTATACCATATGTGTTTTCAAGTGATAAAGTTGTTGATATATTAGCCAATGACTTGAATAGTGCTAATTTTCAACCACATGTGCCCAACTTAGAAAGGGGATGATATGCATTACCAATTTGAGGGGGTTGTGTCAAAATATTGTATATTTTTTTCTTTTTTTCTTCTATTCTTTTACTTGTCAGTACAAACTGAATCAAACTAATTAAGATTGATTCAATTCATCATTTGCATTAGATAGCTGGTGTAATTAGCAGCCTTGATGTAAACTATTTTATTGAGAATAAGAACAAGGGTTTTTAGGGCTCTAGATTCTCTTCTCTTGCTTCATTCCCCTTTCGTTGTTACTGTTGGAGATTTGTAGATACCAACTTAATTTTTATATCTCCCTAGTTGAAATGCACTTAGAATGGGTATGAATAAAAGTAGTCAATGACAACACACTTGTGAATAAAATTAAACCCAATTCACCTAACGTGTCATAGCCTTCTTGAATATGAGATTTGGAATCATGATTTACTATTCGATGAAGCCCATTGATTTTGAATTTTAATTAGTTATTAAGTTATTGTTTGATTTGTAAGTCAAGAAAATAACTAAATTCGCTCTTCTTTTTTTGATGAGCTCTAGTTGTAGAAAATCCAACAGGTTGTAGTTGTTCCAATAGCTATGTACCAAAAATGGTGAAAGAGTAGTTTACAGTATCATTACTATGGTGCAAGCATGAGTAAAATAACATGGACGTGGTTCGATAGTTCTCTTTCAAATTTAGGTTTTTTATATTTTGAGTCTTTTCTTCATAACAACAAGATGAACTAAAAATTATTCTTTTGATCTCCAATTTTTTATAGACTTTTTTTATCGAAAGAAAAATATAGTTAAGCCATAGCAAAATATGAAATACCTTTGTCATTGAACATACTTTTTAACATCAAGATGCATGACTCATAGAAACTAACAGGAGACAAATACCGAGGAGAGAGGGAGAGAGAGAGAGAGCGCACAGTGGGAAGAGGAAGATAGAGAAGGGCGCGCGTGAAGGACAGAGAGAGGGCCAGAGAGAGAGAGAGAGAGAGAGAGAGATGAAACGAGGGACTCAGAGAGCGGATGGAAAGACAGAGGAAGGGACAGAGAGAGGTGTGGAAAGAGAGGGAGTAGCACACCTTCAGAAGGTCGCTTTCTAGGTAGGCTTGTATGCTCGCAGCATCTTTTGGCAAGAGGATCGTTGAGAAGGTAGAGTATGCCGCCATGGCCCCATCCAGGACCCCTCCACCTTCCTCCCCGCACTTGGGAACCACAAGAGGGGAGGCACATGCTGGCATCGAAGCTTTTGGAACATGCCGAGTAAATCTTCAGCACAGCCGGCGCCAGCGCCAGTGCCAGTGCAGCGGAACCACAGACAGGATCCTCTCCTCCCCGGATTCTTCCTTCCCACCTCCCATCATACGTTCCTTGGGTCGCATATTCGCCATGAAATGCATCTGCATGGTGCAACGTGACAGAGTCATTCCTTCTACAAGCTTTGCTTGTAAACCACATCCACATGCCCACGAAGAATGAGAGCGAGCGAGAGAGAGAGAGAGAGAGAGAGAGAGAGAGAGAGAGAGAGAGAGAGAGAGAGAGAGAGGAGAGTGCATGCGTCTGTCCCATGGTTTGATAGTTCAATAGATAGAGATATATGTTATATGGATTTATCTGGATATTGTGCGTCTGTGTGACGTAAATGAGAGAGACGGAGAAGAGAGTGTGCACGTGATGTGCCCGACCGACTTGAGAGATAGATAACTATATTGGTAGATGTGGATCAAGAGATTGCCCGTATGCGAAAGAAAGGGAGATAGATAGATAGAGATATAGAGACAGAGACGCGGGGGGGTGGGGGGGTTGACAGAGAAGAGAGAGTGAACGCGTTTCGTTACAGTGAGAGATATAGATAGTTGTGTATATATATGTACGAATCCAGAGACCGTAAGTTTGGGAGAGAAAAATGAATAGATAGTTTTCTGCGGTGAAAAAGTGAGGGAGACTGAGATAGAGAGACTGGCGTCGGAGAGAGTGAGATAGAACGGCTGTCGGAGAGAGGAGAATTCACAGATACAGAGATAGCTAGCTGGAGAGAGAGAGAGAGCATTTCTTTGTTTATTCGTGCAGATGTTGTTCCAGGGGGAAACAAACAGGGCCAGAATAAAGAATGAAGAGCTGGAGGCATAGTTACAACAGTTCTCACTCCTCGGCGAAGCCTGGGCCGGCGAGTGGAGGGGAAGAACACTCTACGAGCTGCTGCATCCGTCTGTCAGGCTCCATTTTTAACTCCGCAGAGAAGATAATGAAAAGAAACCTCCAACGTGTCTTTTCAACGGCTCACCTTGTGTGCTTTGAGACGAGTTCATATATTATTCCCTCTCGGTTTCATCCCCCATCCTCCTGAATCCCCTATTCCCTATAGACGGACAGACGGAGGTGGTAGAGAGTGAGAGAGAGAGAGAGAGAGAGAGAGAGAAACGGGTAAGCTTTGTGAGTTCTCCATTCGGTGTTCGTGACACGTGCGAAAGGGAGGAGAAACGTATATGCTGGAGCGTGTATGCCGTACCGTTGTGGGCCGCTCGATGCTTGGAAGAGCGTGATCAGGAAATGAAAGGCGGGTAGGAACCGACAGCTGCCCGCGGCGCGGGGCTCGAGGTGGGGGAGGCGGCTGGCAACTCCCGCCCAATCATTCGCTTCTGCCACCGCCACGTCAGCTCACTTATTGTGAAGCCCGTTAGTTTAGGTGAGAAGGGAATGAACCGGGTTGGTTCGAAAGGTTACATTTTAAATTTATCCTGAGCCCGCTCTTCCAAAACCTGCTGCCGACGGGTTCGGTTCCGTCGTCCCGCGCGGTGCCCGCTGGCGCAGGTTTCGCTTCTGATAAACCCGAGGAGGACAAGGTGTCGGCGGGAAGGGGGAACCGCTATTTATTCACATAATTCGTGTAAAAACGGCGGCGCCAGTTCGGACCACCACCCGGCACAGTAAAAGCAACGGAGATGGAGAGAGAGAGAGGCGGCGAGTTCGTAACTCAGCGCGTCAATCACATCCGAGTCGTTTGCGGACATTAAATTCCGGGTCCGGTCCCTCAGCCGATTCGACCGGGTCACAACTAAATTCCTTCGGGAATTGTGCCAAAAAAAAATTACACATATAATGGAAGGCTAAATATTTTTTTTTACCGCAGTAAGATAAATAAATAATTCCAGTCAAGATATAAAAAAAGTATAAACGAAGATAATTATTGAGTATTTGGTTTTTTTAGGAAAGGTCCTCATAAAAATGAGAGTACGTGTTATTATGCGCTATTATTGTTATTATCATGATGATGGAAGGCGGGGGGAGACGTTAGGAGTGGGAGATGCTCGGCCGACGAGGGTCTGTAGAGGTCCGGCAGAGTGCGGGCGGGCCGGGCGGGGCTTGGCCGGGCCGGTGCAATAAAGGTGGCGGCCAAAAGCCGCCGCCCGATGACGAAAGGGCGGCGTGATGATGAGAACCACCGGCGGTGAATCTCGCGAGACGCCAGGAAAAGTTACCGCGGGGGAGATGAAGAAGAAGAAGACCTCTTCTTCTTCATCTCCTCCATCTTCTTCTTCTGCTGCTGCTGCTGTTTCAGCTGTTTCGTTGCATTCTCCCGCCTTTGCCAAAGTAGAGGCCGGGGGGGGGGGCGGGGGGATGGTGCAATAAATGGCGATCGAGGGAGTGGGAGAGAGAAGATGGGGGCGGGAGGAGGAAAGGTGGGGGGGAGGGGTTGTCTCTGGTTCCCTGCTCTCCGAGGCGGCGCTGCAGCAGTGCTCCGAGTCCGTGATCTGAGAGAGGAGGGGAGAGACCAGATCTGCGAGGAAAAGGACCGTCAGAATTGTGTAAAGCAGTTCCGTTGCGAGCTTACACACGTAGAAGAGTGAGAAATAGAAAAAAGAGGCTGCTTCTGCTTCTGCAACCGCTGCTGCGCCTCCGCCGCCAGCAGCTGTCGCGGCTGCTCCCGCCGCTGGTCGCTGTCCCCCAGTATCGTATCGTATGTGAGGAGGAGAGAGATAGAGAGAGAAGAGAGAAGAGTGAAGGGGGAAGAGGGAAGAGGAAAGAAAAGAAGACAGGAGCGCATGGGGAGGAGGGATTTTAATGTGCGTAAATATGCATAAATGGAAAGCAAATCCGGCGCCGACGTGCCTGTGTCGACAAAAGTGGAGGCCAGCAGAGAGGAGAAACGAGCGGCGGCAAGATCAGCTCGCCAGCGGTGGTGAGAGAGAGGAACAAGAGGGATAAGAGGACAGAGAGAGAAAGAGGTAGGATTGGGAGAAGTGACTCTCGGGGCAGCTCCAATTCTCTTCTTCTACCCTAATTCCACCTGATATGGATCTTCCCCGGAGGGGGAACCGATGGCTGGGTTCCCAGTAGGCGGCGGCGGCGGCGGCGTGGGGGGGAGTGGCGGTCACAACCAGCCCCCCTTGGAGCCGATCCCACAAGACAGCCTTTTTTTCTACCCTAGGGAAGGAGGAAGGGTCCCCGAGGAGCTCGCCACCTACACCAAGGGTTTCGAGCTATGGCAGCAGCACCACCTGCTGGAAGATGGCGGGGCCTCCAGCAGCGGCGGCGCCGTGAGTTGCCGTGATTGCGGCAATCAGGCCAAGAAAGACTGCATGTACACGCGGTGCAGGACCTGCTGCAGGAGCCGGGGCTTTCAGTGCCCTACACACATCAAGAGCACTTGGGTTCCCGCTGCCAAGCGCCGGCAGCGAGCCGCTGTGAAGCTTTCCAAGAGACCGAGGGAGATTGGCGGTGCCGCCATCACCACCACCACTACCTCCTCCAGCACGTCAGGTATTTCTTCCTCCCCGTCCCTTCTATCTCCGCTACGGCTGCAGCCCGCTGATATCTCTTCTTCTTCATCATCATCATCTTCGTCTTCTTCCTCGTGTGGGTTTATGCAGGAGGGATCGAGGCGGCCAGGAACTTCCCCCCGGAGCTGAGCTCGGAGGCGGTTTTCCGCTGTGTCAGGGTGAGCGCAGTGGACGAGGCGGAGCAGTACGCGTACCAGACAACCGTCAACATCGGCGGCCACGTCTTCAAGGGCATTCTCTACGACCAGGGCCCGGATCCTCAGGGGGCTTCCTCTTCCTCTCCCGCTGTCTCTCTCGCCGCCACTGCAACTGCACCCGGCAGCGTCGCCATGTTCGACCAGGCCTCTCTATATGCAACTCCTCTCAGTGCCCTCATGGCTGGTACCCAGTTCTTCCCTCACCGCCAGCGGCCCTAGAGGAAACCTTGCGTTTTTCTTTCTTCTTCCCCTTCTTCTTTCTTCTTCTTCTTCCTTCTTCTTCTTCTTCTTTCTTCTTCTTCATCTTTTTCTTCTCCGTCTCCTTCTCCTTCTTTTTCTTCTTCTTCATCTCCTTCTTCTTCTTCTTTCTTCTTCTTCATCTTTTTCTTCTCCGTCTCCTTCTTCTTTTTCTTCTTCTTCATCTCCTTCTTCTTCATCATCATCATCTTCTTCTTCTTCTTCTCCCTCTTCTCCTTTTTCTTCTTCTTCTCCCTCTTCGCCTTTTTCTTCTTCTTCTCCCTCTTCTCCTTCTTCTTCTCCTTCTTCTTCTTCTTCTTCTTATTTTTCTTCTTCTTCTCCTCCTTCCCCTTCTTCTTCTATCCTGCTCCTCCTCCTGCTGTACTAGACCGTTCCCCCCAGCTCTCGCTTGTGGAACATCTTCGAGTTCTTCTCTTCACCTCGAAAGAGAAACATGGGAGGAACAACGCCATTAGAAGCAGCCAGCAACAGCAGCTAGACAAGCTTCAGCCCTCCCCCTCTGCCGTAGCCACCTAGTCTGTTGATAAGCTTTTCTAGCATCACCTCAACGAACCGCCATGGATGTTCTGAGAAGCTATCTGGAGATGATCTGCCTCTCAACGTTCAGCAGACGAAGACATTGTTTTCAGTTCCCCCTCTGTTGATTACGCGAATACACCTGAGTTTCTGATTCTTTGCCGGCTTCCCTGACTGCCATCATTCAATCACTATGATGATTTTCTAATGCACAACATTTTCTGCAGATAATAAACTATCTCCATACACTATATCTCTCAATCTATCTCTTTCTCCCTCACTCTCTCTCTGCTCTCTACCCTCCTTTTTCGTTGAGGATTCTGAACCCAAGCCAGTGATCCCACATAGTAGTGATAGGATCTCAAGTGTTGAGCTGCTTCATCCCACATGAACCCACAGAAACACCCTTGGACCTAACCTCTCCCTCTCCCTCTCAACATTTCCTTTTCATCGAGGATTCGGTTAGAACAATATCTCTCTCCTCAACGTAAGCCCTGCAATCCCACACGGTGGAGAGAGGATTTCAGAGTTTCAGCATTTTATATCTCACAAAAGCACCCGCGTAAGTACGCTTTGACTTTCTCTCTCTCTCTCTCACTCTCTCTCTGGTGTAAATTCAGGCTATGTCCTATACTGGAGGAAGGGGAGAGAGGTTTCTGTCCTCTTTCTTACAGTAGTCCTCAGCAATCTTTCACTCCTTTCTTTCGTCCTCTCTCTCTCTCTCTCTCTGTCTCTCTCTCTCTCTCTGTCTCTCTCTCTCTCTCTCTCTCTCTCTCTCTCTCTCTCTCTCTCTCTCTCTATCTATCTCGCTCAGTTGGATGCTTTGTCTTACTTGCTTAATGGCGGGGGTACACCTGAAACTGCCAGGTTCTTCATTAACTATTGCGGGAGACCATGGATAATAAGATTATCATCAACGCTGACAACTGATCGGGAGACACTACGGCCGTTTCACGAGGGTTGACTTTAAGAAACTGTTGTCTTGCCTTATGGTACAATTCTTCGCGAAGGTGATCGAGTATCTCCCTATTTTATGGTAATATAGTTGGCTGTACTTCCAGGGTTCCCTATATTCTGATTTTTGCTCCTTTAATCGTATCTATGTACCTGTTTTCTCCTATTTCTGTTGCCCTTCCATGTTAATTTCTCTTTCTCTCGATCTCTCTCTCTCACTCTCTCACTATCTCTCTCTCTCTTTCTCTCTCTCTCACACACACACTCACTCTCACTCTCACTCTCTCTCTCACTCACACACACACGCACACACTCTCACTCTCTCTCTCACACACACACTCTCACTCTCTCTCTCACACACACACGCACACTCTCTCTCTCTCTCACTCTCTCTCTCTCTCTCTCTCTATCTATATAGCTATCTCTATCTTTCTCTCTCACTCACTCTCTTTCTTTATGCATCTATCTCAATCTTTAACTCGTTCGTCATTGCAAGCATGTCCCTTACTGCGTTCTTGAGAGATATTTCTGTGGCTATAAGTTCGTTTACGAGCTTATGCATTTGACACAGTAGGGCTTGTAAAGCGGATACGCGGCTCGTCTTCTATTAGCCCACCAGCCTCCAGTGCTGGCCATGGCGAAGACGACGACCATTTATGATTAGGTTGAGAATAGTTGATATCAGTGGAAGCAGGGCGAGCGAGAGAGAGACGTTTGATACTCTCCGCATTTGGCTTTCATTCTCTTCTCTCTCTCTCTCTCTCGATGGTTCCTCTTTCTTCCCATTTTCTTCTACTGACCCCAGAATCGTGCATTAGATGACACATTGCATCGCCATTTTTAGAACTCTGCTCAATTCCATACATCACTGGGTAAACGATATTGAGCAGAGCAGGTAACCCCTTAGAACTAACGAATGATACTCCATATGATAGATAGAATACACAAGTCCAGTATAGTTGCCCACTGATTTTGACTTGGCCAACCGAAATTTCAGCTTAGTATCCAAGCTTAGAGAGAGAGGGAGCGAGCGAGAGAGAGAGAGAGGATCTATGTCGTTGATGGAGGACTAATCAGGCGATAAGGAATTGACTCAATTCAGAAAGCAATACGAGGATGTTTCCATGCTTGTGTTATGCCCTGATTTGAGCCGTGGACTGGAGGTTTCGTGAGAGTCTCGATTTTGATTCGTCCCCGACCAGTTAATTCAGACATCTTGTGCGCTATGATCTTTCATGCGGTCCTAACACGCGGAAGAACTAAAACAAAAATTAAAAAAAAAAGTATATCGTGAAAATTGAGTATTCGACGTACAACTTAAGAAAAAAATTCAACGGGATCACGCGGGCACGCATTTATTTGTGATTAATCGAGGATTCAAGTTCACCCAGAAATCTTTTTTCGCCGCTGTCTCCGATCAAATGCACGACTTTCTTCGAGTTCTTTCTCCAGATATGACTCGTAAAGTGATCTGCAAAAGTGGTTGACCTTCGTTTTTCCACGTAAAAAGGGCACGGCTTTTCTCCGGCCCGCGTTCGCCGCCGAGATATCGAGAACAAGTGGACTTCAGTCTTCTGTCCTACTCTGCAAGGTGCCGCGAGAAGTTGGGATCAGGGGGCTCGGAGGATGCTGAGCCTCACCCTGCGGCAGTTCCCCCCTCCGCTCTTCTCTTCTCCGTCTCCGGCCAGACGAGGTGAGGAAGAAAGCTTTGCCCCCCCTGAGTCGCTTTATCCCCTGTAATTTTCTCGCCGGCATCGAAGGCGCATTCCGAAAATCGCCGACGTCAATCGGAAAGATCAATCGGCGGAAGATGAGGCAGAAAAGTACCTTCTGGCGGTAGACTCTGTGTGCCTCTTCTCCGTTTCAATGAGCAGGTGAATTTAAGCTCCCGAGGGAGCGCTGCGGCGATTCAGCCCCTCATGACCTGGTTTTTCCCTGTCTGCGCCGCATCTGCTTGGCGAATATCCATGAAGATACAGCAACTGCAAGCAGAAATCTTGAGATTTAAGATTCACCGGGCGGATGCCGGATATCCGAGGTAACTGTCGAGCAGGAAGACTGGGTATCCCCTTCATTTCCATTTAAGTTAGTTTTGATAGCGTGCGCAGAATAAGGCACAGGGAAGTATGTGATCCGCATTGTGACAGGGAGAAATCTAATGGAAATGGTTGGTCTGTCTAGCACAGCAGCCTCCGGGGTTGGGAGAAAACTTGCGCACGTCAACCAATTTCGTGGTCAACGTGATAGGAGAGTGCCATTTATAGGGGAAAAAGGTCGGAATAAGCTCACTTGAGATGGTTTGAATCTGTGCAAAAGTAATTGCATACCGAGGAGGATATGAAATTTAGAACGATAAAGTAGCATGGTTGAAGAGCACATGTTCTCTTGTATTGGACAGATGGCGATGATCATGAGCTGTTGATGCTACGAACCCAGTTTTGGATAATGACTCTTTTCCATCTGCGTCAACTGATGAACAGCGGTGCATCTATTTCTTGCACTCGAATGAATGCTCGTGATCCTATATCACATTATTTGGCACCTTCTGCAGATGGATGGATGGATGGATGGATGGATGGATGGATGGATGGATGAGATGAGATGAGATGAGATGAGATGAACGAGTTTTTATGATTTTGCGGTCATGGAGAGGAGATATCTCCAGAAAATATAAATTACGTTTTATTATAAATTCTGTGGCTGCATCAAATGCGTTTGGTTCAGAGTGTTGATGGGAACAGTTCTTTGCGCATTTATAAGAACTAAATGTTGGAATATACGCCTGCAATGCATAAATGAATGCACTGTGTGAAGTAATTGCTTCCCCTTCTGAACTTGATGTCCGGTGCTCAGGAGGGTACTACAAGCCTGGACTTTTAATGGGTCATCCTTCCATTTATATCCATGTGGGGGTGGGGGAATTTTAATGGGTTGCTGCTCATTTGAATCGGAGAGGAAACCAGGCTGAACACCCCTGGAAGTGGGATCGCTCCAAGATGAAAAATTGGTGTGATGCCTCTCAGTGGTAACCGAGGCGATGATGGGATCTAAGGATCGCTGTTCTTTGTTGAATATTTCTTAAAAATATGATTTTTAAGCATAAATGTATGTTATTGGGATCAGATTATGACACTGCTTATCCCCCATGCTGCCATGCCAGAATGTTCATGCTTGAGGACGATCACTGCAGGAGGCATGAGCCACAGCCCAGAAAGAGGAAGAGCAGGAACAGCGGCGCTTGGTGCGGGGGATCGGCTTTCAAATGCCCAAGAAAAAGCAAGCGGGAGGTTGTACCTCGGGATGGACTTCGGGACGTCTGGAGCTCGATACGTCCTTGTGGATGAGTCCGGGGCTGTTCATTCCGAGGGCAGAAAAGGCTACCCACCGCTCCTCGTATGATCTCCCCCCAAAACTTCTCCTCCTACATGCTATATATATTCATTTGCTGTGGTTGATGGCATTCATCTGGGTCGGTTTCTAAACCTAGAAAGATTCAGCGGGAGAAATCGGGTATGATTTGAGCGCAGGATTTAGCAGAAACCGCGGCACCACAGTGCGGCGTCTCTGTTCATCCTCTGAGAGGAAGAACACGAACATGAACACGAACATGAACATGAACATGAACATGAACATGAACATGAACATGAAATGAATGGGCTTTCCTCTGATTAAAGCGGGCATAGCGTCGTAGAATGGGTTCCATGCCCTTTTCTTTTCTTTTCAATTCCTCAGATGATCTGAATCTGAGCATGAGATATAACTTGGGCATCTCCGCGCTGGTGGACAGGACCAAAATGGGAGGAGCTGGGAGAGATCCTGGAGGGAGACCCTTGAAGCCCTGCTCGGAGAGATCCCTCGCGAAATCTGCTCCCACGTTGCCTCCATATCCATCGACGGCACATCAGCGACGACGTTGATCATCGACAGGTATCATCATTCCCCAATATCTACACACAAACATATGTATATAGATAGAAAGAAATTTGATCTTCTTCTTCTTGTTCTTCTTAATGGATGTGGTTTCTACATTTCAGCGCCACGGGAGAGTTGCTATCGAGGCCTCTGCTGTACAACGAGAGCTGTCCAGAGGCCCTGGAGAGGGTGGCGGCGATGGCACCGGAGAACCACACGGTGTGCTCTGGTTCTTCCACCCTGTGTAAGCTTGTCGCCTGGTGGGACACGCACGATCAGAACAAAGAGACGGCCATTCTGCTGCACCAGGCAGATTGGCTGTTGTGGCTCCTTCATGGAAAGCTCGGGGTCACAGACTACAACAATGCACTGAAGGTGGCCGCATCAATTTACTCTTCGTAGCAAGTACTGATTGATTGACTGTCATTCTCTGAATATGATGGCATAAAACGAGCTGGCGAGATGGAATAGTTAGAGAATTAGGGTAGGATTAAAAAATAAAAAGAGGAATTGGGGAACTGGAAACCTTTATTTTTCGTTGTTAAATCATTCATACTGGGTAGGTAGGTTTTCATCGGAAGAACGCTCAGGTTTCCTCTGGTTTCTCACTCACTGCAGGTTGGGTATGATCCTGAGGCTGATTCCTACCCACCTTGGCTGCGCTCGCAGCCCTTTTCACGAACGCTGCCGTCTGTTCAAGCTCCTGGGACTCCCATTGGTTTCATCAAGGATCACATCAGATTGCAATATGGTGAACATGCTGAGTATTTTTTTGTGAAATTGGCAACGACCAATGAAGAAAGAATGATCTTCAGAGGGGTCTAGTTATATAATTTTCTGGTGTAGATCAGTGGTGAATCTTGAAGAGGAGTTGCTCACCTTGCTGACGACCCGATCCGTTTTGAGCAGGTTTTCCGGAGGATTGCCGAGTCTGCACAGGAACCACGGATAGCATTGCGGCTTTTCTGGCTGCGCGCGCTACAGTGCCAGGCCAAGCTGTGGGTGGAAACCCTCATGGCTCCGCTCTGTCGCTGTGAGCTGAAGCTGACGTCTTCTCTGTGATCCTTCCTTCCAGGTTACCTCATTGGGGTCAACTCTTGCGGTCAAGCTTCTTAGCTCCTGCAGGGTTGAGGACGCCAGATTTGGGGTCTACAGCCATCGTTTGGACGACCTGTGGCTCGTCGGTGGCGCCTCGAACACCGGTGGAGTGGTCCTCCGGCAGATCTTCACCGACCAAGAACTGGAACAGTTGAGCAGCAAAATCGACCCCACGACGCCCTCGCCCTTGGACTTCTATCCTCTGCCGGCGACCGGTGAAAGATTTCCCGTCGCGGATCCGAGCATGGCTCCCAGGTACGCCGATTTCAGAGCAATTAATTGTATATCCAACCAGCGTCGCAATATCCGACCACCGATTATCCGCTGTGCATTCTACCGGGTGGACCGAAATCATCTTGTCATTTATTCAATTCGGCTCCCCGACTGTCAACGCGGCCGCCCTAGGGTTCTCATTTCTAGGGTTCCAGAGCGAATGCGATCCAGATCGGCTGATTTCTTTCAAACTATCCGTCCTTTGCAGATTACACCCGCGGCCAAGCAGCGACGTGGAGTATCTGCACGGCATTCTGGAATCCATAGCCCGGATCGAGGTGATACTCGCCGATCTACTCCCCACCCCAACCCCTGATTGAGTGAGCGACCGGCAAAAACCTCAAAAATTTCTCACCATCTCCGACGTAATCTGGGGCAGGCCAAGGGGTACCGGCTGCTGATGGATCTTGGGGCGACAAGGGTTGACCAGGTGCTCACCTCCGGCGGCGGCGCGAAGAACGCGGCGTGGATGAAGATCCGGCAGAGAGTGCTCGGCTTGCCGGTCGTCCCCGCCATGAACACCGAGGCTGCGTACGGAAGCGCCCTACTTGCTCTCAAAGGCGCCTTCGCCGCCTACGATATTTCTTAACTATTAAATCATTCAATCATTTTTCCTAATTATTTATATAAAAATGCCTGTTTTTAATTACATAAATTCCTTAAGTACAATAATCATTTAGATTTTTAGTAGAAAATAATGGTTCATAAATATCATATTTGGTGGGCTGGGTCGGGGAAGTATAATGGGTTGCGGATGCCTGTGCCGTAGCAGCCTTGGCTTCACCGGGAGACGGAAGGAGTGGATCGGCGGGGCCGCCGTAGCGGCCGTCAGTCGCCGCTGGCGCTCGGAACCTCATCGGCTTCTCTCGCTCACGCCGGTGCGGGCCGCCGGTCTGATGTCGTCGTCCTCGCCGCCGCCGCCGGAGGAGGAGAAGAATAGAAAAGGAGGGGCGGCGGCGCAGGAAACCCCCAATTCTCCTTCGGTGGCGCCGCCGCTGCCGCCGCCGCCGGAGGCGCCGCTGCCGGGGGACTGCTGCGGGAGCGGCTGCGTCCGGTGCGTGTGGGACGTCTACTACGAGGAGCTCGAAGCCTACAACAAGTTGAGCGCCGAGAGGATGCCGGAGGCGAAGACGATGGCGGACAAACGATGAGAAGACGGAATCGAGCCCCCCCCACCCCCCCCTTCTTCGTCCCCAGATTGATCATCGGCCTCACCATAATGCATTATTAATAATTGAAAAACGGATTCCAATTTTCTCTTCCATCCTATCCTGCGTTGCATTTGAAAACACTTCCATTCGATCCCCATAATCAGGTTCCGCCACTGGATCGTCGTCGTCGTCGTCTCTCTGAAATCAAATCTTCCAACGCACCTTTTCTTCCCCGATGCAGCAGATCCTTCGTCCCTGTAATCAGGCATATCTTCTTGCCAGACCCATAGGATCCTGATGACGGTGAAGCCGCACCTTCTCAGCAGACCGCCGTGACGGTGAAGAAACTGGCACGCCGATCGAGGCATGATATGTTTTTTAGAATTACAGAAGGTTTCTCTAACATTCATGGATTTTAGGGGGGGATCCAAGCGGAAGTAGTGTCGGGGAGATATGTCAACCATGGCGTACGATGTCACCACTCTAGGGACACCCCCGCCGGCTTTAAAAAGGGTGGCTGGCGGAGACAGCACAAGATGGGCTGAGCAGCCGCCGCCGAAGAAGCCGCGGCCGGGGGCCTGCTGCGAGGGGGACTGCAAGCGCTTGTGGGACGTCTACTACGACAAGCTCGACGCCTACGAAAAGTTGGTCGCCGAGAGGACGAGGGGGAAGTAATGAAGAACACGGCGAGCCGATTGGATCTACCCCATCACCGACCTGAATTCAGCATTAACACCTCCTCCATCGCTTCTTCCTGATCATCTCTCACTTGTAGGACGCGGATTGAGCGAGAAATCGGAGGGTAGGTAATGACTTGAGAACAAGTTCCAGGGCCCTTCTCCCTCATCTGATGCTCTCGGCATCTCCGAGCCACTCCTCAATGCAGGGTTAAATAAAACTCAGATAATCACTTATGGGCAGGCAAGCAAGCAAGCAATGGCCTCATTGAGCTGTAATAACTGCATCCATCATGTTCATCCACGAGCTTCCAAAGTTCTAGCAGGGAGGACAGGGAAAGAGATGACGCGTATAATAATAATAATAATAATAATAATAATAATAATAATAATAATAATCAGTCTAACCTCACCCCCGGCCCCTGTAATTGCCCTTGTTCTTTTCACGGAGTGCACTCTTATGAGGAGGGGTGTACCAAAAATGTAACCTAACATAACAGAAGAGGAGAAGATGAGATATATCTGGAAAGAAGGAATACCAGAAGCTTGCCAAACCATTGTTGAGAGCAAGATGCACATAATACAGGCAAAAATAGAACAATCATCCTCTATTGGGGTGCGGTGCATACGGATATATACAGGTGGACGAGCTAGTGTATGTAGTATGTACACGTGTGAGGATGCGCTAGACAGCTACGGTTTGGACTCCACAGAAGACGAGGGCTGGGTTTTGGAGCTTTGGCCAGCCTCGTCTGGTGACAGTCTAGTCTAGTCTTGTCTCTGAGGAGCTCCTCCGCCTCCTAGATTACCACTTCCCCAATGGAATAATCTGCAGAACAGAGGGAAACGATTATTCCACTACTACTAGCCTGCCTGCCTGTCCTTTTGACATCAGAAGCTATCCATATCACACCTTTACTAAAAGTAGCAGGGGACTCCGTTAAAAACAGGAGCTCGAGAATGGGATGGCCTTGGTTGAGCAGCTACATTTAGCACGACTACTACGTACAAGGATAAAAATCAGACACACAAATAGAGATTCTATGAAAAAGAAGATCATGCCTCAGACGCAGACGAGCGACGATAAGATGTGATTCCAGGCCCCTTTGGACGCCCCTCCCTCCTCCGAGGTCTCCGGCGGCACCTGAGCGATGGGCCTTGACGGGTCGATGTCACTGCAGGGATGCGATCATAAAAAAAAAGGGGTTTTTTGACATGGAAACCCACAAGTATATCATCAGTTTGCTAAAGTCATTCATACTTGGCACAATTCAACCAAACCTGTTTCTTGTTTGGGGAAATAAATCTCGCCCTCTCAGAATCAGCGCCGTCCTTGTTGGCGGAACAAGGATTAGCCCTGTCTTTCATGGCCTCCTTTTCCAGTTTCTTCTTCTCGGATTCCGCCTGCTTGGCATTTTCATCTCTTGCTTTATTGAACATGTTGACGAAGAGAACCAGAATCGAAGTCACTGCGCAGGTAAGACGGTCAAAAGCATGATCTCTCAGAAGAACATTAGAAGAGAACAAAGTACGGGCTGGCCAGTTTGCTTTCTTATGGTGTGTATTACAACATATCTATATCTATTTGAAGTCTTCGCTAGGAGAAACTACATCTATTTACCAAGTCCGATCATCTGCAGAGGTTTATCACAGGCCATTCTTACTATGACCTCTTGAAAGGTAAATTAATCACTTAAAACACAAGAAACAAACATTATGTGATCGATCTCAAGTCCAACTCCATAGGTTGGCAGAATTAATTATTTTAGCTAAAACCATCCCGTGACACCTCAACCTGGAATTGAGGATACCACTCAACCTCCATTCTGAAAATGAGGCAACAATAAACACCACAAACAATCCAGCATAGAATCACAATACCAAACACAGATTGAACATTGACTTTACCAGAGAAATTGGATCTGGAGATCTATGCTTAACCTGTCTACATTCAGAAGACCAGGTTTCTGACTTGTCTACAACACTCGATTTGTCTCATTAGTCACTGTTGTAATATGGCCCCTTTCTTCTTCTTCCTATCTCAACAGGAGTAAATACAAGAAAGGAGAGAAGGAGAGCACGGTTGGATGCGTGCTTTTTAACATTATTTTTCTAAAAGGAACGCATTCACGTTCAGGAAAGCAAAGGTCAGCACGCTTGGAGAGGAATCGCTGCTCCAAGAGATTTAATTTTTTTTTATCAAAATCAATAAACTATCAGTCTGATTTGGGAGAAGTAGCATAGACTATATGATGAAATAATCCATTTCTACTTGTACCTGTCATTGCATTCATTATCTAACCTAAAAAAACAACCTATTGAAAGTTCTTCTGTAGAGAGACAGTAAGAAGTAACATGCAGATTCTTTCATTCAATGGCATCCGCAGCTACCATGCACATAGGAAACTAAATAGACGAGGATAAAATGTAACCAAACCTTGTTCAAAGGGACAACGAGCTGGGTCTTCCCCAAAGTATTGAGCCAAAGAATCTGCACTTCTTCCCTGAAAACAAGTTCCTGAGTTACGGTAAACAGCGGAAGATTAAATAAGCCTTGGAATATACATACTATGAGAAAGCATACCACTTCAGAGTACAAAGCCGTAAGTGACCTAACATCTGCCTCAGCAGTATGGAGGAAATCTTTCAAGACCTGAGAGGAAAAAACCATAGAATATTATCCAGGGAAGCGTTACTGTTGGAAACACTATCATAAAAAACCATATTAAAAATTATAAGATGTAGAGGAAACTATCAACCTCTATCAATCAACTAAATGGAACTACACGCACAGTAACCACTGGTAAATTGAAAAGTCAACAAAAGCTAGGGTAGTGGTATTTTAGTAAAATAAAATTGATTTATTTAACAATACTGTTATACTTTTAAGCAAAGTATAACGTTTCCCAACCAATCAGTAATCACAACGAAAAAAAGATTCTAGTAGCTAATTTAAACAACAATGTCTTTTATTGCATAAGTAATCATTTCTAACAATGCAGGATCTTTCATTGTTTAATAATCAACCTCAATGCAAAGCTTCCCGATTTCAAGGATTTTATATATTTAGTATCAAAAGAAAATGTGAGTGCGTTCTAATGAGGAACCTTGAAGTAGAAATGGGTCGACTGCCCACACATCCTTTGAAACCGTTGTTAAACTAAGCAAAAAGGGAAAGAAGATGAGGGAATTCAATCATATAAGGGAAGCCACTCACTTATTCCCCTCTTTACTGACAAGCAGTCAGAAGGCAGAGGATTGAGGTCTACAGTCAGATGGACGGCTCTATCTTCTTTTGTTTCAAGGGAAAACAGATCGGCTGGAGCATTGTTGACGCCAATCACTTTGCTCGGATGAAACCATAAGGTGTCGGAGAATGAACAGAAGAGAGCTAATGTCTTTTCTTAAACTCGTTGAAAGAACTAATCAATAAATTTTCATCAATCAGTCTTTATTTGCTTTCACTATCACTGGAGAACTAAGGCAAGATAACTCTCACTGAAAAGGATAGCTGCCTAATTTCATTAAAAATAAGTGAAAACTTAAGACATTTCACCAAGCAACCACTGCTTACACCACGCACCAAAAAGATGTGGTGTTAGGTAGGTCCTCTGAAAGAGAATGTCCAATATTGAAGGCCTTGCATTCCCTCAAAGAAATGTTCGCATCAGGTCATTAGGTAAGTGCACACTGAATCCAAATGCAAAACATTCTTGTTCGAAATCCATCAAAATTCCATTTTTTGGTCTTTTTACAGTGGTACATATAAAATGGGATATTAACTAAAAGAAGAGATACGCATACTCCTGAACTTCAAGTCTAAGATAGAAAAGTACAGAAAACATAGCTGCTTCTCATCATGTAGGGATTGGAAAAACATAAAGATACATCTGAGTCCTTGAATAAGACACTCGCAATCAGTTTGAGACATACAACCTTGATTATTTGCGTGCAGTTCCAGGTTACTAACTTTATAAACTAGCAGAATCGTCAAAAAACGAACGTGGCATGCAAAATACAAATTTTCCATCCACCATCTGCTTATTTGCTTCCTTGATCCCCTCAAGAAGGTAGGAGATGACAATTATCCAATTAATACAACCAGGTTGAAAATATTTCTTTGTGACACAAATTTTGAACATAAATCACAATCCTTCTGGATTATTTCTTACTTCATAATCATACGTTGAGGAAACAGAATAATCACAAACAATAATTACTGCACCTTACGGAATCCTATGGATATAGCCCCATCGCCTTCTGAAGCAGTAAGTTCTTGCTCAACTTTTTCTAGACCCTTGCTCACTGCTTGCATCTCTTCAGCCAACAACTTGAGTTGAATCTACCGTTTTCAATGAATTGCGAGGTTAGCGTCAGAAAAATTTTAAAAAATTATGCTTAATCGGTAATACGATAATCCAACTCCTAAATAGAGAAATAATACAAGTACCTTAGAAGCAGCTTCTAAATGAACAAGGTCTTTGCCAAAATCCAACAATTCAGGCATTTTCTCGGAAATGAGCTGAAATTTCAGAAAGAATAAATTTGTGGAAAGCTATCAGAACACAGCATAATGATAAGAACCTCCAAGTACACAGCATAATACAAATTTGTGCGTGGAGCCTTATCACATAACCTCCAAGAACACATATCGATGCTACTCAGACAAAATAAACTTTCTAGAAAGTTCAAATAAGTTTCAACATATAAAGCACATATAAATCACTCCCCAAATAAAAAGGCTTCCCTTTCCAGCTCTTTCGCTTTTGTTCAAGATGCCAAGATACTATAACGTCTACTTTTCCATGACGACTATAGATGAGAAACTTTAGCCAGAGGATATGGAATGCCTTGCAATTCCATGCATTCTTAAACTGTGTCTACATTAGTATCCCACAACAAATGGTAGAAGATCATGAGAAACCCTAGAAGATTCTGTTGTCTTTAATTCGTAAAACAAACCTCATGACTTTAAGAAATGACTCTTCATTTTCCATAAGACTAACTCTTCATTTATTGTAGTGAATATAGCCACATCCATATAGGGGGCATCAGATTCTTGTTGAACGATTTCTCAGAGAAGTTAGTAACAAAACCTAGCAGGCTTTTCCAGTCATCCACAACTGTCTGTTGTCACAATCCTTCTGTTAGCACAAAGTGACCCCTTCTGTTGACCATTTGGCTCATCAAAACATTTTATAGTGTCTAAATAAGTTGCATTTTTCCTTTTTTTTCACCTTAAATGTAATTTTCTGTATTACTTGTGTGCCGAACAGGAACAGACCAGCCCAGTTCAACCCCTGTACTAGGGCTCTGGTATAAACACCTGGCCCAAACGCTAACCAATGCAAAGTGCGTCTTATTTCTCCTGTTCAGGACTAGAGTTTTCGGGTTTTGCTGCCTGTGATATAACGTTCACCATGGATCAGAGCCGATGGTTTGATCAAGTTGTCTTTAATCTCTGCTGTCTTGAGACGTCTCTATCAGAAGATGCTCCCAGCAACGAGAAGAAGATAAGTAAGTGGTCGTGTAATCTTCTCATTTACTTCGAATCTCTTTCCTTCTTGGCTGTCACCGCTGGTTTTCTTCTTAGCCATCAAGTACCATTTTCAGGTGTTGCGACACAAACGACTGGTCTGTGAACTGTTCTTCGTATCCTCCTGTGTATTGGAGGCAAGAGAACAGCCGAGAGCTGTCAGCTAGAAATCAATTCACTTGGAAATTGATTCATTCAGTCCCGTTTGAAAAACACCAGAAATTTTTAGTGATTTAAACATATTTGAGACAACATCGAGCCTTGGATCTACCGGATTCCAAAGGTTTGAGCGAACCCAGTCATATGGGGAGTTGACAGCCATCCAACAGTCATGCAGATTGGATGGGCGCAGTTTTCTTAACTGGTCTCAATTGATCAGGACCGTGCTGAAAAGGAGAGGGCATATCAATCATCTCCTAGGTACAGGGTCTAAACCAGGATATCCCTACTTTGAGATGTAGGATGAAAAGGACTCAAGAATCATGGCATGGCTATGGAGCGCCATGATACCAAAAATCGCCAATGCTTTTATGATCTTAGCTACGGCCAGGGACACATGGGACAATATACATCAAACTTATTCAAGAGCTAGAGATGCAGCACAAGTATAAAAGGTAATGATGAAGATGATGACAATGAAATAAGGAAAAAAGACAAGACAACTAAAGATGTTATGACAAGAGTATGATCAATACAAGACAATTAATATGAGAGATCCTGAAGACGAAGTTATTCCTCGAGATTTTATGGAACACATGCAATCACCTTGTATTCATCAGTAAGTACACAGTCAACAGAATGTGGTTTGAACTAAGTCATGATACTCATCACTCGTAATGGTGAAAACAGAAATTCATCAAATATTCTAGACTAGGATGGCTTGAAACTGTCTACACAACTCTTATGCTGACATCTTCAGTTCTAACAAGGCATAGCTTTAACCACTGTTGAACATAGTCCGTTTCTGTCTCCCAAAGCTAACATCTTGAATGTCACAGTTCATCAGGAAGCATTTCGCTTCAATAGAATAGATCTTAGATTTTAACAAAACAGTAGAATAATGAAAGAGATTGGATTCCTCTGAATACACACCACAACTCCTGTACAGGAAAGGGATTCATCCTCAAGATTTGGTCATCACATAAACAAACAGAAGTACAAACTGAAACTTCTAGCAAAAACTATATTGTTTTGAGAATAGAGGAGCACAGATAATTTCAGCATGTTAATTAGAATACATCAGACGATGCCATAATCAAAATATTAAGGTCATCCTAATATTGTTTTGAGAATAGACGATTTTAAATGATCTGCTAAAGAAAAAACCTTAGATAAATAGTGCATTAAGGTCATCCTATTATTCCTTGCACGAATGTCTGATAGCTTGAGCAATGAATCTAATTTGAATCCCACAGCAGATCCTGCAATACCATTGGTGCAGAAGCCAATCAAAATAAATTTCTAGCATCTGCTTACACGTAGAATTTAACGACATAGGGTAGCACGTCATAGTACCTCTCGCTGTTCCCTGGTTTAATACGTTTCCTAATGTAAGAATTGTCTGCATTATTTGTCTCAGCTTTTTAGAGCCTTTCACCTGAAAATAAGGACAGATCAGACACAAATCATACTTGCCAAGCTCCTTTGGGGAAATAATAAAGTTATAAGATTACCTCAATAGCTGCATCATTAATAGTGTTCAAGTTGGATCGCAGCTCATTCACCTGCAGAAACAATACAGGATATCTCAAACATTGTGAATATTAGACAGGAAGATCCACCCATGGGCACTGTTATCCTGCTCTTACCTGTGTGGAAAACGTAATTTTAAAAGAGAAAACACGTAGCTTGGATTCAACACGTGGGACCTTCATCAACTCTAGGAAAAACTGCCAAGCCAAGGAGTGTCAAAGTTAACCAAGAAACATGCTTAGATGAGTATTCAGTGCATCAGATCTACCTGCTCACACCTCCCGAGCATATCTTTGTTGCCGGTATAATTCTGTAAGGATATAAAACCAAGGAAGAAAGTCAACAAAATAGAAGACAAATAGTCAAACTGGCAACGTAAGAACTTGTCGGACATTGAACTGAAAAGGTCCAAACAAGACAAGTGATTCTGGAACCAAAAATACACTGGAAATTCCAGGAAAAATCTTAGTTTTAGCATTTGTTCAAAGTAGTCCTTTCGTACTGTACAGAAACTTAAACTTCGAGTAAATTCAAAAGAGCAATTTACGTCAACAGAAATGACTAGCAAGGCTGCACGTCATTTTCTCTATCTAAATACTGAAGTAGAAATGATTCACGGCAGACAGAGATAACCAGAGTGGAACTCAAAGAACAAGAGAAAAAACGACAGAATATAATTTATTGACGTACATTTTCAGAAGGAATTAAGATCTGTAAAGTCATAGTAAAGAAAAGAAAGCAATGCTCCAGTCATGAATTTATTTTGGAAATTTTTTCCCTCCATGCATCAGAGGCAGATAGATAATTCGAGTTCTGCACGTCATTTGATACTTTGGACATTATCTTTGTAAAAGAAACGTTTCTTTCGTTAGATATTAGAACGACTAGAAAAAAAAAAACAGATTAAACTGCGACACACTATTTTTACAGTCACTTCTAAACTAGATTTCTCATTCAAGATTCTTTCATGTATTTGAAAACACATCAATAATTGCGAATAATACACTTCATCGTAAATCCATACATAAGAATCAATAGATAGTCTGGACTCACAGCAACCCTTGCAGCTAAAAGGTTTTGTCAATTATTGTAGATAAGGGAGCTGAGTGTTCGGTAAACAATGAATGGGGAGTATAAGAAAGTGAAAAGTGGCAACATTACAGGTACATTCTTTTGTACAACTTAGTTAGCACAATTAATCATACATAACAAACATGAAAATGTTGACCAATTCTAAATGATGATCCCTAGCCAATAATAATAAGAACGAACAAGCAGCTTTTAGTATCATCATTATATCAGCATTTACACTGCCCGTCTAGTACAGAGATCAAGTATTTTACCAGAGAAATGTCTCAATTCTCGGAACTTGGCAAAGATTTAAGCATAAATGATTTTCCTTTTGATAGAGCCTGGAGAAAAAAATTACGAGGGGAAAACAATGACAGAGCCTGGAATAGATCAACATTCAACAAGTGCACTCCCAGATCCAACGTAGATCAGGTTTGATTATTGAATGATAATTACAGTACACTTGAGAACTACAATATAGAGGATAATGTCCTTCCAAAGATAACTGATTCCTTATGTGATCATTTACAGAACCTAGTAGTGTTTCATTTTAACTAACAACTGACCAACTAGAAAAGTTGACCAATTTACAGGACTGCAGATGCTCCCCTAATCTGTGCAGAAAATGATTTCACTCTTGAAAGCAAAGTAGACGAAATACACAAAGTAGGGATCTAGAAGCAGCTAGTTAAGAGATTCGTATAGGATATGGGAAAAACCTCTTTTGTGTATATTTGAGAGGAGGGAGAGACAAAAATTATGAGAAAAATCGAGGATGAGGACATTCAGCAATTTGAAGACCCACAAAGATTATTCCCAAAGTGGTCAATAGTGAGCCTCCAGTTCAATGGGGAGAAGTGGAGAGGAAAAAAGAGGAAACTTCTGCCAAGTCAAGTTCTTTACGTGCCTGACAACACATAAAATATTAATACTACAAAGTTTTTCAATCATGAGACAGAGCAATGATATTAACAGCCAAAGAGAAACTTGAAGGATGAACAATTCAGCGAGTGGAAAACCATCTATGTTAACTTGTGGAACGAATTATATTAACAGCTGTGTTAAATAAAAGATGCAGACAAGAAAAGAAAAAAAAAAAGAAACTTCTCAATCAAGTAATCTGCTCTTAATTTTTCCTGTTACACAGGTAATAATCATGGCGTAGAATTAAAATATGAAAAGAAACCTCAAGAATGAAGAGATTCAGTACTCTGAAGAGCATAAGTCCACTTCTGGTCCATTGCACGAGATGATAAAAAATAAAAGAATTTCTCAGTCAAGTCAAGTCATCACATAGTCCAAGATGGAACAACTGGACATCCTACTACACATCAGATCTAGAAACCCCCTTCTCCTTTTGAGAGTAATATTTTTTATGAGAATTTCACATGAAAGCATTTTTACCTAAACCAGCTGACTACTTCCATGGATACCATATGTAACACCACGGTGTAGGGGACTGATTATGTTCAGGGAGCTTTTTTCGATCTCATGCCAGATGAAAATCTCCTATAAATCGCCCCATTTCATTTAATGATCCTATGGACTGCCCAAGTAGGAAGGAGAGAGTGAGTTGTGAAAGTTGGGGGAATACTAGGTCAATTAATGCATGCATTCTCCAGAGTTGAGAGAATTTTAGGGCGGCTAAGACTCCATCCTTCACCTGACATCAAGAAAGAAAGATGACCAACATACAGGTAAAACAAATTATTTTAAACCCAACTTGAATGCACATCATTTCAGAGATGATTAAATTTCATTCCAGAATGGAGCAAGTAAGGAGTTTTCTACAAATTTTTTTGTAGAACTGACATAAAAGAATAATACTTATTGTATGAGATTTAAACTGCTGCATAAATGCGAAAAACCATTTCTCTGCTATTCATCAAAACTTTACTAATTTAACGCTTTTTATTGTCTAGTCCAAGTCGAATTGTCATATTGCCTAGGGCTAAGGTTCTAGAATACTGCCTAGATTACCTTATAAACCTGGGAATACTTATTAAAGGAAAGCATTTGTAAACATCTAGAGCTGGAGACGACATAATGAGCTAGGGTACTAAGATAACTCAACTCATAAAGCATCCAGTCCTGATTTTAGGCGCACATTACTCATTAAAGTAGTAGTTACCTTCAGCATCTCCATTTCTTCTTTTGTAGGGGAAAATTTGATAAGGTTCTCCACTTGGTCAATATCTAAAACTGTCGCATCCAAAGCCAAGATGGCACTCTAAACATCAAAAAAATTAAAGAAACAATCAATTAACAAAAAATTATATATCCCACAAGACATAATCGGAAGTAAATTGCTAATTTGAGAATTTACACATGTCAAAAAAATTGTATTGGAAAAGAGTATATGCTATTGCTCTGGAAGTGCGATGATTCAAAAAATGTTGAAGTTTTATTCTACATTAGTTTCCTTTGCATCATAACAGAGAATAACTCGATGTACCATCATATCAGGAAGTGGCATCTTGATTTTGGTGAGCATGATTTCACAGTTATTTGCTCTGCGCATGTCAACCTTCAAAAAATAAAAAAGGAATAAGTAGCTTATTCTATATGAAAGTAGAAAAAATTGATAACAAGACAAAGTATGCACACAACTGAAAGAGATACGTCCACAAATTCACCAGATAAAGACATGATACTCAAGAAAATACATAACTGACAATAAAGCAGACAGTTGTTCTCTCTCATCTAGAAAGACATTTCAAAACAAAATAGACGGTGTATCACCACATTGCTGAGAAGCATTCAAACGATTATCTAATTATCACAGATTTTCTGTAAGAAAAAAATACACCCTGTCAAGATCAAAGCTTTGAATGATCCCCCGATCATTACCTTCCTTTCCACAAACCAGCACTAAGGAAACATGCCTACTTGCACCACCTAACATTTTACAGAAGAAATGTATATCCAATTAGTTGATCCTTGGCTTAAATCGGTTCATTTGGGCCAGTTTTAGGTATTATCTTGCTAAAATAGGAGGGGAGCAGAGAAAATGTGGGATTGATGCCCTGGTAATTTTTTATCCATATTGCCTGATTCCTTCTGTATCACCAGGATTGAGTTCAGAAAATGTTGGGATCAGCCGATCAGAACCATCCTTCTCATTACATAAGAGAAAACCATTGCTCAATGGAACCCATAATGTTGGACCTTAAGCGGTAGACGCACCTAACATTTCGAATGAATAATGCACCAGTTGTTTTATGCGCCCACCATTCAAATCTTCAAAGCAACAAAATTTAGCAAAAAATATGTTTCCAAGGAGAAACAAGCAAAGCCCTATTCACATGAGCATTAGTGGACTTAGCTATAGCTTCATCATAGGTATCTAGATTCCAAAACTACCCTAGTAAGAGGAATTTTCCTGTCTTACATTCAACAATAATAATCAAGCTTAATAGAAAATGTGGCGTCATAAAATATGCAATAAATGACCAAGAAATACAGATCAGAATCCCCATCCAAATGGAAGATGATTGTTTTATTATTTGCGTCTCAGACAAGGAGGCAAAAAGTAATGATTGCATATTCGAAAGTAATTAGCACTTGACATAAAGAAAAGTAGATGAAGAGTTAACTTAGAAAAAAAATTAATCAAAAATTTAGCAAATTATTTGATCTGGAGAAAGAGCCATAATTACGTGTTAATAAATTTAAAACAAATTAACTGAAATACATTTCCATTGATGATACAAACGACCACCATTCATTGAACAAAATATGCATTAATACTTTGCTACGATGTTACTAAAGTACAGATGGCAAAGTACTATGCAGCCTACCAAATGAACTGTCTCCGGCTTGTTGACATTAGAACCCCGACGCACTCCACTTTTTTCCACACTACCCTCAGAAGCCACTGCTGTTGAGAATAGGCTCTCAAGCTCTGAAATATCAATTTCAGGAGCCCTGAAACAGTGAAAGAAATCAATAGTATCACCATCCCTGCTTAAGTAAATAAGTAATCAAGCCGAATTCCGGTGCTTAAACACTTAAATAATAGGATAAGGATTATTGAGCTAGTTTCAGCTGCTGTCAGCAAGTATATTCAATGAAACCTAGGCCAGGTTATTCAATTCAGTCACTAAAAAATCAAACTTAAAGAAAAATCAGAAACTGAGGGACTTATAAATCAATACACTATCATTTACCAAGTAATGTATTTAATGATTTGCGTGGTTTAAATTCTTTTGCCAACTACCTTGCTTGGTTCTCCTGTTTCTGAGAATCAGCCCATAAACTTCCTTGCACTGCTCGAGTAACCTTAACCCAGTGTAGTGGCTTCAAAGATGCTTTCTTAGGTACATTAGCACCTGGCGTAGCTCCACGATCTCGTCCTGAATTTGGTGCCATAGATCTTCCCCTTCCAGCAGCAGATGGTGGTGGTGGTATTGGGTTAACTGGCACTTTTGCTCCAGGATGTTGTGGTCGACCAGGTATATTTGCATGGCTTACCCCATGAAAGGGTGGTGGAGACGGCACAGGAACAGACTGCTTTGATACCTGAGATGGTGGTGGTGGCGGTGGTGGTGGAACTGGCCCACCTCGGGAAGGAAGTCTAGGAGGTGGTGGGGGAATTGGAGAACCATGACTTAATATTGGAGGTGGTGGAGGAGGAGGTGGGGCTCCACGAGTATCATTTATCCCAATATGGCTTGTATTTGCAGGACGTGGTGGTGGTGGTGGTGGAGGAGGAGGTGGGGCTCCACGAGTATCATTTATCCCAATATGGCTTGTATTTGCAGGACGTGGTGGTGGTGGTGGTGGAGGAGGAGGTCTATTACTATATGAAGGAGGAGGGGGTGGCGGAACAGGAGGCCCTTTTCCTGAAGAGTTCCGGGGTGGTAAAGGTGGGGGTGGAGGCGGTGCTCCACGAGCCCCATTTGTTCCAACACGGCTTACAGCAGGAGGGGGTGATGGAGATGGAGGTCTTTTATTGTACAAAGGAGGAGGTGGGGGCGGAGCTGGAGGGCTTTTAATAGAGGATCTCTGGGGAGGTAAAGGTGGCGGTGGAGGTGGAGGTGGCACTCCATGAGCATCGTTTGTTCCAGCATGTCTTACAGCAGGAGGTGGGGAGGGTGGTAAAGATGGAGGTCCTTTTTGAGAAAACAGAGGTGGTGGTGGAGGTGGAGGTGGTGGAGGTGGAAGTGTAGTCAGAGATCCTTTACTAGAAAAAGGAGGTGGGGGTGGAGCTGGAGCTGGAAGACTTCTGCTTGGTGAACTTAGGGGAGGTAAAGGTGGAGGTGGTGGCGGTGGTGGAGGTGGAGGTGGAGGTCGTGTATCCTTAATAGGTTTAGCTGGAGGCCGTGGTGCTGGCTGTGGAACATTTTCAGAGCTTACAAGAGGAGGTGGGGGAGATGGGTTCCTACTGGATGTGACTATCTGAGGAGGAGGAGGAGGAGGAGGAGGAGGAGGAGGTGGCGGTGGTGGTGGTGGTGGGGGTGGTGGAGCTTTGATGATCATATTTTGCAGTGGGAATGGTGAGGAAGGTGGAGGAGCTTTGTCATACGCTGAAGAAAGAGGAGGCAGCAGAATAGGTTGTGGTGGTGGTGGTGGTGGTGGTGGTGGAGGGGGAGGAGGAGGTGCTCTAGAAGATTTGGTGTGCAAGGCTGTAGATAACAGTGAAAGTGGGGGAGGAGGGGGAGGATGTGGAGGGGGATGTACTGGTCGGGGAGCCTGAAAAGAAACTGAGGGCGCTATTTGTGTGGCATCGTCAGAATTTACATGTGAAAGTCGCTCTGATGATGGTGGTGGAGGAGGGGGAGGCGGGAGAATGTCAACGGGATGTTTATCAATCAAAGTGGAAGGCAAGGAAGTATGAGGTTCTGAAGTTAAAACTATGCTCTCGTAACAACCAGGAGTAGTACTGCTAGGCAGGTTATCTAAAACATTCGCAACTTGTTGATCCTTTCCACCATCCAATGAGTCAAGAACATCAGAGTTTTCAGAAGCCAGATCATCTTCAGAATCAGTTGGAGATGTAAGATATTTCTTTCCTGCCACTTTAGTCTGGAGTCTTGTCAATTCTTTAACATCACTCAGGATCAGTTTTTCAAGTTTTTCTTGCAACGCGCTTGCAGATATCTGTTTGAGCAACCATAAAGCAGCATCATCTCCACCATCAACCCATTCGACACCACCAAAGAGTTCTTGAACTTTGGAAAATGCCTCAATAGGCAATCCACCTTTCTCCTCTCCATTAAATGTTGCAGTTGGAGCTCTACGAGGAGAGATGCTCTCAATTTCGCCAAAAAGAACCTAAAAAAAATAAAAGGGAATCCCCTGACAAAAGCAATATAGAAAAGAGAGTCGAAAAAAGACTACAGGAATGGACAAGTATTTCAATTAAACTCGATCACAATTACCTCTGCACGAAAACCCTTTGGAAATCGATCCTTTGAACCCCAAAGAATATCAATATCTTCACAGTTCAGCATCAAGATGTTTGAACGAATAAATGCAGTGTTGAACATTATTCGAAACATCATGATTTCCCTTTCAGCATCCAAGTCTAAGTGAAGACATTCTAAAACAACATCTCCTTGAACTAAGCATTGAATGTCAATTTTTATTACATCACATTCTGCCTGTAGAAAGAAACCAACTTATGTTGCCACAGAGACAGATGAATCGCATATCTAGAAACTCACAATATAGTATCAAGTTTTCTACCTGTCGATATTGTCGTAAATGTTTCTTCTTGGACATGGAAAACAGCATGGTGGTTGAAAGACCAGCCTTTCCATGGAGGTTCCGCCCAAAAATTCGAACTAATGGTCTGCAACCGTTACAGTCATCAAAGCTTGGAATAGCTCGAAGGATGAGGCAATCCAGAGAAATAGCTCGTTCAGTAGGTGGCCATTCTGGTGAAATGTTTCTCCTAGCAACATATTGCAGATAACGAAGTTGCGAAGGGAATGGATTGAGTGGTGATAAAAGTCGAAGAAACCCTTTGGGGGCTTCACGATGGATGATTTCAAGAGTTCGTTGCTCACCACTTTGCAATTTTCTGAAAACTAAAAAGCTGGCCAACAAAAATGCTAATAGTGGCCACCCTCCTCTCTCACAATGTATCAGAATAATATTGTGATGATTTCCGAAAGAAAGCCAAGACTCAGTCACACGAAGGAAATGTTGAATAAGAGCCAAAGGAAGAAGAGGACAGCCTTCATATTGCCGAGGATAGTCAATGACTGTCACATCGTACTCACACAGAACTTGTGCAAACTGGCTTTTCTTCTCACCTTCTCTAAAGTTTAAAGCAAGAAAGGAAGACTCAGAAAACTCTTCATGCAGTTCAGTTATAATTTCACGTAGGTAGACCTCGTACATTCCATCCGAAAGAACCTCAGTTGAGAAGCAAGAATCAAACACTGCAAACAGTTGTACACAATGTAACAATATTCGCATCAGAAGAAATACAGAAAGGCAAGACAAGAGAGAGATAACTGTTTATTACTAGAATATCAGATAGAATACCAACCATAAACCCTTTCAACGAATTCCAGCAATCCATTAGGAGGTCTTCTATAGAAGAATCTACTGAAGAGTGACATTTTATAAATCACCAATGCTCCTCATATATACGGATGAAATATCTCCTTTGTGAAAGTATATTCCTCCATTAGTAATATCATGCAAACTTTCTGACCATTCCTGGGACAGAAAAACCAGAACTGCCAATGTACTGCCTGGGGAAACATCAGCACAAAGTCTGCAACGATGAGCAACAAAGAAGAAAAACTGTATTGCATAGTTCAGAGACAATAGGGATCGCCAACCAATGAAATATAACTTCAAAGGAGATGATTCAAAACTCATGATAGTTAAAACTAGTACCCATGCTAGGTGAATATTTGTATTCTAGTAACCGTATTCCAAAATTATCGTCTCAAAACATAACAATTAATAAGGCAACATAACCAACTAAAGACTACACTTGCCTATACAAGCATATCTCATCACTGGAAGGTTACAAAAAGGATTTGTAAATGCATTTCAACGAGGAAGGAGTAACTAGGCAATGAACTGCGTTTCTGGGACAGCATTTTTTATACTTATCAAGGGATTCTAGGGGCAAGGGACAACTGAATTCATGATTCTTAACTGCCGAAATCAAAGATTCATATAAAAAAAGTCTTCTGCTGTAGATCAATAAGTGCATATAGTCATCAGTTGAAATAAATTTTCTATAACGGATCTTCAATGTGCAGATGATACACCGTGATTTGAAAATACCAATGCAAGCAAGAATTAAAATCCGAAATGCTTCACAATTTTTTAGGGACAGAAAGAAGCACTGATATTGATTTCAACGAAAACTTCTTTTCTTTTAGGCCTCAGAGATAAGGATTGCTCTCTCATCCTTCCACCCTGGCACACAAAAACCACACATTCCACAGGTAATGTGTGGGTCTCCCTTTCTCTAATTACGGAACCAGATTGCAGGAAGACAAACCCAGTTCAAAAGTTAGATTTTAAGTCCGAGGGTTGGAAGGCCAATCTTCAATCAATAGGCGACTGATAGATACTCTCTGACACAAAAGACATAAAACTGAGATAGGAAAGATCACACTGTCACTCGAAGAAATGAGGTAGAGTATCCAAGGATCCATTTGAAGATGCTGGTCAAATCAAAGGAGAGATAATAAGCAATACGCTCATCGACAAATGTAGACGAAGTAAATGCCTAAAATCAAAAGCAAACACGACACTATATATAGCCCTAGCCAGAGACACCAATTACATAAATATATATACATATAAAATTTATATCACAAATTCTAACGAATCTTAGATGATACTAGACTTCTTGCCAGTGTCATGCCTTGTTGCTAAAGTAATAGAGCCTAAACTACCTTACTTCCCATTGTCACATGAGCAACGATGGCTGATTCAAATCGCAAACCCTAATTTCTTATCTTCAAGAATATTTCCCCAATACAAGTTATGCGCCAATACAAAAGGCAATTTATAAGTCTCCTTCAGGTCCCAAAGATACATTACCCACAATTTCAAGAAACCTTCTACGGAAAGAAGATGCTTCGGTAACCATTCAGCAATCCCCAGACGGAGTGAAATGCAATAATGCAAATTGCATCTACTTACTATATATCCAGTCCTAGAATCAACAGTGAGAAGAGTGGGAGAAACGGAGTAAGACTGGCGGGGATCATTGGGGGGAAACGAGCGAGAGAGGAGGGGAAGCAACCCTGGCAGCAATGAGAGATAGCCAGGACCTTCTCCGCTCCTCGTGATCGATTGCGAGGGACGCAGAGCCCTTGGAAGGCCCACCGAGCGCAAGGGTTCCTCCCGCCGGAGCTTGGGGCGGTGGAGGGAATCCGGAATCGTCGGCGGTTTCGAAACTTCGAGTGTGGCCCTCGATTCATACGGCCATAAAAATAAATAAATAAATAAATAAATAATCATAATAAAAGATGGCCTGGAAATCCGGATCTCACCTAGATCCGACTCGATAATACTTTCGGTACCGACCTGGACCGCTGTACTTGTGGTAATCGGATTACGCCGTTTTTGGTCAAACGACGTGGTCCTGAAGATTACGTTTATATCCTCCAAAAATTATTTTCTTATTTTCTTATTCGCCACCACCCTCACTATTTCTAATGGCCTCATCTTTTTTCGTCGCCAACGATGACCCCTGGCTCATCACCATTAGCTCGTGATGAAATTCCGAAAATATAATACGTTGACTTTGATCACGCGGTGCAAGCTCAAGATCATCTCATGCTACAACGCCACGTGGCTTCCAAAGGGGTCTTGAAGTCTGGGCAGAGTTGCGCTGATGAACTCGTGAATGGAATTCCGAAAATATAATACGTTGACTTTGATTGTGACGTGGTGAAAGCTCAAGAACATCGAATGCTACAACGAGACGTGGGATTCCAAAAGGGTCTTGAAATCTTGGCAGAGGTGCGCTGATGAGCTCGTGATGGAATTCTGAGAAAACAATACGTTGACTTTGATCATGACGTGGTGGAAGCTCAAGAACATCGAATGCCACAACAAGAAGTCGGCTGAGTTCCACCGTGATTTATTCAACAACAGAAAAAAAAAGAAAAAATCGGCTGACTTGAGCCCGATTTCAACCGAAAGAAAAAGGGTTCGCTAATTCCTCTCAAATAAAAGAAGTGGAAGAAGAAGAAAAAAATGGAGGAAAGGCTCAAGATGAACTCCAGAGAGTCTCCGGCGGGCGCCAGTCTGACTTCTCTGCGCAGAGAATCCCCTCTCGACCCATTGAAAACGTCAGGGGGACCTCCCAGTGAAGAGATCTCAGCACATCCTCCACCTCACTCACGACCTTCTGTTCGTCTCTAACGATCAGCTTCCCCCCCGGCCTCAGTATCCTGTCGACCTCCACGACCACAGGAATCACGCTGCACCTGCAGAAAAACCATCGAAAGAATTTGATTCATATCAGGAAGGAGTTTGCAATGGTTGACTGTTCTTCGGTTTTTGGGGACGGTTCCGTCAGGTGGGTACCTCTGCTTCAAGGTCGAGAACAGCTTGTCGGCGTGGAGAAGGTCGTAGGTCCTGGGGTAGGTGCTGAATGACTCGCACCAGTCGTGGTAGATGCCGAAGAGCCCACGCTCATAGATGATCGGGAGGGTCTCCGGCGAGTCAACGTCCACCACATTCATGACCCAGATCTTCAAATCCTTCAACGCCGCCGCAAACCTGAGAAGAAGAGCTCATGAACTCCTTCAAGAGGTGGAATGGAAGAAAGTACAGGAAAAACCCTAACGGAGATCAACAAGGAGGGCGGAAGTTACCCTCCGTATACAGCTCTCATGTCCATGGCGTTCCTCACTTTGGGCCACTCGATCCCCAGGCCGGCGAGATAGGACATGGAGACGACCCGCTTCCAGTGCTCATAGTCCGCCGTGAAGTCGTCCGGAGCTGGTTTTCCATACACTCCGAGCTTGGAGCTTTTCAGCCAGTGTGGGGGTGTCCGCAGTCTCCGCGGCCATTCCTCCGGCCAACGGGAGCCTCTCTCGGAAGCTTCAGTCGGCACCCTATGCATGCAGGACTGCAGAGAAACGTACCTGAGAGACATATGAAGCCGAGAAAATTTAAGGCCGGCATTTTTTTAGGGTTTCCTGCTCGTCATAGGCGCCCTCGTTGCCGTCGGTCTTACCAGGCAACGTCCGGATCGTCGTCTTCCCTGCACAAGGGCGGGGCTTTCTGTTGCCTGCTGTCATAGCACTCGTTGGAGATGGGCTTGCGGAAGAAGGCGGCCCCTACAGAGTTCAGCCTGTCTTTTCTGATGGTGACGAGCTCCCAGCACATGGACTTGGTGAGAGCCATCATCGCTGCAATGGAAGAATGGAAGATCTCTCGGTGAGGAATGGGTGGGTCGAATGGAGAAGTAATCGATGTTGTGCAGACAAGCACAAAGAAACAGTAAGCGATACCCCTCCATATCTCCACATCGTCTTTGAGCTTCTGATATACAGGCGTGGCCGACCAGACAAAGTAGCCGCCAGGGCGTAGAAGTCGATTCAGCTCCAGAAGGAGGGCACCACCTGCAGGGTTTTCACCCTCGGTAAGGAAGAGAAGGGAAGGGGGAGAGATGGGGAGGAGGACCTTCTGCATGCCATGGAACGCGGCAGCGTGCGCAGTGAATGAGATCGAAGACTTTGCTGGGGAAGGGGAGGCGCTGGGAGCCCATCACGGCGGAGATCGCTGGGATCCCTCTCTCCAGGGCGAACTGAACCTGCGCCTCGTGCTCGTCCTTGGGAGCAAAGGACATGGCGAGGACGTCCCTCTCGAATAGGTAGCCGCCGAAGCTGGCCACCCCGCAGCCGACATCGAGCACCACGCGGGTGCGCTTCCCCCATGAAATGTTCCTCACGGACTGCAACGAAAACCGCCATCGCGGAAGGTATCAATCAGCTCGGAGAACGAAGCGGGGAAGAAGAAGTTGCGGCATGAGCTCGAAGATTGCACCCTACCCTCTGGATGAAGTCGATATAGTGCAACGCGCCATGGATGAACTGCGTCCCGCCACCGGGGAAGGTGAGGTACTCCCCGGAGACCTTCACCCAGTTCTGATGCCCCTTCACCACGGCCAGTTTGGTATGCGGAACATTCTTGTACCAGATCTGCAGGCGAGAAACAACGATTAACCAGCTGCGGCAGCGCAGAACGCCTCGCATGTCCATCGAGGATCATCGTCTTCTCACCTTGTCTCTGCTCCTGGGCCACTCGACGGGCCTCCTGTAACCCTGAGGGAGGGGGACCAGACAAGAGGGCGACTCCTCGGGGCAATGGCGCTCCCTATGCTCGTAGTGCCTGGTGGGGATGTGCCGCAGAGCCTCCGTGTTATCCAGGCAGGGGATGTAGTCCGCCCCGGCTGTTACATTGCAGAGCGCCCATTTGGTCTCCTTGATCTGTGAACGAAGAAGTTCCTTCTGCCTCTCCTTCTCATCTTGCGACTGATCCTCCTGAGTGGTCCACGGCGGCGTCTTTCTCTCGTCAGTTTCGCTGGCGAGCTCCTCGGCGGCGGCCTGAGAATCTTTGACGCTCTCTTCTGTTTCTCGTCGGAGGTGCACGACTTCGTTGCCTTCTTCTTCCTTCTCTATCTTGCTTGGGGATTCCTCCTGCTCTTCGGCGTCCTTCAGTTCTTGGTGGGACGGGAGTTCGGTTTCCTTATTTTCGGTGCTGTATGGATTCTGAAGACGATGATGGTCTAGGTAGCCAGCTTCTCCTTCGTTCTGTGGGTCGTGTGTCTCTGATGGGTCATCCTCCTCCCGGTTGACGGACTCGTCTCCTGCTTTCTCATGTCCTTCGCGATTGACCTCCTCGTCGAAAGTCGGATCTGGTGGCTGCCGTTCTTCCTGCTCCATGCCTGTTTCCTGGGATTGTTCTCCCTCGCTTTCCAGCGGCAGATCCCCATTGGCCTCCTCCTCTGATTTTTGATACTGCTGTGAAAGAACATTGTCCTCTTCCTGTTCCTGCTGCTGCTGCTGCTGCCGCCGTTGTTCTTCCTCCTCCTCCTCCTGTTGATGCCGTTGTTCTTCCTCTTGCTGCTGCTGCTGATGCTGATGCTGATGCCGTTGTTCCTCCTCCTGTTGCTGCTGCCGCTGATTTCGTTGTTCTTCATCTTGCTGCTGCTGCTGATGCCGTTGTTCTTCTTCTTGCTGCTGCTGTCGATGCCGTTGTCGTTCTTCTTCTTGCTGCTGCTGTTGATGCCGTTGTCGTTCTTCTTCTTGCTGCTGCTGTTGATGCCGTTGTCGTTCTTCTTCTTGCTGCTGCTGTTGATGCCGTTGTCGTTCTTCTTGATGTTGTTGGTGATGCCGTTGTTGTTGTTCTTCTTGCTGCTGCTGCTGCCGCAACTGCCTCTCCTCCTCTTTGCGCTCGTCTGGACTGCCCTCTTTCTCTGTCCCCTCACTCCCAGGATATGCTTCCCTTCTGATCTCAAGCCCCTCCGAAACAACACCCACAGGGGGCTCTTCATCCACAGCCCCCTCCGCTTCCTCCTCGCCCACCTTCTCACCTTCCTCTGAGGAGCCGTTCAACAAAACGGAAGGGGTACTCCTAAAGTAAACTGACGACAAAGAAGCCCGGCTGCGGACGGCGGCGCCGCCAGTTCTCGTGGAGGAGTGGACGAACGAGGAGGAGGAGAAAACCCAGACGGCGAGGAGGAAGAAGGCCACAAAGGCCACCGTGGTCACCGTGCAGTACGACGACGACGAAGGCCGCTTTCCCCCGCGAGGGCCCAACCTGCCGGGGCCCGCCATCGCTTCCGATTCCACCGCCGTTGCAGGTTCTGTTCTTGTCGTGTTGGCCGTGGAGGAACAGAAAGCTTCCAAATATGGAAATGTGAGATCCCCGGACGTCGGCGGCGGGCCGACAGGGGCCAGAAGCTCTCCGGCATCTCGCCCGATGGTTGCGGGGGTCCTCCTCTGACGATGCTCCGACATATCTGACTCCTCTAGATTCGGCTCGTCTCCCCACGGGCTTCCCGGCCATCCATTCTCCACGTAACGTAAGGGGGTGAGTTAACTGCTGCAAGATTTCTTTCTTAATCGGAGAGGATGGATTTTATTATTATCTGGGTACCCAATTTAGGCAATCAGGCTGGCAATCATCATGAATATAAGGGCAAGTTACCAAGCAAAAAATAATCCATATTTAGTGGTAAAATGAAGTTGACCTTGGTTTTTTAGTCAAACCCAAGCGCTCTAAGTATTTTCTCTGGATGTTATATCGAATATATACACAGAAAATTATATCGGTCAAAGATGGGAACTTTACTGGTTGGTTTTGACTTTTCTGCCAGCTCTCATTCCGATTGCCATTTACAGACCAGTGTGGGATGGGACGGTATTATTTTAAACGTTGACAATGATGGGTTCTTCTGGTGTAAAAAGCCAAGCCTGCCGTGGGCGTGGAAAAATCAGGGTAATGGTCAGATTGCCGGATGGAGAATAGACTCCTTCTTCATGGGCATGTAACTGGATTGAAGGGCATTATACTAAAGTCCAGACATTTATATGCGGTCCTACGTAGATTATCTCGTAGCTGTGAGCAACTTAAGAGATTACGGAGACATCGAGCAAGAGGAGGCCGAGGAGGAGGAGACAGGCCGCTGCCGCCCTGGTTGTGGTGGCGTCGCCGCCTCCAGAGTAGGAGCTGGGGAGCTGGGGGTAGAGGTCCGGGGGGGGCATCACGCAGTCCTCGCCGTTGAACATAATCCGCCTTGGAAAGGTCCAGCCCGCCTTGAAGGTGAAGGCGGCGGGGTCCTTGCGCAGCAGCATCTCCGTCTGGACGTTCCCACTCTCGCCGTACTGGAGCAGGATGTCGTTGTAGTAGGGGATCCCCCAGAACATCGCCGTATCGTCTGCAAGAACACGCTAGGCCTCGGGTTGGAAATATGGCAAGGGGATGAACATAGCTTCTACTGAATCAAATGCGGGGTTTTCCTATAGTTGGACCCACAGAAATATACTCTCTCTCTCTATCTCTCTCTCTCTCGTAATCTCAAAACCGATGAACTTCTAGTCCGAAAAAATGGATAAAAAATAGAAAAGCCACTGAAAATAGGAGAGATACAGCCTTTTCGATCTGTACCCAGATCCTAAAACAATGAATTTCATGGAATATGATGCCATTTTCTGGGGAAAAAGGGATACAGAAAAAAGAAATCCTAATGCTTGTATGATGATGCAGACTTACTGATTGGTCCATAATTACGGAGATACTCATGCTCGAAGCTGAAGACCTGCGTCAGTCTCTCAAGGTTGGGATGGTTGACGACCAGATTCCACTCGCTGTAGTTGTGGACCAAGTTGTAATTGGTCACCGTCACTTTGACCCTCCAGTACTCTCTGTAGCTCACCTTCACATGCCAGTGAATCTGAATCGGGCACATGTGCTGGGTGCACCTCACAAAGGGTGGAGGCGAGTCTCCATCATTGGGAAACTGTAGAACTTGTGCTTCTTCCCCATACCTAGCATGGAACAAGCAGAACCATGGATAAGAACGGAGAATAAGAAGAAAATAAATAAATAAATAAATAAATCACGGCCCTTTCATTACCAAAGGAGATGCTATTTAATGGATTAAAATAGAGAAAATAACAGCGGGAATGTTGGGCCATGGCTACGGAAGAAGAGAGACAGAGAAAGAGGAAACTTGCCTTGCACATTTCACTGCTGATGGACCATCTGGGCACCCGCAGCTGCAATGGGGGCACTCGACGATGGTACTGCTGTAAAATGTGGAGAGAGATACACAGCAGCTGGGGCTGGCCGATGCTATGAATTGAGAGTAGGAGCATGTGACTTTCCACGTATCTGAAAAAAAATCATCCTGGAGCGGATCAACATCTTGAAAGAAGATGAAAGAAGAGATGGGGACGCTGCTTCTAATCTATGGCAGGAGAAAATAAAATGATCAATGCCACATAGAGGCTTAGCCATCTGATGGAACTAACTTAGTCAACCTTCAAAGGATGAATAATCTTCCACTTCTGTCACAAAAATATAATTTTTCTTTTCTTCTTTCTTTCTATTAGAAGTGTCGATGCTTCTTAACATCATATTCGCATGGCCACCTGCCAACTTTCTCAACGCTTTGGTGCATCCCGCCAGACTAGTCCTATTCCAAGGCAATGATTTTCTGCATGTGAATGAAGACATGCCCTGACCGACGCCTATGGGGCATGTATGAAGACCAAATATAGTTAAATCCGAGGTATTCAAGGGGTCCACGATGATGGTTTAGGAATTAGTCCGAATAAATTCCCCTCCAAACACATAAATATCAAATAATCAAACCCAAGAGAAAATATAGATATGTTCTCAAATCCAAACCCTCCCCACTCTCTCCCAGAGGTCACTTACGGAGAGCTTGTGTCTTCCTCCTCTTATCTCCACTCAGAAACTTGGTAGGATCAGAGTCAATTGCCTCCCCGCAAGTGTAGCCGTGGAGCCCAAGAGCAAAGTTCCGGGGTCTTAGGACCTCATGCTTTTTGCCATACCGAATATTACCGACATCAATCTGGAAAGAGGCAGCACTGCTGGATGGGCCCTGAGTTATGGAGGACAGCACTCCCGCTTTACAGCAGTTGCGCACTTGATAGTTGTATGGAGTCCCTGGAAGTAGGTCGACGACGACAGGCCATTTCAGGCAGCAGTGGGGCAGCTGCCCCTTGTACTTGCTGCAGTTCCCTTGCTCTGATGCCTCTGCACCCCGTATATCCCAGATCACTTCATCCCCCGGCCACTCCCACTTGAGCTTCCAACCCGGTCTCTCAACGTGGCGGAAGAGCTGATAGTTGTTGATGTCCACCATTGCCTGTAGAGCATCGAAACAGAGCAATGTCAACTGTACTAAAGTTGGAAAGAAAGAAAAAAAAACAGATATTTTTGTACGTGACTATGGATACAAATATATAAATAAGCATATCTACATGTATTAGAGTAGACAAACCATAGCTTGGGCTCATGATCCTGATCATCTCGTCACCTATTTATTCATCTCATGGTTACAATGGGGCTCTTTTTCTCTCTTTAGTTTTTACCCACTAGACAATAATTCTATGATGAATCACAGAAGTCAGCAGCCAGCTGAAGAAATAGCAGCCGAAGGCAATTCGGAAAAGTTTCATGGGGGAGTGGATGAGGGTGATGGTTAAAAGTGGAATCAGGTTATGGTTGGAAACCAAAGGATGTCTGTTAATTTATTTATCAAGAGACATGTTATCAGCGTACTGATATGTTAATTTTGGTGTCAAGTGACGATTCTGAGAATAAAATCTTCGTGGAAAACGAGGAGAAGAAAATCAGCATTGAATGAAGATGGGAGCAGAGGCATACTACATATCCGCTGTCCGTCAGCTGCATCAAATCCCACTTGATGGTGATGTTCCCGTTCGGGTCGAACGGATCATAGGAATCTGATTCCAACACAATGGGAGGAATAAGCAGCATCATAGAAAAGAAATTGCGTGTGGAGAAAGCGAGAGACTATGCTACCAGCTGGAGGTATCCACCGGAGAAGAAGAAGAGGAAGAAGTGCAGAGAGGCAGGCGAACGAGGGCGAGGTGGCCATTAGAGACTATGTAGCGGAGCTCCCCTGTGAGGTAGAAGTCTCGGCTGGTCCTCTCCGTTCTTCTCTGCCACCGTCTGGGGGCATCAGCACAATGCCCAGTTTAGAAGGAATGCCAGCAGCCCATCTCCGCCCAATAACGAAAGAGGGAGAGAGAGAGAAACCGACGCGTGACTGTCGTGCCCACAAGAATTCACAGCCCGCGGGCATACGAGTAGGAGTAAGAGGATTATGGAACATTGTCTGGCTGTCTTCTTGGAGGATTCTCCTTCCCCTCCGATAATGGAATGAATGCCACGCGCACGCAACGCCATTCAATGCTGGATTTGGAGAGACGGGGTCCGGTGCAGATACCCAGATCGCCATTTCCTCTTCTTCCCCTCACCCTTCCCCCCTCCCCCCTCCCCCCCTTCTCTCTCTATCTCTCTATCTCTCTATCTCTCTCTCCCTCTCCTTCTCCCTCTCCCTCTCCCTCTCTAGCCGATGGGTGGACCGATCTCCGCTCCCGTTTGGGCAGCGGTTATGCAGACGCAGGGCCAGTCGCTGACGCGCGTTTGCCACGTAGCGCCCCCGCCATTTCTGCACTGAGAACCGGGAGGACGAGAAGGGAAGGGGGACGAATGGGGGAGGGGGGCTGGAGATGAGGCAGAGGACGGTCCCTCCAGGAGGGGTATGGCGCTGTAATGACGGCGAGACAGCGGTGGAGGCGATTCATGAAGACGATCTGCCGGGTTTCAAGAGAGGGGGAGAGAAAAAAAAAGACTTTTTTTAGTTTCGAGCTCACAAAATCATGAAAAGGGGCAGGGACTGTTGGGCTTCTGAGGCCCAGTACGCAGATCCGTGAGACGACGGCCTCGTCCAAGATCTTTCTTTTCGTTCGGGATTTTGCTCCAGGGATTTTGCTACTGCAGAAGGCCGCCGTCTGTGCCTTCGTTGTCTCGTCGTCCATGGCGTCGGCCGGAGCGGTCGCCTCGGGCGTCCGTCAGCATCTATGGCGGTCCCCTTCTCACCCCCTCCTTTGCTCTTCTCATCTCGGCCACCGTAGCAGGGAAGGTCTCCGTCCTCTGACCCTATTCTCTACCTTATCCTTTCCCCCTTCCACTTCCCATCGTCCTCCATTTACGCTGGCTCAGTCGCGATTTTCTCTCTCGTCATTGGGGTCCCGAGGGCTCTTCTCAGCCCCGGTGGCAGCAGCGTCTTCGCCAGGCACCCGGGACACTGTCTCTCGTTCTCTGGATGAGGAGAACGACGAAGAAGGGGAGTCCCAGGGGGAAGAGGATGAGTATGATGTTGCCTCCTACGATGATGAAGAAGATGGAGAGGAGGAGGAAGGGGAAGATGAAATGGACGATAAAACAGGAGAAGGCTTAGATATCCGGGTGAAAATGGAGGACCGGTCTGATGGTGAGACGCCTTCACTGCAAGGGCAGGAATTTCCGAGATACCCGTCTCCGGTGCTGAGCGTGAAGGAGAAGAAGGAGTTAGCCTCATACGCCCACAGCCTCGGGAAGAAGCTGAAATCCCAACAGGTCGGCAAGTCTGGGGTCACTCCCTCTGTTGTTGCCGCCTTCCTTGAGACTCTCGAGGCTAATGAGCTCCTCAAGGTACCGCATCTGCCACTTTTTCTCATTCTTCTGCGTTGAATTCTTAGAATTTCATCGTTTTTTCTTGTTCTAATTCTAGATTTGTAGACACCTGACAGTTGACTTTGAAAAAAATGATATCATCAAAAATGAACAGGCAGCAGCTCAAAAATCTTATTGAATGGATGATCCACACTTCCTATTTAGTCATCAAATTAGCCGTATTGCTTTTTTTTCATGCTAGACTTTGAGCTCATTTTTTTAATTATAAGAAGGTTTCTATCTCTTTTTATGGATGACAACAGAAATCGTCTATTCCCTGTGACCCTGCAAGCGTCTAAGATTAGTCAGAGTCAGTCTCACTTTCAAGTTAGTGATAGAAGATCTTGTCACTCTAACTAGCAATTTCAGCTCAGAACTTCTCATGGCAGTGTCAATCAAGCAAATGGCTCAATTTGACCCAATCCGTCCCTTGTGATTTTGAATCTTCATCAGTGGGTCAACTAGAAAATCATATTCCTCCAAGAATCGGAGGGAGTAGACACTTGTTGTGGGTTTAGCTGCTTCGAGGGGATGAATTTTGTACTCTACTAGTTTAGTTACACTTTTTTTCAGTCGATATAGTTCATGATTGGAGCTGCACGTGAATTTAATTTTTTTTTTATACTCTTAATAATAAAGAGTATGTTCAATTTATGGGTCTATGATTGGGTATTTTAATCACTTTATGGATCTTTGTCTTAAAATAATGAAAATAATCCTATTATATTCTTGCAACAAGGGTATAAACCAAAAGTTTCCCAAATGACTGTAATAAGTCGGCCTAGTCTTCGACTCATGGAAAATTCTGAATGGCCTCATCACCCCACGAGACCAGGAAGCTTGTACATCATTTTTCTCTCAGAATTGCTGCATGCCATTCTGCGTCGAGTTGCATGAGTTGATGTTCTGAAAATGTGCTTCACAAGGAGTCATGGATCAGAAGACCGAGCGTGTGTTTGATCATTGTTTTTGATGTCTCTGTGGTTAATTTTGGGAGACCCTGTTAAATTGTTGGCTGATTGAAAATAGCCCGAACAGGCTCTTGACTGCCATGTTCAAAGATTTAAACATGTTCTATAAAATGATATCGACAAAATATAGAGTGGAATCTTAAGTGATTTCTGCGTGAAGGGTCATCCTTCTTGTGGTAATGGCATTAAATTCTGTAAAAAAAAAAAGAAATGTTCTCATTTTAGTTGATTGTGATTATAACTCTCCGACACTTTCTAGTCTGGCCCATCTCCTACAAGTGAGTGTGTTCTGAATCAGTCTTCCTCTGGTCTCAATGAACAACAGCTTAAAGTGCATGGAAACTGCCCTGGGGAGCTGCCAGACGTCATCAGGCTATTGGAGGCATCAACTGGGTCGGTGGCTGTGGGGCGGATCGGCCGATCCGTCATTCTCTACCGACCAAGCATCAGCAAGATGCAGCAAGCCCGAGAGCAGCAGGCCGTCAGGAAGCCTCAGAGGTCCAGATCCTTTGGGGGCTCTTCACGGCCCAATGGGCCGAAGGACCAAATGGGAAGTCCCTTTCTCTGTCGGAGCGGCCGCAGGCCAGCCAAAGCTTAGTGGGAGCTTCTATCTGCCCGGCTCATACTCCCATGGGAGGGCTGGGGGGCGCAGGTTTCCCCTTGCTTTAGGCATATTTGACCGAGGTTTCAGGGTTCTAGGTGGTGGCTGTCCTTTGAGTGGATCCTTGAATTGAATCCTTCATTGGGTGTGCTATATTGGTGGGCTAAGACCATGTAATTGACGGTCAATTATTCAGTCATCCCATGAGGTGGTCTCTAGGGATCAAGGAATAGGCTATGAGAAACTTAAGATTTAGTCTTCAGAGGCAACATGTGAAGGTTTTGCCCTAAAAGGTAAAACTTATGTGAGATTGGAGTGATATGGTTTTCAATCTGCTGTGGGATTGAAAAGGGGGAAGTCGAGTGTCCATTTCCATTGTGTGTGTATGTGTGTGCGCGTAGCTAGAGAGAGAGAGAGAGTAATATGCATAACATTTCTCTTAAGTATGATGTCGTAGTTATTTTCCTTGATAATTTTAATGTCATTGCATATAAACTACCTAGCTTCATTCGATGCCCAAATGGTAGGCCCACTAAGGTCTTCCACATTGCCTTTGATTGACTAATACTCAATTTTCTGACAAATTCTTTAGTACCATGGGGGAAATGAAATGAGATTACGAAATGAATACATAAAAAATTAAATGTTTTAGTATAACACAAGCAACTCCACCCACTAGGAAATAAGCTACTAATGGTTAGTTATTTCTTATTTTTTAAAAAAATGGTTTCTTCATCAATAATTTTGAACTATTTCATAATTACTTGGATTTTCTTTTCAAAAGTAAATTGGTGTCATGAGGAAGTTGGCTTCATTTATTGAGAAAATACTTCAATCTTTTACCCATTACTTAGAGAAACGGCATATTTTCTAAGAATTTTAATGAATTACCCTCTAAAATATCTATATATCGAATGAATGTACATAAAACCTTAAAAAAATAGATTATAGATTAAAACAACTAGTCTTAACCCTAATCTGATGTAGCATATCACTTTTGAAAAAAGAAAAGGGCAGAAAGTTTTTGATTCAAGTGCCTTGGAAGTGTAAAAATGTGGACTACAAATCTTTGGTGCATGATTCCAAAGTAATTGAATCATGCACCAGAGTTTTAGGTTTTATAATTACCCTATTTGGAGTTGTTTTGAATTTCTTTCCTAAAATGATTCAGCTTTTAGGGGGGGCTCAATTATTTCTTGGCCCCTTTAGAGGTCACCCTGTTGTAACCTAAAGGGCATTTTAATTAGTCTCATTGATAGATTTTTCTATTACTTGTGGATCCAAGAAATATTATTTTAATCCTTGTAGACTCAAGGATACTCAAAATTTAATCTTTATATATTTAAAGGCATATTTATGATCCTTGTGGATTCAAAGATTAAGAAAAATTGTGTCTTGGTAACTAATATGAAGCTCCCATCTCCAAAATTATAACTATTATTACCATTTTCCATTGAGCACCCACAATTTCTTTACGTAAATTTATGTTCACACAGTTGATTTTTACTATTTTTTTTAATTAAAAAAGAATCTCAAATGTTTCCATCATCATAAGCCCATCAATCCACCGTTTTGCTGCAAACTGTAGTATTTTAAAATATATTTAGATAAATTTGGGGATAATTCTTATTCATCATATTTAGTGAGGAAGTTCTCCATAATTGTTCATCCATCCCATGCTTAGCCGTTCTGGTTTTGCACGAGATGGATGGGTACTATATGTGAGCCAATCCAAAGTGGACTTGTTGCAGTTCATCCTGTTCTTGATCTACCGATTTGGCAAGACTTCATGGTGGGTTTTGGGCCTGTCGAATCCAAGCCGCAAGGTTTGATCTGTAAAGAGGGTAAATTTGGTAGGGTTTATGGTGACCTGGTAGGAAGGGGGCCTCTGGGTGGGGTGACTGCTTTTTATCGGATTCGAGCAGCGCTGTGACAATTTTGGGTCAGCTCTTGGATCCGTGCCCTGGGGGATGCTCCCTCTTCCTCTTCCTCTTCTGGGTCCTTCAGCAACACTTCTGCTGCCTGCTTCCTGAGGAGGAAGGCGGAGGGAGAGATAGGGAGGTTGGGAGGATGTTCGGGCGGTGTTTGCTTACGGGAGGCCGGAGCGCCGGGATGCTTCTGGCCAGGGTGAAGGAGACGACGGGGATCGTGGGGCTTGATGTGGTGCCGAACGCGAGGGAGGTGCTTATCGGGCTTTACAGTCGCACCCTGAAGGAGATCCAGGCGGTCCCAGAAGACGAGGGCTATCGCAAGGCCGTCGAGAGCTTCACACAGCACCGGCTCAAGGTGTGCCAGGAAGAGGAGGACTGGGAGCAGATCGAGAAGCGCATCGGCTGCGGCCAGGTCGAGGAGCTCATAGAGGAGGCGCGGGATGAGCTTACTCTAATTGCCAAGATGATCGGTAAGGAGAGTCCGCCCGGTCGTCCCTTGTTTTGGTTTCCATCTCGCCTCCCCGATTCCGCACGGCCGCTGAACGGGTTGGCATTTCTGGTAAATGCCTCTTTGGTGAGGATTTCAATCGATTCCCCGGGGGTTGGGGAGATTTTGGCCTCGATCTAAATTCAGCGTTTCATTTAAAACATTCGGAATCCGATTTGATCAAAATGTCTTCGTGTTCATATTACCTACATTGTCTCAATGGAATTTGGCAAAAAACATGCGACGCCGAAAACCATCGTGCTCATTTTTCGCATTTGCCTCTTTACTGGGCATTCAGTCGTAACGATTGTGTAAACGGTATGCTGCATCACTTGCTCGATGTGTTACGCCGTCGACATTCTAACCGAAAGTTTGACTTTCATGAATGTGAGTTTCGAGCAAGTTTTTGTGTTCCCCTTCTGGGACGCACATTTCGAGCATGGGCCCTTACGAAATGAAATGGAAGGAAGCATCCGATCATATAAGTGTGAATGAAAATGTAGATATGTAAGGAACTGAAGATGACGGGTTTTGATCATAAAAAACCTGTCTTGCTTCCGTGTGAGTAAATATTCTTCAACGCGATGGTGGAGAATAAATTATGTTCTGTTTAAGTGTGTTAGTGATGGACTTGTGTTGGAGCCATGAGGAAAAACAACGAGGCTCGCTCGTTGTTGGTGGAGGATGATACATTGAAAAGATGCATAAAAAACCGGTCAATGTCGGCCAAGGAGTGCTGTCTTTCGTGGATTTTCATGCTGTTTTGTGAGAACGAATCAACGATGCTATTTTTAGATCGGCTCAGGTCTGTATAAAATACAGATGGTTCACTTCCATATATTGCATAGCTTGCGTTCTGCATTTTAATCGTCTCTGTTCATTGTCAACAAAGGGTGGGAAACATGTTATCTTGTTTTCATGAGTGCGTTTCTACTGTTTTTTTAAATCAATATTCTCTGAGATCTCATGTACACCGAGTTGATCATTGATTTCTATGGACACTAAGAGTATCCTCTGGACGCTTGAAGAATCTTCAGATTGAAGTTGAATCCTTACCAAGAATCGTTCATTAATGCTATCGTTAGAGATGTCTGCCAAAAATGAATAATGAACCACGAAAAGAAGGGAACTGTAGCATGATTATTGAATGAAAGGGGCTCTAAAAGTGAAGGGCAGAATATGATGTCTGTGTGAATTCAACATCCCAATGTAAGATTGAGAAATTTCTTATATAAGTCATGGATTTTCCACATATTTTCTTATATATTCTGCTAGCTTACAGAGATCAGAGTGAGTTTAATGATGTTTGATTTTCTAATATCCTTTGGTGAAAGCGATCCTGATTCACATAGTCAGTACATCGAATGCTAACTATAGTTTTGAGCGGTCATTCCCACTTGAAGAACTGAAACAACTTTTAGCAGATGTAACATCTGGCTGTCACCTCTTTTAACCTTGTTTTTTGGATGTATAATAGAAAAAAGTAGTTCTGCTAACTATAATCAGGGAAATTTTTTGCATCTGGTTATCAGGTGCAAAAGTAGAAAATTAGAAAAAGCTCTTTTCAAACCCACTCACTAGCCTATATGTTGTTGCTTCAAGCTGTTTCCTTGTTATGAGTAAGAGACTCCTCCGTTATGAATGTCTTTACTGTCATCAGGAATCATCTAGTGACAAGTTTTCCATAATGAAGCAAAATGACGAGGCTGAGAGCTGATGGCATGTATTCGGTTTGTAGGTTTTTATTGTGGATGAACCCAATAGCGGATCTTTTAGTCAATCTTAGTGGTTCCCTTATATATTTATATTTACTTGAAACACAACAGAAAATTCATGTGCACCCGAATCTGACGGGGAAGAATTCAATCTTTATGTAAGATTGAGTGAGCTATGACAGCACTGGCATCATCTTCATGTGGATACGGAAATGACATTTAAATAACTGGGACCTACTTTTTCCTGTTATCTATTATATACTTATGTTTAATGCACATCTCATTATCTTTTTTTCTTAATCATATCCATTGAAGCCAAACGGCTCTAGATCACCTTTCATTGTAATTTAACTTGGATACTTTCCAATTTGACAATGTTGTAGTGAGGGATTGGTTAGCAGGCTGCTTTCAGTCTACCTGGTTGTAAATGTCTCAGTAAACTAAACCCTTTTGCAATTTGAAAAATCTGTTCTTTGGAGAATTCCCCCCAAATGAGAGGGTCCTTGTCTTCTTTAGTAATAGAAGCGAGTACATTCCCCCAACCCTTAGGGAATTTTATGTTACATTGTCATGAGATAGAAATCGATTGTGTTTCTCCCTCTATTTACAACTTACTTTAATTACCTATCTCCAATCCGAAATCTTCTCTCCTTGCAAATTCGAAATGAATGTACTTGGAGGCCTTTCCTTGATTATCGAAAGTTTAATTATTAGGCTTGACGCTGGAGGCACTTAAATTTCTTTTTACGTCAGTCTTTTCCAGAAAGAATGCTCAATAGTTCATGTTCCATAAAAGCCAGGGCTCAAATAGATTATTTTCGGATATGTGATCGCAAATCTTATGTGCCATGTTTCTCTCCTTTTTTTAAGCTTTTTTGCATATTGCTAGAATAAATTAGTCTATTAAATATTTGGGAAATGTAAATTATTTGCGTGTTGAATTTTTAGGTGGTTACGTCAGCTTTTAGTTTCCTATTTTCCTTGCCTTCAGACGTGAAAATATCTAGGTAGAGTTTGATTAATGAACACTTTTGATGTGATTAGCATTTTCTAAATGCTATGGACTACATATATGATCGACACTCTCTCTTCCTTCTTGAAGAAGAGTTTGGTGGGGGTTATGGGCATGTGTTGTCTGGGGTGGGATGAATTGTTTGGTGGATTTATCTCATGGTATTTCTGGGCTGCTAGAAATAGATAGGATGCGTTTCACCAATCAGAAGCCTGAACTGAGGAATATTCCTTAATATATAGAGATGTAGGCTCTTTTCCTCATGGATAATTTTACATAACTCTGGATGGGAGAACTCTCTTCTCCGCGTGAGAATCTGATGGAAATCTCTTGGATAAGTCATTCTATGATAACATTCGCATAAAGAGACGACTGCTCTCCCTGAGGAGTCATACGACGCTGTTCCCTGCAGCCTTCTTGCAACATGGGAGCACAGATATTTAGCTGGCCAGGCCTTGCCTGGCACGCCAGAGGAACAAAGTTAAGACAAGGCTAGCATCAGTCGATATGATGAGCATTTGGCTACATGGGCTGTTCCGAGCGCATGTTCCCTACGTAGAATATGAAGAGAGAAGAGCTATGCAGTGGTGCCTCATTCACATGGCCTTCCTCCTGCTGCATCTCCCTGAGTCTAAGCTTTTCTGACGTCTCTTGTGCTACATGCTAGGCTTGAGTTCTTGTTTATGCTTCATTTGGCAGACTACTGAACAAGTTTCAATCTGGCCTGCAGAATGGGATCCGTGGGGTGTTCCTGAAGGGTACGAGTGTGAGGTCATTGAAAACGATGCTCCGATCCCGAAGCATGTACCTTACCACCGACCACCTCCCCTTCCAGAAGAATTCTTCAAGACGCTGGAGGCCTTGGGTTCTAAATCAGATGCAAAGGACGAAGTACCCAGCTCGACCCAATCAAAGGAGTGAAACCCAGCAGCCAAGTGTTTGCTGAACGAACAACCATCTCCTGTCAACTTTCCCTTTGATCTTGTGAATGATGCTGCTTCTGGAAGTTTTGGATTGCTTGCAGAAATAATCGATGCTCGCATAGCTCTTTGAAAACTTTCCATATGATGAAACCCATCTGCTGAAATGGGTCTGCATGAATGAATCGGAGATGCCCTCATAAGAGCCACAAGATCCATGATTCTTGCCCAAATCTGTCATTGCGTCTTTTGACCTAGCAGCAAGATTCATCAAGCATTTTTGGGATTTCAAATGGAAATCTTCCTTTAAAGAGGTTTTGAGTGGCCTCCGGCAGCCGGGATTCAGGATGCTTGCTTGGTTATGACATGCTTGTTAGCTTCCAATTCCTGCCTTGGACCCCCCTGATTCAGAGAAAATGGATGGTCAATGGCTTGGTGGCTCTCAGAGGTCTTCCTATCTGTCCATGGTTCATCTCTGGATTGACCTGTGCTCAGTAGATCTCTCTCTCTCTCTCTCTCTATTCCTTGGAGGGTACCTACTGCAGAGTTGGTGAATTATTGTGGATTTTTAAAGGCTGTTAGGTTCCATCTCCAAAAGGGAATGTTCCCAATCGTATCCACGCTGATTTCGAGTCTTCTGTCAATTACTCTGGTCAACAGCAGACCCGAGTGGGGCTCCATGGGCCTTGGTAGATACCGGGGCATCATTTTCCTACAAATTCTTTGTTTTTTGTATACACAGTGAAATATATTTCGAATGAGCTCCTTTGCACGCCTGTACGCAAATCATTGAAATCCCACGAAGTCTAATGGCGGTTCAGTGGGGAGAGAAGGGGAGAGAGAGAGAGAGAGAGAGGTATCTAATCCTGTTCTTGCTTACGCATGGGTCGGTCAAATTCATGTTCAGCGTCCTACAGCGGGGCAGACACTTTCATATGAGAACGGTCCATGACAGCCTTGACTTCTCCACTTGTCTTTGAGATTTGACGGGTGCGCTCTCCCGGGGACCTTCTGGAGTCACGCAGAGAAATTTTCTACAGCCCAGCAAGTGGCTCATTTCTTTCGACGGTCAACATCCCCACCCACCTCGCCGCCCAATCCTGTTTTGACAGCTGGGGAGGGAAGGGCTTTGAAGATATGGCAAGAGGGTCCTCTTGCCTCATGTTAATAGATTGGAGTACATAACTCTTACCGAAAATGACAGTAAACGGAGAGGTCGGGGAGGGGTTGGCTCGATTAGTCTTCGATCACTTGTATTGATCGAAACGGGAGGGTTGGTAGGTGATGACTAAGGGGACTTGAAGTCGTCTGATTCTCTCTATCTCTCTCTCCTCTCTCTCTCTCCCCAAGAGCACCATTAGACTTCGTAGGCCTTTCTATGATTTCTGTACACCTGTACTCTCTCTCTCCCTCCACCCCTCTCTCAATTCTCAGCTTTCAGGGCGTACCGATCACACGTTTGACGTTTCAAGGGTACAAACTATACATATGGTTACGGGTCGATTTAAACATGTCATCGTAGTCGTAGGTTGATCCCGAATGAAGCACATATTTCACCAATTTGCCAGAATAATAACGCCGTGGCTGAAGGATTTGTCACAACTCGCGTCCCCCCCATGGAACTGTGGCTCTTCGAAATCGGTTCCCCGCAGAAAAAGAGCTCCTTTCGATTGAGACACTACTAATTAATTAAAATCGCAGTTATAATTGCTTCGAGAACGTGTAGGCCAAGGGATGCTGGGTAGGGTTTTTGACTGGCCCTCGGGAGGATGGTGAGGACCCTCTGGCGTGGTCCCCTTCTCTGCACACGTAGAAGTTGACGAAGATGCCAGAGTGGGTGGAGGTGACTAGCGAAAGGAAGGACTAAACGCGGTGTCTCATAACGTCCCCCTCCGAAGGTCAAAGGGAGAGTTTACTTCAGTATTCTGATGAACTGGGATTCCGATCAGATAGCTTATGGTTTAATCGTGTATTTATCGTCGCACAGTGCGTATATTTAGTCGTGTAGTTTGTAGAAAAGAATATATAGAGAGAGAGAGAGAGAGCGAGAGAGAGAGAGAGAGAGACGTAAGGGCTTATCTGTTCCTGTCCACAGATTCAACTTTGCCGGCGTAGAAAAGCTTATATACAAAGCCATCTCCACAAACCAGTTTCCCCCAGTGCAAATGCACCTCTGACGAATACCCCGTTCTTTCGCCTGTCTCCATTTGGTGGACGAGATGGGATTCTCCGAAGCCTCTGGGTCTGTGCTCTCCTTTTGGGTGCTCTTCCCTGCACTCCCCCTGATGCTGCTCGGCTGGATCTTGCTATCTCGCCCACGGCGGCCGCCGCTGCCCCCGGGTCCCCGCCAGCTTCCCATAATCGGTAACATGAACATCATTGACCAGCTGACCCACCGCGGGCTCGCCAAGTTGGCCGAACGCCACGGGGGGCTTCTTCACCTCCGTTTGGGCTTCAACCACACCGTCGTCGTTTCGTCCCCTGAGATGGCGCGCCAGGTCTTGCAGGTTCACGATCACGTCTTCTCTAATCGCCCCGTCACCTCCACCATCCGCTACCTCACTTACGACCGCAGCGACATGGCCTTCGCCCACTACGGGCCCTTCTGGCGCCAGATGCGGAAGCTCTGCGTCATGAAGCTCTTCAGTCGCCGCCGTGCCGAGTCCTGGGCTTCCGTGCGCGACGAGGTCGACGCCGCCGTGCGCGTCGTGGCTGCTGGCGCGCCTGGCGCGGCGGTTAACGTCGGCGAGCTCGTCTTCAACCTCACCAAGAACATCACGTATCGCGCCGCCTTCGGCTCGAGTGCCCTCGAAGGGAAGGACCAGGATGAGTTTATCTCCATCCTGCAGGAGTTCTCTAAACTCTTTGGGGCATTCAACATCGCCGACTTCGTCCCATGGCTCGAGCCGCTAGACCTGCAGGGAATCAACCGGCGGCTCGTGAAAGCCCGGTCAGCGCTGGACAGCTTCATCGACAGGATCATCGATGAGCACATCGCTAATCCCAAGTCAACTGACGACCCTAATGCCGATATGGTCGATGATATGCTCGCCTTCCTCGGAGAAGCTGGCGGCGCCACCACTGGGTCAGACGAGCTACAAGGATCCCTCAAGCTGACGAGGGATAACATAAAGGCGATCATTATGGTATTTATTCATCTGCGTGAATTCACTTTCTTGCAAGGTTCCACGCTCTTTATTCCAATGGTCGTTGGATCTAAGATCTTCACTTTCTCTTATCTTGGAATCGTCAACGTTGTTCGTTTCTTAACATGTTTTTTAACGAAAAAACAGGACGTCATGTTCGGGGGCACGGAGACGGTGGCGTCCGCAATCGAGTGGGCGATGGCGGAGCTGATGAAGAGTCCAAAGGACATGAAGAGGGTGCAGGATGAGCTAGAAGCGGCGGCGGGGCTTGATCGGAAGATCAGCGAGGGGGATCTGGACAAGCTCCCCTACCTAAGGTGCTGCATCAAGGAGACCCTCCGCCTCCACCCGCCGATTCCTCTCCTCCTCCACGAGACCGCCGAGGACTGCGAGGTGAGCGGCTACTGGGTGCCGGCGCGCACGCGGGTGATGATCAACGCGTGGGCCATCGGCAGGGAAAAGTCGGCGTGGAAGGACGCCGACTCGTTCATTCCCTCCCGCTTCGCCGACGACCCGAGCGCGCCGGATTTCAAAGGCAACTGTTTCGAGTTCATCCCCTTCGGTTCGGGCAGGCGGTCTTGTCCCGGCATGCAGCTCGGTCTCTACGGCCTCGAGCTCGCCGTGGCGCAGCTCCTCCACTGCTTCGCGTGGGAGCTCCCCGGGGGAATGAAGCCCTCCGAGCTCGACATGACAGACGTCTTCGGCCTCACCGCCCCCAAGGCTGTCCGCCTCTCCGCCGTCCCCACTCCCCGCCTCGCCTGTCCCATATAATCGATCCTCCATCCCTCTCTCTTTGTTTGTCTTTTCCTCTCTCTCTCTGTCTGTATCTCTGTATCTTCTCGCTTGGTCCTTGCCATGAATTTTCTATTCGCAATTGAAGATCGGGCGGTTGGACTCACCCAGGGAACGTTATAATACTAATCAATGACCTTATCTTCGAAATGGCCGCCAGGTCCATCCTTTCTTCCCATCAAACAACATCCCCCACCAACCCCTCCGCTCTTGGTTTGACAGCCGGGGAGGGAAGGCCTCCGAAGGCAACTTGGTATTTCTTGTCGAAAATGGCAGGGGATGCTAGCGGGGACTTGATTACGCTCCCACTCACGTCTTCGGAGGCTTGTATTGATAGAGAACCGGGGGGTTGAAGGGTTGGGGGATTCTCTCGGTTGTTGATGCGGAAAGGCCGCAAGGCGTTGGATTCTCTCTCTCTCTCTCTCTAATAATTATTTACCAAGTTCTGTGCCATGCGGAGGGAGCATCCATGCCTGTCTGCGGTTCACGGCTACACAGATGCTTATGGCGTCTGCCGCATCCTCCGTATTCGGCTTTAACAGGTTTCGTGAACCAGCTTGAAAGCTCGCAGGGGACTGGCCCCTCCATATAGCCATGCAGGTTTCTCCGTCATTTATTTGAACATTTCTCGTCCAACTTCTAGATCATCAAGTTGTGAGTCATATTTGTCCTTTAATGAGCCAATTCTCGTCTGGTCACCCCCGTGGGAGTCGGGCAGATCGAGTCATCCCTAAATTGACCAGGGCCCTCAAATTGACCTGGGAAATCTGTATAAGCCAGTCTGAGAATCTCCCAATGGCCCTCAAATTGACCAGCGGATCTCCCATTGGCCAGCTGTGAGGCTGCTGTCCACTTTCGGCTGACTGGTGATTGATATCAGCCTTCACCCCTTCGTTTTCGCTGTATTATTTCAGAACCCGGAGAACAGGAAGGGAAGTGACTTTTGCCCTGTTCAGATGCTAGAACAGAAGAAGAGCACCATAAGACCATAATCGCTCAACAGAGGAACCCAACTTCATGTGAAAGGGGTAATGATTACAAAAATATTCTCTGCTTGGGAATTGGGTCGTGTCTTAGTGCCCGTCTATCTCATCCTTTCGCCGTGTGAATTCGCTGCTACCTTTGAGGTCTGGACGTTCCACTCAAGTAACCGAGGGAGAGAGAGAGAGAGAGAGAGAGAGAGAGAGAGAGAGAGAGAGAGAGAGAGAGAGAGAGAGAGAGAGGAGTTTAAAGTAATAGTGCAAAGGAACTAAAATAATATGTTAGGGCCCTTCAACTTTGCTAAAAGTCCATATCTGTCCAAGGGATAGTGGTTTTAAATACATTATATATATAAATACGAATACCTATGAGACAAGTGACTATTTTTGCCCCACGTTGCATAATGTAAGATTCCATTAATTTATCTGAACCACATCATAATATATTTATCAGTCTAGATTTTAATAACATCCACTCCGCTGTCCTACCCTGGTGGTTACCATCCTCCGAACGCATGAGTCATCACTATTAGATACCTCCATGACTGTGCCTAAGGGTTATTGTTACTAGAGTTCGTGGCATCTAGCATCATCCACTCCATACTTAAAACAGCTGGTTGTCATCTAACCGTTTAAAGAAGACTATCTGATTTGAAAGGTCTTAAGAATAAACTCTCTCTTAAGTATCTCGTTAGAGTTAAAATAGAAAGCCTCTAATAAGCTTTCTAATATGTAATAAAAAAATATATCATCGTTGAAAAGAGGATCCATCTTTTTCAATCCAACTCATCAACAATAAAAAGAGGTGGTGAATTATGACCTCACAAATGTATTGAGAGATGACCTTGTGAAGAGTAGGAATCTAAACATATTTTTTATTCAAAAGGGATATTTTAGGATTTTTTTCAGTTTTCATTGTAAAGTTTTTGACTATAAGGGACATCATGATTGTTCATTTGTGACAAGGAAAATAAACTCTATTGAGTAATGAATCTATGATACTTTGATTCAAGCATCACAAAAGCCTAATGACCAAACAATTTCTAATTGAATATCTTTCCTAGTCTTTTTTTCTCTTATACAATTTATTGAAGTTATCATAAGTTCAAGATGCTGGTGTTGGAGAATTTATAGTTCTGAAAAAGTACATAGAAGGCTAAAACAATAATTTTACATGCCCAAAAATTAAGATTTTTTTAAAAAAGAAAAATACTTCTTATAATTATTAAGCAAGTTGCAAACTATTTGGGCATTGAATAAATTTCCCCATTATGTCTCTTTTTAATTTTTAGGAAGTGAGTTACCTATGGTGGGTTTAGGAGATAGTTGCCTAGATGGCAGCAAAATATATGAAAGAGCAATGGGGGAAAATTAGAATAGTAAAATTGTATATTGAGATGGTTTAGATTGTTTATCATTGAGAAAAGTTTTAGAACTAAGAAAAATCACACAAGAATAAATAGTCAATATTCATATTTGAAATGAATAAAATATAGAATGATTGTTGACAGAATCTAGTATCATGGATATAATGACGTCTTTATTCATTGTGTTGAAATTTTGATATTTCAACTTATGATAAGAGACATATATGAAGTTCAAATTTAAGGCACATATGTGTCCCAAGAAATATCATCATCAAGCCATTGAAAGTGACAATTTGAAGGGGCGTTTCATATCAGATTAAGGAACATAAAACAAGGATGGAACATTCAGAATAAAGAATTTCCATGCCCACCATATTCTGCTCAAGAGTCCAAATAAGATTTCTACGTCCATGAGCACCTGAGGAAAATAATATCAGCTGTCTCAAACTTTGAAGGTCTTCTCCACATTGAAGCTTCCAAATGAGAAACTTAAGGATTTATGCATTGGAAAGTTTGAAACTGAATGCTAAATGATGGTAACTAGTTCTACACATGTGTTTAGAGTGTGCTTGCACTCAAGACTTACGTAGAGCTACAATCAAGAGGAGATGAGTTGGTGTTCATCTCGTTGGGCTCTTAGAGGCATTCATTTAGAAGAGAAGAATGGGCATCCTCTATTTAATTTCTAGAGTTGTGAATATGAAATAGAGGATCATGTTCTTTCTAGTTTGGCCCTCTAGAGCCCAAAAATCTAAAAAGTAATTCCTAGATGGGATTTTGAGTTGGCTAGAGTTGTTAAATCTAATGAATGTGGCTGAAGCCTTGATTCCGTGTTTTATTTCAGCATACTTTGGTATGGTAGAGCCCAAGGAAACATGAACATGAGTGGTACTTGGAGAATGCATTAGGTCAAGCGACTGAACCAATATAAAAACATGTGTGTGAAGTACAAAAGTACTTCATCTTATCGCCTTGATCCAAGCAACCAAGAGAGAAAACGAATTAGTGAAAAAATCATCTCATCCCCCCCTCCATTTGTACCATGTTGCCCGAATGAAATCCAACAGACTCATTTGGTTACATGAGCTTTGCACTCGTTCTGGGAAACATACTACCCATGCTATTTTTGCTGTGTGCCTTTATTTCTCTGCCTTAAACTCGTGCTAAATATTAATGGGAAAAAGCAGAAAAAATGGATTTTTTAATTATTAGAATTAAATCATCAGGTCCAGCAGATACCTTTATCATGGACTGTCATGGTCAACCATGCTCCCAATGTAAATGAGTCATTTCTGCTATTAAGGACTAGACATTTGATTATTTGCTGATTTACCGCAATTATGCTTTATTAGGTAAACCAACATGTTCTCCTGAGATATTTGGCTACGGATATAATTTTTCTCGTGAATAATATATATATATATATATTCCCATCCTGGGTAATGACGACAAGGTTTTCAATCAGGCCCATTGGGCCCATTCAAGAAAGCATTAGAAATGGATGCGATTGAAGACCAGAGTTACGCTTTGGTGGGTCAAACTGGGCCTCAATTTTCTAAATGGGAGCACAAATTCCGATAATTTTCTCTGCCCATTTCCTCGTGGGATGAGCATGGCCCTTTTTTTTTGTTCTTAATCGGACAATTGGGCCATTAAGGCGCCTTCAAGTAGGCCCCCTTGCTCCAGCTGCCGTCTGTGTGTTCCTGCTGCTTCATGCCCTGGTTTCCGAGGCCACCCTCTCCGGACCCCTCCTCCTTCGACATCCTCCTCCGGCGATGCAGCAGCCCTCGCCAATCCAAGCAGATTCACTCCCGCATCGTCCTGTGCGGCGCGCTTCAAGGGTCGGCTGTCCTTGCAGCTCGCCTCGTCTCCGTCTACAGCCGGCAAGGGCTCCTCGCCGACGCTTCAAGGGTCTTCCTTGGCGCAGAAAGCTGCGGGAGCATCCTCCTCTGGAACTCCATTCTGCGGGCGAATCTCTCTCACGGCCGCATTGGGGACGCCTTGGCCTTGTACCGCCGCATGCGGGTACTCGACCTCCCCGCCGACGGCTTCACGCTCCCCATGGTCGTCCGATGCTGTTCCTCCATGGGAGCTTCCGAGCTCTGCAAGGCCGTGCATGGCCATGCCGTCATCACCGGCTACTCGCACCATCTCCATGTCGCAAATGAGCTGATCCTCATGCATGGAACCAGGGGTGACATGTTATGCGCCCAGCAGATTTTCGAAGAAATGCCCCTGAGAAACATCATCTCCTGGAACACCCTGCTGGCAGGCTTTGCTGGGGCTGGGGATAGCTCCGGGGCTTCTGATCTTTTCCGGCGTATGGAGTCAGAAAGAGTGGAGCCGAATTCTGTGTCCTGGACATCGTTACTCTCAGCTCATGCCCGAGATGGAAAAAATAGCGGCGTTCTGAACCTCTTCTGCGAGATGACAGCTCGAGGAACCAGACCCACCCCAGAATCTCTCTCGGTGGTCCTATCTGTCTGCGCGGAGATGGGTTCGGCAGGGGAAGGGAAGGCCGTACACTCCGTCGTCGTCCGGGACGGGCTCGAAGGTTACGTCTTCGTGAGGAACTCCCTCATCTCCTTCTACGGGATGCTTGGGAACGCAGAAGAAGCTGAGCTACTGTTCTCCCAGACAGAACCCAAGAGCCTAGTCACCTGGAATTCTCTGATATCCTGCCATGCCGCGGCTGGTCTGCACGAGCAGGCCTACCAGCTGCTCTTGGAGATGGAAGAGACGACCGGAATCAGGCCGGATTCGGTAACCTGGAGCGCCGTCATCGGGGGGCTCGCCGCACAGGGGAAGGCGGTGGAGTCGCTAGAGATCTTCCGCCAAATGCAAGAGGACGGTGTGAGGGCCAACTCAGTGACCGCAGCTACCGTGTTGTCCGCTTGTGCGGAGTTCGCCGCGCTGCGGTTGGGCAGGGAGCTCCATGGCCACACCCTCAGAGCTTCCACGGGCGACGGCGACCCTCTGGTGGGCAACGCGCTGGTCAGCATGTATGCCAAATGCGGAAGCCTCAAAGATGCACGCAACATGTTCGATAAAATGGCGAATAATAGGGATTTGATCTCATGGAACTCGATGATCTCCGGGTATGGGATCAATGGGCTTGGAGAGGAAGCAATTGGGGTCTTCGAGGGGATGGTGGACGCCGGCGTTGACCCAGATGGGGTCTCCTTCGTGGCGGTGCTCTCCGCCTGCCGCCACGCCGGGTTTGTTTCCGAAGGCCGCCGGCTGTTCCACCGGATGGTCCATCGGCATGGCATTCGGCCATGGATGGAGCACTACGCCTGCATGGTGGACCTCCTCGGCCGTGCCGGGCTGCTGGAGGAGGCGATCAAGCTGGTGAAGAGGATGCCGATGGAACCCAACATCTGGGTGTGGGGATCTCTTCTGAATTCCTGCAGAATGCATAGAAACGATGGGGTGGCTGAGGAGGCCGCCTCGCGAATCTTCGCGCTGGAGCTGGAGACCGCCGGGAGCTGCATGCTGCTGTCGAACATCTACGCCTCGTGGGGGAGATGGGAGGATTCGGCACGAGTGAGGGTGCTGACGAGGAGGAAGGACCTCAGGAAGAGCCCCGGCCAGAGCTGGATTGAATTGAACAGGGTGGTGCATGTGTTCTTGTCGGGGGCTCTACTGCCGCAGGAGATGGCGGGTGTCTATGTTGTTCTTGAGGAGCTGAATCAGCTGATTGAGAGCTGGGAATGATGCTGTGCGCAGTAAGACCCATTAGTCCTCGGCACAGTTATAATATCTACAGGTTATAGGATCTACTGTCATCAGCTGTTATGCTGCATGAATGCTGGTAAGTAGCGCAGGCTTTTGGCAACATGCTAGGTTTCTTGGAGGGAGAGGGGAGCTAAATGGACTGGCAAAGCCTGTTGCAGGTAACTGAGAGGAGTTTCCATCCGTCAGATCAGTGAGACTAAGAAACCTTGGGCTGTGCAGTGGCCGGTGTACAGTATCAAACTCACGGGAGCGGAGATTTCACAGATAGTTTCGGAAAAGAACCACGTGGGAAGAAGAGCTGATAGACAAAAGGACGAGTGGAGGCCATCAGACTGCCGTTTGGATGGATATGATCTGGGCAACAAATTTTGTCTTTACAAAATTTCTCATATTGAAACATTAAAGACAAACGAATACACATTCAACAACAATTGAGTCACGACTACAAATTTTCAGCTGTTGAATCATAGGTTGCATATAACTAAACCATATAAATCACCAAAGCCACAGGTATCAGAGGGATCACAGTAAATCGAGAGAAGGGAAATCAGCTGATAAAAATCTTACTTCTGTGACCTCATCCGTAAATATCAACCAGAGTCTCTTCTGTCATGATCGCTTAGACTGACCCTGAAAAAATAAAATTATCGTCGTCAAAGCAACAGATTCAATAGCAGAAACGGGTGTTCTTGGGTCACAGCTAAAAATACCTTTTTTTTAAAAAAAAGAATCGCTGCAGAAAACCTTACTTTGATCACCGAAATATCTTCTTGAGCAAAAGTAACGAGTTTTTCTGCTAAATAAATGCCTGTTCTTCGGTACGATGCCTAATTTTCACGAACAAAATGTCTTGCATGGCATACAGATAATTCCCCACAAAATATTAGTTGATATCTCGCGGTTGAGGATCAATCAAGAGTTCTCTAGTCGCATTATAATCCTGATTTCGGTTCTATCTCGACCTATTCCCCTGCAATCAAATTGATAATACTAGTTTTATCACCCTAATTCTCTCCTTTCTTAGGTTATTTATGAATGCTGCTCTGAACACTCATCTAGCAGAAATTCACAGCACCCTGCCGATGGACGGGCAGCGTGCTTCATATTATAAACCTCTAATCAACGTCGGAGGGGGGGACAACCCTCCCACCATGAGAACATTTCCCTTCCGCGCCGACCGTCAAAGCTCCCCGTCAGGCCACCACTCCCAACCAGACAGATAGATTGACACACAGATACAGAGAGAGATGGAGGGAAAACCGCGCACCTTGACGGAAAGCGGGAAATCGCTGCCCAAGGAAATGAGAGAGCGTAAGCACTGTCGGAGAGGTGCCGGGGACACGGTCAACAAGCTAGGGGTTTAGATAGGAGGAACAGACGGGTCTTATTAAAAGAGATATTGCTATTTTATTACCTGCCAAGTGTCCACCGATTATTGGCTGATAACAATACAGGATTAATTATGATTTCCTTTTTTTCCTTATGGAGATTATTTAATTGGAAAAATAATAACTGGAATCGGACTCTAGGGTGAGTTCGGACCGATCGGCAGAATGCCGAGTCGGAACGGACTCGGCCGTTCGATATTTTCCCGCTCATTTAGGGGTCTTCGTCTCCAAGCGCTTTGGGTGTTCCCGCCATGGCCTTCTCGCGCTTGAAGCTGCAGCAGTCCTCCCTCGACTCCTTCTTCCGGAAGGACCCCAGCGGCGGCGGGGCTGCCACGAACACCAACCCACACCCCACCGCCCACGCCCCTCAGGTTTCTTGCTCCGCCATTGACGGCGGCTCTGCATCCTCTTCCTCTGTTTCCGATGCCAGCATCTCCGATGCCGCGGCGGAGTACGAGAGGGCTCGTCTGGAGAACATCCGCCGGAACCGAGATTTCCTCCTGAATCTGGGAATTTCCGCCGGCGTCGAGGCACCGAAGCCAGATTTGCGGCGCCAGGCCAGACGGAGTCTCAGAGCGCCGCCGTCGACTTCTCTTTCTCTCCGACGGAGCGCCAGAAAACGCCCCTTCGGAAGCTCCTCACTAGAGTTGAAGGAAGAAGAAAAGATTGAGCCTGTTGAACCCCCTGCCCTGACATATGTTGATTCTTCCGTCTTCCAATACACCTGCGAGAATGCCTGTAGAGACCTTCCATCTATTTTATCATCATCATTTTCTTGTTATTCACCGGCTTCGGGATTCAGGATCACTGGAAAATCGCTCCAGAGCCGTTCCCTGACGAAAATCTACACGATGGATGCCCGCTGTGTGAACGACAATAAAGTGCTGATCGCGGCGGGTGGCCACGGAGGAATGATTTCTGTTTTTGGAGTAGATATGATTGAAGATGATGACGATGCTCGTCGTGAGGGCGCATCTGAGAGAGAGATAGAGGGGCCACTCCTCAGCTGGAAGGCGAGCAAGAGCTGGGTGTCGGGTGTGCTCTTCTTAGAGGATAATCCAATGCTTCTAGTATCGAGCTCAAATGATGGTGGAGTTGTCGTCTGGGACGTAGGCAAGCAGCCTTCGCTGGAATCGCCATCCTGGTCCCCCCCTGTAGTCGGTGAATCGACGAAGCTGCACTCTGGAGGCATTTTCTCCATGCACCATCTGGGGGACTCAATCGTCACAGCTTCCAAGGACTCTTCCGTTGGAATCTCCAGGCTTGGAGCGGATGGAAAGCTGATTGTGGAACGAACAATCTCAGGCCATCATTCGGGAGTAATAAGAGGCGTCTGCTTTGGGTACTTAGACTCTCTGATTCTACGATGGACCACACGACAGATTTCAGCATCTAAATTTATTTAATTATCTGTCTTATTTTCAAGTATTGCGGACTCTTTCTCGTAATCAATTTTTTTTATATAGAATTCAATAGTTCCCTTCTCTCTCAAACAACTTCACAGTCCATGAACAGCATAGCAATGCTTTAAATTGTTTTTGTGCCCAACTCAATCTTTCTCACTTGCTGCCTCAACGTAAGTTAGCAATTCTAAGATCACAGTCATTATTTTTAATTTTCTTTCTGCTTCCTATAATCCTTTTTCATTTGTATTTTAGAATATCCTCTTTTCTGTTTCTTTAGTCCTTAAATTATGGTAATCTGTCTTTTCATGTTACTTTGATCATCCTGCACTACATGCTCGATGAATATTGGTCGGATTCATGCTGAGAAGTCTACATAGAAAGTATACAATCGATGAATATTGGATTCATACTTTTCTTTCAACTTTCATGTTCCGCAGAGAGACAAAGCATATTATCGCAGATTGTGGGGCGGATGGCCATATTTGTCTACTCGATGCAAGGTTATCAGATCCTTGTAGTCTCACCATTGAATCAAATCATCAGAGTCACATGAACAGTGTGGAATGGTGTCCGTCGAACAGCTATGTTATTCTGTCAGCCAGTAAAGATCCAACACTCCGTCTTTATGATATTAGAAGGTCAAGAGAACCGGTCCACGAGCTTCAGGGTCATGTTCAATCAAGTACAAGAATTTGCAGTCAAATTTACAAGCCGACATTTGTGAACAATGGAACCATGGTGGCTACACCAGGCCAGGGATCAAAAAAGATATCGATATACTGCGTGGATAATGGAAACCTTATAAGCCAGGGGATGATCGGATACGATGCTAATTTGGTATTCTTTACTGGAGAACAAATTGAACAGCCACGTATGTGGACTGCTGGAAAGCAAATAAATCAGCTTAGTGGAGTAAAATTAGGAGAATTGGACGGAATCTCTGTTCAATAGTTCTTTAACCTATTTAAGGTTCCTCACAGGAGAAGAACCTTCATAGCATGCTGCTGGAAAAGAAACTCCCCATTTCTCTCTAACCGGGGGGAATCATCAACATACATTTTGACGGGAGTTCGTGTGCCATTCTTTTGTTGAAGCTTTTGTATTGAACACAGGCTGGTCTGTAGCCCAAGTCATGACATTCAATAAAGAGAGAAATTCCATCATGAAGCAATATGTTTCGTAGAATTTTTGTGAGTTTGGTGGCAGGAGTTAAGTTCTCTGGGTATCTATGAACTAGAAGCTTTTAAATATAGGTTGGCAGTGTTTGAAATGGCGAGTACATCTTTCTGATTAAAAGGACTGATCATGTCAACATCATTTGGCCAAAAGTGATCGTGATGCACATCAATGACTCTGTCCGACCAAGCCATCAAACCATGAACCCGAATGTGGCTTGTTTTGAGAAAGTTTCTCAGTAATGTCAAATACTGCTTAATACTTTTATTTTTCTGGATAAACCTTTTTTTTTTTAATGTTGGTGAAAATTGTTATGCTTGCTTTGCTAGGTTCTATCGGTCGCACATTGATTATTCTGTTATCAGTATTCGTTGCAATCGCATTCACAGTAATGGAGCAACAACTGTTATTGTTCTTTGAGGGCAATGGATATTAGTTACATTCCCTACGTTTCTTTACCTCAATTAGCGGCTAGTTACTAATTTTTCGGCTTATCAATCTTATCTGTACACAATGAGCAATCTTTGGAAACAATTTGGATACTTTTCCCTTTAGAGTTTATATTCTGACAATGAAAATGTGTGGTTAATAGGTATGGTACTGTTTGATCGACAAGTGAACGTCTGTGTGAATCAATTGGTTTTTGTCAAAGTTCTACCCTCACTGGAATTCGTGACATTTTAGGGTTTACGGTTTAAAATTTAGGAATATAATGGCTGGCTTCTGAAGGATGCTGATGTGATATTAATATGCTATCCAACAAAAGTTAGGGTAATAGATAAAAGTAGGTGGGGATTGGATTTACCTAATATATAAAGAAAAGAAGGAAAATTTCCGTGATAGCCTTGCAAAAGAAGGAATAGTTGATAGCAGAGAGAGAAACAGAGAAAGGGGTTCTGTGGAGAGAGAAACTTGATGAAGTCAACTTTTCCAAGAACATTTACTCATGAAGACTCCTTTTTCCTCCTGATACAGAGACAAAGCTTACATTCGTCTCGTCCCAATACATATACTATCCAGAAACAATAATAGTCATAAAATAATAAAAACATTACTATATGTATGCTACTATTTATGATGTTTCATTTATGATTTACACAATTATTGAATCTTCGGAGGGGAGTTATTGATAATTTTCCATGGTAAATATTAATTTATGGCTCTAATTCATATATTCCATGAAAAATCGATTTAAATGATCTCAAAATTCTTGCTAAAACTGTCTATAATAACATAATATTTTCAAGTAAACATAAAATAAACGTGTGCATTCTTATCATTATTTCATGAATATAATCTACAATGGCATCTTTTTTATATTGATATTAATCTATTTTAAAATTTCATATTTACAGTTCTTTTTCGAATAATTTTTGGGGTTTAATTATTCATTTTTCTATATTTAGGATAAAAAGGAGATTTTGGTTATAAGATAGGGGCAACTTGATCTTTATGCGCTCATGGGCTTAATCTAAGTTATCATGTCCCAAGGTGAATATACATTTCATACACCTCTTCTTCCCAAGGTGAATCTTCTCCTCCCCCCCTTCTTCCTCCTATTCTCTTCTCCCTTCTCTTCCCCTACCCCCCCTCTCTCTCTCTTGGTGTTCTTATCTTCTTTCTCATTATTTTTCTATGTGACATGTAGGAAATCATTCCCCACCTCTTACTCAACATTTTTTAGATCTTTAGTTTCAAAGTATTTGGTTAGTTTTTGTGACTTTTTCCCTCTCCCTTATTCTCTCACTTGTTGGGTGACAGATCGGAGAAGATTTTCACTTCTCTTAAGTTTCCGATGTATTCTTCCTTTCCTCCTACTTCTCTTTGTCCTTTCTTAGTTTTTCCACGTTCTTATCCTTTCATGCAGCTACTATGATGTTCTCCAATCCCCCATCTGGTTCTCAACTTTTCATTTTCTTTCTCGCGTTGAGGTTATCTACGACTGGTGAGTTTTCTCCTTTCTGACAATTTTTTCTCCCTTTCTCTCTCTTTCTTCCCTCGTTTTGATTTTTTTTCATTAGACATTGTTATTTTGTTTGTTTTTAATCATCATTCATAGTTTTTATTCACCAGAAATCATGATTATTTTCACATCGGTGAGGAACTTGTCTGATTTTTCTTCCATTTTCTTGCAGTTTTTCTCTTTTTCCGAATCATTTTCCTTCTCTATATTCTTTCCAATCTCTTGTTCATTCCTTTCCTTTTGTTTTTAATCGGTTTTTATTCTATTTTCCCTTTCTTTCACCACATATATTAATTTTTTTAGTAACTTATCTCTCACTAGCAGATGAGTTTCTGCCAGCAAGTTTCTCCTCCGACCTTTTCCTTTCTTTTTCAACATTTTTTCTCTCGTCCCGCATTTCTTTTCTCCCTTAGTTTCCCTTCTAATCGGTTTTTGCGTCTTTTGTTGATTTCTCCTCCCCTTTCACCGGCAATCTCTCCCATCGGTGAAACCTCCTGCGAATGAGCTCTCTCTCTCTCTCTCTCTCTCTCTCTCTCTCTCTCTCTCTCTCTCTCTCGATTTTTCATTTATTTATTTATTTCTTCCTCACTATCTCTCTCTCGTGTCACCTTTGACCAGTCAACTCATTTTGACTGGTCGTTTCTCCCTTCTTCCATCTCACCGCTCTCCGTCTCTCCTCTCTCTCCTATGGGCCCTCTCTTCTCTCCCTCTCTCTTCTATTGCCCATCTCATCTCTTCCCTATTGCCCTCTCTCCTCTCTCTTCTCATTTTTGCTCCAGCATAAAGGAGTATCTTCACGACCTGGAGGATCCAGCATGGCATCATTGACTTGCGGGAGATAGTGAAGATTGATACTCATAGACAGTTTTTATTTTTATTTCTATTTTAATATATTTTTTATTTATTTAGAAAATAAATACTTGGTCTTATGTGATTTTATTTGATTATTCCATGAATTATTTATCTTTGTAGAACACGAGATTTAAAAATGGATCAAATCATGGATCCATATGGATTTGACTTAGAGTCACTTCATATTTCATAATTATATTTTAAGAATTCAAAATTGAGTGCACCATTTAACCTAAATTGATCACTGTGCATTAACGATTAGTGGAATCTCTTTGGAAGTGTAATAGTCAAGAGGGACCGAAGTGAGGCAAGTGGGTAATGTGTCTAAAATCTTTTTAAAAGTAACGATTGGCCTAATAGGAAAGGGAAAGTCTTGTTTGATTTTCTTCAAAAATGTAGTTCTCGCAACATGTCTACTTTCAGGGATTTTGTGAACTTCTAAGCACCATGGTTGAATGTATACCATTTAAATTTATAAATGAATATGACTAAGATAATATGCATAACTATGTAGGTGATAAATGCAAGATGCGGGAAAATGGTAAACATAAAGAACACCTCTAATGATGAAAGTTTTACATCTTTATTGATGTTTTAGATTTCTATATGATAATGAGTGACCCAAGTCATCTCATATCTAATTTTTTTTGGAAATATATTATTTATCATTGCTATAAATGGTTTCTTTCGTAAATATTAGTATTATAGTCCATCAGAATGATAATGGATTGAGAGAAAAAATAAAAACGGATTGGAATGGCTTTGGAAACGACCATAGGTTAGGACCACCCAACCTACCTTCCTAGAAATGAATTTGTGAGGGTTTCCTACACGTGGGAGATGTTGTGGAGGATGTATCAGAGAGATAGAGAGGGGAGGTTATAGTTGATTGAGTCTTGGTCACTATGAGAAGATAATAGTGATGAACCCTCACTAGGTCAAAAAATACTCACTTCCCTTGCTCTTCTTTACCTTCAGCTGCCACAAGTTGGTCACCATAAAAGAGGCTTTTGAATTTAAGCAGCCAAGATGACCAGTAGTCTTTGCTCTTGCAACTACTTTCTTTCTTCCCTTCTTGCCCTTGTTGTGGTGAAAAACCCTTTTGTTGTACTCAGTGACAAGCTCCTTGAGCTTGCTTGAGATCATAAACCACCTTCTTTACTTTTAATGAAAAATCACAAAATTTTGGATCAGTAAAATGAGAGATTAACGTACAAAAATCATTATTTTGTAATCTCTTTTGAAATTAAAACACACCCCTTCAGATATATTTGGAAAAGCTTGAAATGCTCTCACATGTGAATGTAAGAGGTGCTAGTCTTGTCACAATCAAGTCTCTTTCTTACATGTGACCTAATCCAAAAGTTTGGTTTTTCTTGTTATGAATTTGCATTTTTCGTTGAATTTATTATTGAAAATTTACTTTGTTGTAGTGTGTGATTGATAAGATCACTTTGCTATTAAAATCTAGTACAATTTTAATAAAATTTATCAATCTCCTTAGATGTTACAAATATCAATTTTTCATCAAGTAAATGTTTTTTCTATAGCCTTTAGTTGAATTCTAGAAATTTGTGCTATTATATGACTATTACATTTCATTAATCATCGAAATAAACAATTTCCTTTCAAATGGTTTGAAATCACAAGAATTGGGTTTTGTATATTTGTAAGATTCCTACAGAGTCTTCATGACATTTTTTAAATTTCTTTGAAACAATTTTGCATATAATCAGCTATTCCATTCATTTACTTTTAGATGATGAGTACTAATGAGCCAGTAATTTTCATGCTACCAAATTTATTTATTTATTAGTGGGTAGAATCATATTGATCCTTCTTACGTTACTCTCTTTAAACATTTTGGCCCTTTTATTACTTAGCGTTATGTAGTATGCTATTAGAAAACCTATTATTGTATTTGTTATTTTTACCAAATAACATGGTTAAACTGTTGATATGTTAGCTTTACATATTCTGTCCAAAGATGAAGGATTTAGTATCTTGTTCTCTAGTCTAATTTTTTTTAAAATTGAAGTTACAATTTTAGAAATTGATGGAAAAATACATTTGTTCCGTGATATAATAAGTTCTAAAGCCATGCGGATTCTCTTCATGCCCAGTTCAAGCTTTACAACGGCTTGTTCTTGGTCTACTTTTGGAGTTATTCGCAAACTCGAGTCAACTCGAGGCCATGGGGCGCTGAATTTAGTAAGACCTTGGAGTAGCTTCATGAGACTCCGAAGAACAGATTATTCCTATAAAATTAGTGCTGGAATGTGATCAATTCTATCTACTTGGTCCGTAACTATTTTAATTATCTAGCAATAAGGTGGGCGACTGTCCGACGGATGATGCCTCTGAATTCTCTACGTCCCAAGTTGATCCGGACCTCCATCAATGGCGGAGGAAAAATCTCACGGCGCTTCGGAGGAGCAGGAGGAGGCAACAGAAGTAATGGTGAACTGGGGGGCTTTTCGGCGGCCTCTAACCTTTCCCGGTGGGGTAGGTCTCCGTTGAAGCCTCCCCATCTTTTCTCGGCGTCCTACTCTTCAACTTTCTGTGATTTCCGTGTGGAAAAGCAGTGAAAGGTTCCTCGTGCACCGTCTCGGAACAGGAAAAAACTCCACACACAGCTCAAGTTCCTGTTCTCCGGCGATCTTCTCGCGGCGGTTTGGTGGGGAAAAGAGACAAGGATAAACTGTGGACTTGATTTCCTGTTCACGGAAGGTTGTCGTCTCATTTCTCCAAAATTAGACCCACTGCGGCGCGGCGGAACCGGAGGCTGGCGGAGCAAGCGAAGGGAGGAGAGGAGCGCTTGGGGTTGGAGGAACAAGGAACATCCAATCCACCGCGTCGTCTGAACCAACGGAACAGACTGGACAGGAAGGAAGGAGGGAGATTCATCTCATCTGGTTGGTTAGTTTCCCTCTCTGGGTCTCTCTCTCTCTCTCTCTATCTTTGCGAGGAAAAAATCCTCCTGTGTTTGCAGCTGGGACAGGATGGTCAACTTTCCGGCTGGTGCATTTCTTTCTCCGGCGCCATCCGTGACCTGGTCTACACGCCGGCACGGTCCTTCTGCTTTGCCGGGCTCACCGGCAGCCACCGCCTCCTCATAACTGCTTATGACTACAGCTGTCGTTCGGGTGAATCTCTGCGTCGCCCTTCACGCCAAGGACCTTGTCGTCTAATTCTACTGGACTCCTGCTCTTATGCCTGCGGGTGGAGGTGGAAGGAGATAGAGAGAGAGAGAGAGAGAGAGAGAGAGAGAGAGAGAGAGAGAGAGAGAGAGAGAGAGAGAGAGAGAGAGGGAGAAATGGAGGCTACTAGTGTGGGCGTGGACGAGCCAATTCAGGGGGAGAAGGCCCAGGAAGACGATGGACGAGGTCGCGGCACCGGAGGCATAGCCAAAGAGGAGAGGATACGGGTCTCGGTGAGGCTGAGGCCCCTGAATTCTAAGGAACTGGCGAGGAACGACCAGTCCGACTGGGAGTGCATCAACGACACCACCATCATCTTCAGGAACATCCTGCCGGAGCGCTCCATGTTCCCCGCCGCCTACACTTTCGGTAAAGACATTCTTGCAGACACCTCGTGAATAAAAAATGGGGCATTGCCCGTTTCGTTCATCTCGATATTCCCTTCGTGGGAAATCTCTTTTCTCGGATCCCGCCTCAAATTTAGGATCTGCATGCCGGAACTGATCCTTCTCCTTCGTCTGTATTTGTTCATCTTCCTCCTCTAGACAGGGTGTTCAGACACGACAGTGATACGAAGCGAGTATACGAGGAGGGGGCGAAAGAAGTTGCTCTATCTGTGACCAGCGGAATCAATGGTGGGCGCTTCCATCCCTGTCCGCCTCCGTTTCCCCTGCTCCATCGGAGATCTTTTCTTGAGAAAAATGAAGCTAATGGAGCCCCGCTGTGTCAGCAAGCATCTTCGCTTACGGACAGACGAGCAGTGGGAAGACCTACACCATGACCGGGATCACAGAGTATGCCATGTCTGATATCTATGACTACATAGAAAGGGTAATCTACGACTACAGTGATTACCTTTCAACAATAAAAAAAATCATCGATTTTTTTTTTCTTTCGAAAATTTTCGTTCGACCCAATTCCTGAATTTCCGATGGGCATGGTATTGCACTAATCTAATCTCAGCACAAGGAGAGAGAATTTGTGCTGAAGTTCTCAGCAATGGAGATATACAACGAAGCTGTGAGGGATCTACTAAGCGCTGACAGTACTCCCCTCAGGCTTCTGGACGACCCAGATGCAAGTACCAAGCCTCCATTTCTCATCTTCTTCCCCTGACTGACTGAGTGAGAGAATCGTTGTCGTCAGTCCGAGTTTGATTCTCCTAATCTTCTCTGCAGAGAGGGACCACCGTGGAGAAACTTACAGAGGAAATACTCGAGGACTGGAGCCATATGCAGGAGCTTCTGTCCATGTGTGAAGGTCTCCGAAATCTCTGCAAGATGTCTTCGTACAGCGTTCCAAGTCTTTAGATTCTTACCGACGTCCGCCGTGTTGCAGCTCAAAGGCAGATTGGAGAGACCACCTTGAACGAGACGAGCTCCAGATCTCATCAAATCCTTAGATTGGTCAGTTTCCTTGGCCGGATCAGCCAGAGAGGTTAGGCTTTATTTCTTGTGAAAAGCTTTCTGGTTAACCCATTTTCTGTGACTGTGGATTCCTCCAGTCCGTTGAGAGCTCTGCTCGGGAGTTTGCGGGGAAAGACAACTCGCGCAGCCTCGCCGCCAGCGTGGTACGAGAAGGCTCAAGTGGGTCAAGCTAATTTTCAGTCTCCTCACTGACGGGCTAATTATTGTTTTCTTTGAGGGTGGCAGAATTTTGTTGACTTGGCGGGCAGCGAGCGGGCATCTCAGACGTTGTCCGCAGGCGCCCGGCTGAAAGAGGGCTGCCATATTAATCGCAGCTTGCTAACTCTGGGGACCGTCATTCGCAAGCTAAGGTTGGCCTCCCTGGTGCTTTCCATTTTGGGCATCCTTTCCAGTATCGCTTAGCTCCCAATATAAAGTTCATAATGGTTGGCATTCTATGATTTGATTTCCACCAGCTGCTCGGAGTAGACAAGATCTGGGGTTTTTTTTTTTCTTTTTTGGGATGCAAATCTGCTTCATGATTCAAGCTGATACGTTTTCTGAAAGCAGCAAGGGACGGAGTGGCCACATCCCATTTCGGGACTCCAAGTTAACACGCATACTCCAGTCGTCCTTGGGAGGCAATGCCAGGACCGCAATTATCTGCACGATGAGTCCCGCCAGAAGCCATGTGGAGCAGTCCAGGAATACCCTTCTGTTTGCGAGCTGCGCCAAGGAGGTGGTCACCAGTGCGCAGGTCAACGTGGTCATGTCGGACAAGGCCTTGGTCAAGCACCTGCAGAAGGAGCTGGCGAGGTTGGAGGGTGAACTCAGATGCTCTGGCCTTCCTTCCGGCAGCTCTTACTCCGAGACCTTGTTGAAAGAGAAAGATGCCCAGATTCAGAAGGTGACAATGCATCATCTTGTCTCTATGAAATGCTATACTAGACATCAAAATTTACAGGCTCTTTCCATAAATGGTTCTTTCATCATCACCAGGGGATATTAGCCGACCATCTGCCTTTCTTAGGAGCCGCATTAAGCACAGAAATCTGGGTTTAGAGGGGAACTTACTGCTCAACTTACGACTGAACCCAGACTTCATTCTGCAGATGGAAACAGAGATGAGAGAACTCACCAGGCAGCGTGATCTTGCTCAATCTCGGCTTGACGATTGGCTCAGGGCTGTAGGAGATCGAGAGCCACAACAATCGGTAATTACCCTTCTTCCAGATGAGATGCTCATGTGTAACGATTCTGCTGTTTCATCTTCCAATCTCGGGTTCTACTTCTCCTTTCAGGGTGATTTTTTCCTAAATTCAATGCGGCATGGCCTCAATACCTTGGAAGGTGGATTATTTTCTCTCTCTGAGCCCTCGACTGTTCATGATTATGGCTTCATCTACTCCAACACTCTTGGGGATTCCTCCTGTTGTGGTGTTAATCACAACGACAGCTTCCAAGCACTTGACTCAAGCTCAATCAGTGGTGAGAGTTCTGTCAGCTCAGCTCACAAAGTCTTGGAGGGTGCAACCCAGGCTGGCTCTCTAGAAATGGAGCTTTGCAGGGATGTTCGATGCATAGAGACTGAGGAGAACAGCACAGGCACAAATGGGGAATCTAATGAGGTTTTAACTGAAGGAAATCATAAACCGCCGCTCCCAACAGCATTAAGCAACCTTGAAGACCAAGAGCTGACAAAGATTGAAGGCTTGGAAGATGTGAATGGAAGGAAAGCCATTAATTCCTCACCATGGCTGCTGCAGGGTCCTCTGCCCTGCCCCAGAAGCCTTGGCCTGACCAGGAGCCGAAGTTGCAGAGCCTCTTTCATGAATGAATCTACTCCTCTCTGGCTCCCAGAGGAAGAACAACCAAGTGGCAATGCACCACCAAGCAGCTTTCTGAGAGGTTTCTCTGCAAAGAGCGGAGAGTTCCCAAGAACACCTCCACCACTGAGCTGTAACGCTGGAAATAAGACCAATTTAGAAGACGGAAATCGGAGGCCACACAATTCTCTGGAACCGGAAAGCATGAATTCTGAACCGGAAGAGAGCATCACCAGCATCAGTAGCTTTATCGCAGAAATGAAGGGTATGGCCCAGAATAGGTTTCAGAGCCAGCTGAACGATGGGCAGGTGAGAACACCCATAACGAGAAAATAATGAAACCTTTGCAGCACTGGTTCTTACTCTTGAGTTCAATAATGATCATAATCTGTCGATTTTTCCACTGGTTCTTACTCATGAGCTCAATAATGTTCCTAATCAACAGATTTCTATGACTTTCTTAGGTTCCCTACTTTTTTCTTTTTCATTGCAAAGATTCCACTGACCCCGAACCCATCAACTAATTCCATGGATATTATGTCAACAGGTTAAGGATCAGAAAGGCGTTGACCATACCGGCTTGGACACAGCCATAAATCCCACAGAATGCCCCAGTTGGCCAGCAGAATTCGAGAGACAGCGGCAGGAGATCATCAGACTCTGGCACGCCTGCAGTGTGTCCTTGCTCCACAGAACCTACTTCTTCCTCCTCTTCAAAGGGGACCCTGCTGACTCCATATACATGGAGGTGGAGCTGCGGCGCCTTGCCTTCCTGCGGCGGGTTTTCACTGAAGGGAGTATTGACAAATCAGTGGCCGAAAATGACTTGAAGATCACTCCAGCATCAAGGTAGCCTCTCCAGATTTCCAGTTCTATTTGGACCAGCTAGCCTTTCCAGCTTCAGAAATCCTTGACACCTTTTTGCTTCTCTGGCTTGGTGGCAGCATGAGGGCTCTCCGACGTGAAAGGGAGATGTTGTGTTACAAGCTGCAGAAGAGGTTATCAGGGGAGGAGAGGGAGAGCCTCTACCGGAAATGGGGTATCCCCCTGCATTCCAAGAAAAGAAGGGCACAGCTATCCCGGCTGCTGTGGAGTGACACCAGCAACATGGACCACATCAAAGACAGTGCATCAGTGGTGGCGACACTCATCGGGCTGCTCGAGCCGAACCAAGCCCTCAAGGAGATGTTCCAGCTTAGCTTCATGCCCCAGCGGATCCCCACCAGATCCCAGAGCTGGAAACACAGCAGGTCTTCTCTTATTTGATCTCCTCTCTCTCTCTCTCTCTCTCTATATATATATATATATATATATATATATATATATATATATTTCTATCTATCTACCTGATGATCTCTTAACTGTAAAGCAAAAGTCACAGAGTAGGTGATGGGGATGACTGGGAATTGAAGATCTTCGATGTGCATTGGGGATATCTGGTTGCTTTAATCCTACAGTTGTTTGAGCCCAACTGATTTGTACAAGGATCTATAAATTTTCTGATGGCGAATAAGGCAGGGCCTCATCTGAAAACTATCTGCATCCATTCTCCAGGACAGACTGGTTCTCGTATTTATTTTGATGAACTGGTCGCGTAGTAAGCGTTCTCATGTTCTAAGTACCAGCAGTTTAACACAAAAGCAGGAAAACTGTGAAGAAGAATGCCCAGACCTGTGGATGATCATGGCAGAGATAAGGGGAGAGGGGGATCCAAGAAAGAGCATACCCGCATGAGTAATGGCCGGTTCCCTCTTCACCTAGTCTGGAAGATGTTCTGGATCATCTGTCTTGGAGAGTCATCTGCTGCTGACTCCAGCTCGAGTATCTCGTCGGGAGTCAGGCGCCAACCCAGAGCTCCCAAGTTCTCCTCTGCCTGACGAACTGTCTTCACCCCGGGAATGGGGACCGTGCCTTTGCAGATACACCAGTTTATTGCTACCTGCAGAGGAAGGAGAACAGAATAAGCAGGGAAGAGGATGGAAAACATGAATTTATCCTCTTGAATAGGTAAGCTCGAAAGATTTTTAAATCAAATCGATAGCCAATCCGATTAAGGATTAACACATCATGAACTAATTGTGGGTTTAAAGCACATACCTGAGACACCGTTTTTCTTCTTCTGTCTGCAACTCTTCTCAATGAACTCAGCAATGGATCCAAACCGGGGAGAATCTGTCGGAAAAGCAAGGCCCTGTCGAGTGGTAATAGCCAATCAATAACAGATGATTTGAGCGAGCTAAGTAGCCGTTAATAATCTTTCCATTACCGTGGGCCAGGGGGAAGCTTCGAAGCTGTATACTTTCCACTAAGCATCCCAAGTCCAAGAGGACTGTATGAGATCAAACGGATACCCAGGGAGTCACATACAGCCTTCAACTCCAGTTGATCCTTGCCCATGCTTAGCAAAGAAAACTGAACCTGCAGAAGAAAACTCTATGATTAGATAAAAGGGTATCGGCAGAAAGTATACACTGTGTTGTTAAGGGAATCCAGATTATCATCCTTGAGTGGCTAGTTCAATCGATTACCTGGGCTGAGCACAGCGGAACCCCACGAGATTTCAGGTAACCGTAGATCTTAACAAGCTGGTTTGCACCATAGTTGCTGACACCAACGGCACGGACTAAACCCTAAAATCACATCACAGTTATTGCAGTCATCAAAAAAAGAAAGGAACATAAATATCCATACTCACTGACTGCCTTTGATTCTACCTTGTGATGTTTCATCACAGTTATTGCAGTCATAAAGGAAAGGAAGGAACATAAATATCCATATTCACTAACTGCCTTTGATTCTACCTTGTGATGTTTCATTAGTTCAATCAATCTGCCAGTCTCTTAGGAAGAAGAGAGTATTCAAGTAAATTTAAGTCATGAACGCTTACATCAGCAATCATTTAGGTGAGATGTTAAAGCCAGGTTTAAAGATCCAGGGCCAGCAAAACGAGGAAAAAGTGTGGTTGCCAGACAATGGTAAAAAGCTTCAGTAAAGGCAAACATTGTCAGAACCGGGATCTTACTGGCTAGCTCACTATTGGCGCTGCCATAGCAAGGGAGGGAAGTTCATGAGTCATGTGAGCTTGTCCAGGATAAGATGTGCCAGGAGGCAATAGTTTGTCCAATGAAGTAGTTTGATTTCCTTATATTTTAGGGAATTCATAATTAGAGTTCTGCACAATTATGATGCCGGTGAGATATTTTAGTCACTAGCATGCTGCTATCGAGGAGACAGCGAAAGGAAACCCTATTTTTTCATAATAAAAATTCTCTTTTAAAAGGATGACCAATGGTATACTTGGTTCGGAAAAGATGACGCAAATCTCACAATTTTTCCACCAGACGGAGCTATTCATTGTTCACAACTTACAATTTAAACATAGTTCTATAAATTAGCTAAATAAGCTTCCAAATAACAACTTTAAGCAGAGATCGCCTAGGCACAGACACATCAATTTGTGCCCCATTTAAATTTGTAAATTCATCAGCAATGAAACTAATATTCAGTGACTAAATTTAATAGTTATGATCACGCTAAAAATCGAGACCCTTTCTCCAGAAACAGGCATATACTAAAAAATCAAGATCCTTCTTCTATGCACATTGGGTTCGAAATATCAACAACATAAACGTGTTAACAAAAAGAAAATTACTCTTCTAATTATATGGGTAATGCAGATATGTAGTAACCTTCTCATACATTGCAACAAGTCCATCCCAAAGAGCCAACTCCTGCAGAGGGGCATAATTTGCAGTCGACCAATGCAGCTGTCCAATCCCAATTTGCTCAATTTCCAATCTCTCTAGTGAAGACCTACACATGACAGAAAGAATTCAAAACTAATTAAAATACCATAGCTACTGAGGCATCTCAAGTTAAGTTCATGATCATCCGACAATATGACTGAATAGAATAAGCAAAAGAGTAGAGAAATACCAAAAGATAGAGAAGATTAGGAGATGCGGTCCAACCTAGAGAAACTCATTCACAGGAGTTTTTATATGCCTATTAGGGAAGGTGAAAGAGGAAGCTCCACGTGTAATATCCCCCAAATGGGAAAGGGAAAATAAAATAAAATCCGTTAAGATATTTTGTGCCCATAGTTGTGAGGGAAGAAAAAACAGAAAAGGGAAGAATAAGCAGGATTTTCCTTCTCCTCTCCTTATTTCCTCCCTAATCTTTCCGTTTATGATGCTCTCTCCTTACTTTTCTTCTTCCTTTATCTGCTACCAGTCATTTTTCTTCTTTACCTTTTTCCCTGATTTATTTTCATCTCTTCCTCTGCTTGCAACAGCCCAAGAAACCTTTTAAAGGATATGGCTGACCATTTAGTCCAAAAGACAAGGCCTGATCGGTTTAGAATGTTAAAATCTAGAACAGACTGTTCTGAGTGATAACATGAGGACAACATGATGTTTTTTCTCCTCTTTTCATACTGGGCTTAATGTTTCGCCTTGTAAGAAGACTTTAAATGATATAATTTGTGCAGAAAATTTTTAGTTATGAAATATTTAAAAATTAATGGAGAGTTATAAATAAGTATTTTTGCATGAATCTGAAGCCTTGTCCATTTATCAGGAGTTTAAGAGAAAATAAATTACAATACATTTTATGCATGCAACCTCAGAAGCAGCGATTTATTTCAAACTTCCAATCTAAATGATTCTCTCTAAATCTTCCTCATGAGTTCATACCTAACAGCGAAATGATTTGAAAAACTTCACAACCTGTTTCCACTATAATACAGATAGTCAACATAATCGCCATAACAAGAAATTGAAAGCTTTGGGAGAGCATGCCTGCAAACTCTCATTTCCCTTCCGATTATTTTCTCACAGGTATTTTGGAGGATAATAAATAGAATTTCAGAAAAAAAACATTGAAAAAAACATTGAAAAAAAACATTGAAACATTGAAGTAAGTACGCAAATCTCCAACCATAGCTAAGATGATTAAATATGTTTATTATTTTTCAGTGTGAACGGGAATTTACTGAAATAACAGGATAACGAAATCATACTTGCATGCTTTCACAAATTGTCCAGATGTCAAGCGCCACGGATATGCAGCAAATTTTGTTGCAATGACAATGCTATCTCTCTCTGCCTTTGATCCTAGGAATAAAGAAAGACTATAATATAATCAACTTATGTGGCGAATAAAGAATAATTCAACAATTCAAGTGTGGAAGAAAATCTAATACTTAAACTTTAGGGATAGGCAAGGGCAAATCCCAATCTATGCAGGTCAAAATATAGCATGCAGGCGTATCTATGAATCAAACTCCGTCAAACACAAACCATAACGATGTAAGATTCGGCAAAAGTTAAATTGTCTTGCTACATAGGTAGCCAGTTTCAGAAAAAAATTTCGGATCTAATTCCTTCGGAAGCCAAAATTAATTTTACCTACCTGGGAATTCGCGTATGAACTTTCCAAGTAGCCTTTCGCTTTGCCCATTTAATCGTCCAGTACCGTAGGAATCTGCAGTGTCAAAAAGATTGACTCCGTTCCTTACTGCCAAGTTGAATATCTCTTGCAGTTCTCTGTCCATCTCTTCCTGATACCCCCAAAGTAGCTGGTTGCCCCAAGCCCAGGTGCCAAATCCCATGGGAGAAACGGTGAGCGATCCAATTTTAACCTAGAACAGGGAAATTGGAAGATAAGCCACAGAACACTACGCCGTACAGCACAGTTAAGGACGATGCAACCGAAGAATATAATAGGCAAGAATTCCATTCTAAACTCAAGAGAAATCTGTCACGAACTTCGCCGTGAGGATGCTCCACCCGAAACAAAGCGAGCAATGAGGGATGCTTCAGCAAAGAAAATGGAACTAAGCAGAGACAGAGATATCAACACGAAGAAACAACGAATAGGGTGGACGAGATGTTCTCACTCACCTTCTCCCATGGCCAGAAGAGGGGTCCAATCCGCGGAGGGAACTGGAGGGAGATGGGCGAGCTGCGCTTTGGGGGCTCCAAGCTTGAAGCCCTGCACCAGCCGGCACGCCCTTTGCTGCCCCCCCTCCCCGAACCACCCCCATTGCGTCTTCCGAAAGAAGCTGCGGCCGCTGGAGACGCCGCGGCTGACGACGCCGCATGCGCCATTTCCCTCTTTTCGCTCTCCCGCTCCCGCCACTGCTCCGAGGAACTGCTAATCCAGAGAGAGAGAGAGAGAGAGAGAGAGAGAGATGATGGTAATGTTGATGTGGCAAGTGCCGACGACGCCGCGTGGACCATTTCCTACCACTCACTCTTCTGCTCCCGCCACTGTCCGAGGAACGGCTAACGCATAGAGATAGAGATAGAGAGAGGCAGAGAGATAGAGAGAGGGAGAGAGAGATGCTAGTGCTGACGTGTCAGATGACGTGTTAGGGAGACCTGTCTGACGTGGGAACGGACCCGTAGCCGACGGCACCCAGGAGTCTCCTTCCGACTCTGTTGTGGACTGCGGCGGAATACCAAACGGGGATTTAAACGTTCGTCTACGTGGTTCAGCAGAGCGTCGTATTTGCTGTAAAGAAAGAAACTAAAGCTTCTCCGACCTGCGGGAAGAGGGCGAGCATCAACCACAAAACCTACGATCCAGAGAACAAAAATAAAGACAACTCCCTACGGATAGATAGACAGCTTTCCCAATCCGATTCTTTCTGCCTGAAACGCCATCGGCGGCGGCGCCGCCGTCTTCTTCTTTCTTTCTCCGGGAGGAGGAGAGCTGAGTTATTCGACCTTGGTGTAGTGGCGGACGACGAAGGCCAGGGCCAGGATGAGGAGGGGGACAAGGAACTGCAGGATCTTGATCACAAAGTCCGCCGTCTTGTCGTGGTTGTACGGAGCCTGCTGCGGGGGAATGTACGCCCGCTTGGCCGGAACCGAAGACGCGTCGATCTCCCCGATGTAGAACTTCTCCATCTGTTCCCTCGCCGCGTCGCTGTGGCCCACGTCCTCAAAGTCGTTCGTCGCATCCTTCCCTGTAACCACGTCACAGAAAGAGAGAGAGAGAGAGAGAGAGAGAGCGTCGATGATGGAATATGAGCTCTTCTGGTATCTAGCTCTTCTCAAGGGGTAAAAGATGGGTTGGTAAAAGGCCCACCTGTTACCGCCAGCAGGACCTCGTCCCCTCCAGGATGGTCGTCCATGAACGGGGTCACATCATACACCTGTTTGAGGAACGCTTAGCCTCCTTTGCAACAAACAAGGAGGATATTTTTAACCTACTTACCAATCAGGGCCCTACAAGGCCTTTTTACTTACGATTAAAGACCATAGACTAGTTAGTTATGTCTCAAAATGGGAAGGACTGCTAAGTCTCATTCCCGCTTGGTTAATTATGAGGGGCTAGCAGTAGAACTCTCTCTCTCTTTCCCTCGTTCAGCTCCCTGTGAGAGAGCCAACAGCCTTTGGTTGGGAACTCTCCCCAGATATATCCCCATTTTCACATTTGATCCTGTCAGAAAGCCTTGAGAGCCCTGGAATGCAGCATTTCCCCTCCTTCCGTGCCACTCTAAACTCGGCGACTGAGAAATTCGACAAGGATTGTCGGGCATCCTTATGCATTTGTGCCGCTTTCAGTGAGAAATGCACAAGGACTAAAGGGTAAATGTGACGAATTTATGAATTTTAAATATCTTGACCAAGAACTATAGGAAAACATCAGCCACTTGTAGTAAAGATTTATTGTCCAAGTCCCTACCCACATCAAGAGACCGCACAAGAGTGTAATGCGCATTATTAAGCATGCCGACTGTATTTAGAATAAAAAAAATGTTTTTAGCAGAAAGAAATTTCCAGAAAGCGTTAGGGTGAAGAGTACACGGACAAAGTATTCGAATCATCTACTAGATCGTACTTCCAAGATCTGAAAAATTCATTTGACTGTATATTTATCACTTTCTTAAATGTCTTTGAAAAAGAAAAAGAAAATATATACGCAGGAGAATAGACAGGAGAAAGAAAAAACGAGGAGGTGGTGTCATCCAATGAAGTAATATTTTATCCCACTTTCACAACTTGGAAGGATCAATGCAAAGACAAATGAGAAGGAAACTTCTTAATAATCCATTATTTTGGTTTTTTCTTCTTCTGACACCTTCATTCGTAGGAGCGGGGCGCAATTTCTTCCTTTATTCTGGGCTCTCTGAATCCAGGATTCCCTCTGCGACCTCATCACCACCCCTGAAAGTCAACTAGTGTGTCAATTGGTCTCGTTCCTAAAAGAACCTTCCTCCCATTCCAGTGTCTTTTCCCCTACACCCACTCCCCCCCCCCCCCATCATCCAGAGTTATAGTCTCAACTACAGACGGACGAGAACAAGAAATATCATCCTTTTTGCTTTCATATTTTCTGGAAGTGGGATTTTAGTTTCTAGGCTTTCTACATCCCAATGTTTTTAGTCCAATCACTCCCTTTCACGAGGGCTGAAATCTGGCCGAAAGAAGAGGACAAATATTTAACTCTGATACAGGGGTCTACCTCTTATAGTTATCCAAAGGCTACATTTCACTGATGTCATGGACCTCCCCAATACGTGTTATAAACGTAGCACCGCACCTCCACTATAATAGTTGGAGATATCAGATAACCTTTTTCATTTTCCCTGTTCGCGGATAGCACTAAATTCTTCTGTTCTACGTCACTACACAGGAAACATCTAACAAACTCTCCACTCTCTTTTGCCAACAAACCAGTTCTAGAAAGTCAATACACCTATTCTTTCCTAAAGGTAATCCCTTGATCGATCCCCTTCCTGATGTGCTCACTGGCAATTACATTCTCTTTCACATTCTCTTCAATTTTTCTTCTGTCAGCACACTTTAGACCCAACATATCTTCTCTCACGAGAAGGACGAATCCTAAGCATAAGCACGATAAGCCAAATGTCTTTGACAAGTAAAACTCCCATTAAAGAAAAGAGCAGAAATCAGATGATTTAGGAGAAAAAATCTCCAAAAAAAACCCAGAGTGACGAAAAAAAAACTTGAAGAGAAGATTGTCAAGTTTACAATGAGGCCATAATAACAGGGTTTACTAATCAGCTGGATCCATATTATATTCCCTCTAGAGAAACTACTGCGATTTCCCCTATGAGTGACTGCAGATCCTGGATGAGAGAATCAGGGGGCTCCAGCAGCCAGACAACTTATTCAGTTATTACGCCCACAAAAGGCTCACACGAAATATTAACGAATGATAATCTATTGGTGGCTGACTGTTGTGCTGTTAGTTCATGAAACTTTGACAGGCAGATGCATGCAGAATGGAAATTTCATGTATGCGAAATACGACATACGAAATTCAGATGAACCGGAGAAATCTGTTTTCTATTGAATCGCCGGCACCTTTCACTGTTCTATGTGCAGATGATTATTCCTTCACCAGTGAACAGACATTTCCAGCATAAAATTCATCAGTTTCTTTCCTCTTCCAGGAAAGTTATCCTACAGCTCCTGGTTTCGATTTCCATCTGTAGTCTTAATCTAAAGAGATGAAACACTATAACCTGATTTTTTTCTTCCACCAACGAAAACTTCCTTGGGTCTTTTACAAGCTTGCAATTTAGCATCTCAGTAGCTTGAACAAAGCAGGCGAGGAAGTGGGATCAAGTAAAAAAAAAACAAAGAATTCCCTTTGTTTCCATCGATGTGCTCTGACCTATTCAAGGTCCTTGATGAACAGGAATGCCTTTATTCGAATGATTACCCAATAAAATCTTATTGGATGCTAAAAAGAAGTGCTGTATACACGAAGTTTCTTATTTACGAAATACTGAACAACCTTTCTTTAAACCTCAACTTCAAATCTAACAAGAGAACAGCAGGAGAACTCTCAGTAGTTCCTCCATTTATAATTATTTTACGTGAGCCAATACTCATGGAAGAACTAGGCAGAAAAATTATAACGAATAGTAGAATTTTTTCTCGGTAGTATCTCCTTCCACACATTGTCCATTGTAGATCAGTTCGGATTAATGGTTCATAGTGACAATCTTACTAGGGAATTCAGAAAAAAATCTGTGAATATTGCAAAGTAGACCACACACGTCCCAATCACCGAATACAACAAACGATTCCTCATCTTCGGCACAATCAAGTTCCATAAAATATCAATTTCCGTATTAGGAGTGATGAAAAATCATAATTACAGGGGAACTAATCAGCTCAAAAATCAGAAAGATCAACCACGGGACGGAAAATATATTAATCAATCTAACGACAAGGCACATTGAGGAAAGAGAGAGACCTTCCCGTCGATGATGAGCCAACAGTCCTTGGTTTCGTTGTGCTTGGACACTTCCTCGAAAGTGTGAACCTTGGAATCCCCCGCCATTTCTCTCCCCTGCACCCCACACACTTCAAATCTAACAAATCTTCCTAAAAATATATATATCTATAAAGAGAGAGAGCACACGAAACATCAGAACTGTACAGAACAAATATACCAGAGAAAGATGGAGGATAATGCAAATTTTAAGAAGAAGAGCGGTAGCCGCGGCGTCTCCGGCTACTACTGCGGCTCACCCCCTTCCCGGTGCGGCGGACAGCGGACGATCTGACCACCGTTTCTCCGTCGCACGGACGTGGCACTTAATGGTACGGCCGGGGCGTCGGTTTTCCTCCCCCACGAAGATCCCTCATATCTGGTCCAACGAGTTAGCGGCTCCGATGGGATATCGCAATGGGCTTCAGACTATCCAACGGCGGTGATCGGACTCTCCGAAACACTTGCCGTCGTCAAACCACTCGACTATTCGTCACCAGGGTGCAGATCTTCTCGAAAGTTCGGAGACACCTATTCAAACGGCCCCCTGTAGTCGCTCCTCCCAGCCCGGTCCCGGATCATGTGCTTTGACTCACTGAGCCCCACGCAATCGAACTACGTGTCTACCGACGCCATAATGCACCCATCAACAGCCTAAATCTTCATTAACTCTCCAAAAGTCCTTGCTTTGTTAGCATATATGATTTGGACGATGTGCATGAACATATCTACACCAGAATGGGTGATAAAAGATAAAAGAACAAATAGGACTTTTAAGAATGATCCTAACCTCAATTCTTTCTTACGATATATATATATATATATATATTTCTCATGAATGGAGCATCATTTCACTTGGTCTTAAGATGACATTTACCCAAGACTCTCCATGTATAACCATTTAATTTACATTTTTGAAACATTTAAATAATTTGTGAAGATTTCTTGGTCACCTTTCATTTTGCTAGATCATTTTGTTCACATGAATAATGTTTGGAGATAGTGAAGGTAATTAAACTAGAAGTAGCTCATGTGATCACAACTTCAAAAGAGTTAGTGTTAAGGAACAAGCATCCCTTTGTCGCACAACATAAAGGAATGTACACCAGATTAATGTTGTTCAAAGAATATTTTTATGTCCATAGTTGGGCAGGTCCTCATTCTTCTTTTAGAAGAGGGAATCATGACATTCACATCAAAGAAAACAAGAGACACCACCTCCCTCTTATGTTATGTGGTTAGGGTAACCATGTGGGTCTATAGATATTTTCTTTGATATTTTTTCCTTTTCACTTGTTAATTACTTATATGTCAGTTCCAACAATCAACATCTCATTGACTGAAAGTGATAGGATCATATAGGAACTCTCCAACTCTTTCAAATACTAATAGTGATCCATTTGAAATCTCATGAACTCATTTATTGCTATGTAATTAACTATCTTGATGATTAGCTCAATTTTTAGAAAAAAATTCTTCCACTTCCATAGTTTTCACTAAATGGACCCAAAACTCTTAAGAGTGCATCCTAAAGATATTTTAGTCTAAGTCACCATAAAGAAAAGCTTTATTGTGATCAAGTTGTTCCATGTGAAGATGTTTCTACACAAAAAATATTGTGCAAAAATTTAATTGTGGTCAAGTTTACAATAATACAAGAGGTTACTATGAAAATGTGTTCTCACAAGTCTTTCTTTATACATTTGGTTACCATTAGGTTCTTGTTTGGTCATGTAAACTTATTTATTGTGAAATGATTTATTCTCCTATAATAGTTGAGTTATCTTTCATATTTTTGTGATTTATTGATATTGACTTTCAATGTTGACTCTCACCTCATTATCTTTAGTATCTATAGCTTTTGCATATGACTCAAAATAAGTCTTCATTATCATAGGTTAATAATGAGTTAATAATATATTTTATATCTTAACTCTTAAATAGATTGATATTTATGTTAAATTAAGAAAATAGGTTTTTAACTTGCTAATATGATTTTTTAATTAATTATGTGATTTTATGTGAATTTATATAATTTTTAAGTACTTTTTAAAATAAAATAAAGAAAAATAAAATAAATAAAAAATTGAGAAAAAGGGGAGACCCGCTAGCCAACTAGGATTCAACAATAGACTAGAAAGACACCACACATGGGTTAGAAATTATCAAAAAATTAGAAATCTTTATTTTTTATATAATTTTTAAGTTCATATTTTGGAGATGAAATGAAGAAAAATAAAATAAATAAAAAATTAAGAAAAAAGGGGGACATGGTAGCCAATAGGATCCAACAATAGACTAGAAAGACACCACACATGGGTTAGAAACAATAAAAAATTAGAAATCTTTGTTTGAAATTTGTTAAAATCTTGCTTGCCTTGGGTGATCATTTTTATTTTCATGCATGATGCTCAAATTCTAAATCTATTTTTTCATTGTACAAAAGTTCTTCATTAAATATCACGTTCATATTCCTTGTATTTTTTGATTGTGATCATCCTAAAATTGAAAGCTAAACTCATCAACTTTGTATCCAATGAAGAGATAGTTTTTAGATTTTTTGGGCCTCGTTTGTTTATATTTTAAAAAGAAATATGTATATAGGAGAGGTATTCTAATGACTCTTAAGCGTGATAGATTTGAATTCTTCTTGCCTAAAAAAATCTCTGGATATTGACCTACTAGGGTCATAGATGTTGTCGTCCTTATAAAAAAATGTGTAGAAATAGAGAGGGAGGATGAATATAATCTAGTAGATTTCTATGACAATGAAATCATTTTAAAATAATTTTCTTTATTATATGTCATGATGAAATAGAGAAGTATTTTTCTAGAAGTCCCCATGATATATATCTTTGCTTTTGTGGATCATGAGTGATTAAAATCTTTGAAATGTTAAGGCTAGTTGAAACATGAAGAGGGGAGTCCTTGAGGGGTTTGAAATCTTTTAATCCGTGATATATTTCTAGTGAATTGAGGTTTCTAGAAGTGATCATAAGTTTTTCAGATTTTAAATGAATTCTTATTTAGACCTATTTGTGTTGACATTTGGTGGTAGATGTGTCAACACATGCACTATGATAAGACCTCTTAACAATCTCTCACTAAAAAAATATAATTTTTATATTGATTTATCCTTCACCTAACTACTTCTGCTTTTAGAGAAAACTATCATTCAATATTAACTACACTTCTTAAATAAAACACACTTTGATGATATAATTGCTTGATTGAGACAAATACTATCTTTATAGAAACTCATATCTTTTCATGTCAAATATGATGATGTTCACTTATTGTTGTGTTTAAATGCCTATTATCTAATAATATTTATAACAAGACTTAATAAGATATTAGTATAGATGTAACTCTTAGGTCGAACATAAATAGATTGATTAATCCATCATGAAAAATTAATTATTATATATATAATTTTTTTATTTTATTTTATCACTATTTAATAAAAAAATAAAATAGAAAGGTGAGGTGAGAAGAATAAAGAAAATAGATAATGAAAGGAGTGAAAAAGAGAGAAAAAAGAGCTCTCATGAAAGAGAGAGAAGATAGAGGAGGAGAGAAAGAGATCTCATAGAAGGGGAGAGTGGGAGAAACCTCACAAGAGAGAGAAAGAGAGAGAGAGAGATCAATCGAGAGATAGAGAAAAAGAGAGAGATCAATTGATTGAGAGAGAGATAAATTTGATAATTACAAACTAGTAGTTGCATCTATGTATTACTATCTTATATATATACGCTAATTAGTAGGTAGAGAATGTAATTATATGTGTTACTAACTCATTATGACATTCATAATGTTTCATCATTTAAGTCTTAATGCATATTATTTTACTTATTTTATTTATATTATGAGACTAATCCTACTTGACTTTTATAATGTTAAGTGGTGATTTTTTCACTTTTTTTTTTATAATTATTTGATTATAAGGACTTAGGTGAGCTCTTATTATGAGTTGGAAGTAAAGAAAGAAGTCCAAACCTCCCGCCTAATGAAAAGCTCAAGTCTTGTGAAAGGGCCAGCCTAATATGCTTATGGGCCTAAGAAAGGGCGTCATTTTGGTTTAGCCTATTTGAACTTAAAAAGGCTATAAAGAAATGAGATCTAGACTATTCATCTTAGGGTGCCTTAAGATAAGATTAAGAGAAGGATTATAGTGTTGCACTCATAGAATGATCTGTGCCCTCTATCAAGGGAGTCAGTTATTAATCATAACCATCCATTAGAGGGGCCTAATTTTCAAGAAGATTATAGCATCTCATCCCCCTCTTAGAGAGTGTTTTTTGCCTCTCTCTCTAGTAGTGGCTAGTTGAAGGAAACAAAAGAGAAATCAAAACTTGATCAAAGATATTCTCATGCCCAAGATCATTGTGGAGAAGATATTACCTATAGCACACCAAGATCATCACAAATTGAGCATCACTTGGCTTAGAACTGATGCACAACAAGATTTGTGTAAGATCTAGATTTAAAACATTCTTATAATCCTCTCTATAGATAGATTAAATTTTAATTCGAACTAATTTTATCATTTATTTTATCATTCTATTGAGTTAGATCCATTCTTTCTCCTTTGTCATGCTTTTTATAACTCGTCTACACCTTTTTACATTTAATTCGTCCTTCACAATCTCACGTATATATATCTATAATAAATAAAATAAATAGAATTCATACTCTCATTACTCACGTTCTTTGAGGATCGACTCTTACTTATCTTAAATAGAAGAGTGATATTTTATAAATATTATTTACATGAATTTAGTTGCATCACGATGATATATTTAACCTCTAATTTGAGTTCATAAAAATCTCACGAGAGATAGAGAGAGAAAGAGGTTTCATGAAAGAAAAAAGAAAAATCTCATGAGAGATAAAGAGACAAAGGTCTCACAAGAGAAAAAGAGAGAGAAACACATATGAATAATTAGGAGAGAGAAATAATGGTCAACTCTTTTTATAGTGATTTAGTTTCATGTATAACTTGATGTTTATCAGATGAATGTGTATTCGAGAATTCACATGATATGAGGTCAACCATGAATGTCTTCACC